GCCCCTTCCCCCAGTGGTCTGACTCACCGGCTCTCCATACTCTACCCACGTCCCCTGGTCCCCCTTGTAGTACCACAGCCACCCTGTGGTCAGCATGTAGTGTGGCGGCTTTGTAACCGAGGAAACGGTGGAGAGACGGCGAACTCGACGCGACTTGTGAGTCATCGTCAAGAAGTCGACGGGCCGATCGCCAGAGCTACAAACACAAAGAGAAAAGTTTCAGCTGCTGCCTCAACAGACTGACCTCAAACCCAAACACAGGTGGGGAGGGAGCATGACCTCTGACCTCTGTGTCTTAGATGGGTCGCAGAAATCTCGCTCGATGTCCTCCATGTGCTGCAGGTCCATCCAGGTGTTGCCATCGAGCACCTCCCACTTGTAGGGCAGGTGGAAGTGAACGCGGCGACACTCGTCTACGGTCACAAGAACTGAACATGAAAACTGAACCAGACTCCATCAAAGAAACAGCTGTTTTAACTGAAGTGACATCACACATTCAAACTAAACAACAACAAAAGAAATAAATTCTGATACTGATGAAAACAGAATCAAATTATTGTAGAAATCCTTGAATGATGAGTCACATGAAGATGTGACATCACTATGACATCACAGTGGTCAGTACATATTATCTAAGTGTAACAGTTGAACGTGACCACGGTGCAGTCGGAGGTTTGTGCAGCAGTGAGTGTTGAACCTGTTGAACATCAGTCTGAAACTCTTTGCTGCCCTCTAGTGGATTCACAGTGAACTGAAGCTGAGGGGCGGAGCTTCCCCTGTGGATCAGGTTTGTTTCCTGTCAGTGAGGTCACAGTAGAACCCATGAAGTGGACTCACTGTGGAACCTGCAGCTGTTTCTGATGAAGTGCAGACAGATGTCCGTCTCGTCAGTCTGAGGGTCAGGGACTCGATTCTCTGACAGACAAACAAACAAACAAACAAATATCAAGACTCACAACAAACAACACAATCTGTGCACAACATACTACATATATATGTATGTGTATATATATATATATATATATATATGGTCTGTGTCACTGATCTACAGCTTTTAACAGATGAAGAAGAGGAGTGGTCAATAGAGGTCATGATGTCATTGAAGAGGAGGTGTGTGATACTCACCTGAGGGCGAGGTGGCGGTGGCAGCAGTGGCAGCGGCGGCGGCGAGGTGGTGGATGTTCCTGTAGATGAAGGGCAGATCCTGGATGATGTCCCCGCTCAGTCCTCTCTCCTCCAGCAGGTGGCGGCCGTGGTCATCGATGGCGTGTTGTCGTTTACACTTGAGTCCGAACAGACAGTCGCCCTGAACGAAGTGCTGGCACAGGTGAACTTTGGTGCAGGTGTTCTGGAAGGTGCAGCAGCCGTGAGGACCAGAGCCTTTGTTATAGTGCAGACACACCTGAGACCAGAAGATGTCCACACACGTCCAGATGAGACAGGGTGAGACAGGTAACAAGGTGAAACAGTAAACAACGTGAAACAGGAGATGTCCACACATGTTAAAACAGGAAACAGGGTCACAAGGTGTGTCAGGTGTTTCAGGTGTGTGTCAGGTGTGTGTCAGGTGTGTGACCTCTGGCAGCAGGGCGGGGTCGTTCTGCAGCAGCAGCAGGAACAGCTCGTCCTCTCTCAGCTCCTGCAGCGTGCAGTCTCTCAGTAAATGATAGTTGTGATCTGATTGGACGTCGTGGGAGAACTTACAGGGTTTCCTGTGGAGAGAACAGCTGATCTGAGGTCAGAGTCACACAGACACTTCAGCCTGGACTGTAGTCAGGTGTGTCAGACTGGTCTAGTGTTGGTCCAGTCTTCATTCTGCTCATCAGTCTGATGTTAGTCACTAACATGAAGACTGAGGTTGTGTCTGAAAGTTGGCCATTTTGTTTATAGTGAAAAAAGTCTTAATTTACCCAGAATTCATTGCACCATAGTCCGGTTTACGATAGAACTAAACTGCTTTGAGTATCAAATGAATTCAGACTCAGTGACCCAATTCCAGTCCGGCCCCTACACACAGTGAAGCTCCGCCACATGTTGCTCAGTAACGACCCTGAAGTGGGAGTGGCTTATAAAGCCTCCAACACCGAGTCCGCATCGATGCAGACTTACAAACCACACCCCCAGACGTCACTTTGAGTCCATGATGACGAAACGCCACAGACATACTGACAGTTCATACTACTAGTTCTGTGTTGTTTCCAAAGGACAAGTCAGAAATTACATCAGACATTTGACATGTGTCACATGACATGTGTGTCATATGACATATGTGTCATATGACGTGTGCATTTTCACGCACACATGATGAAAAGTTACATTGTGTTTTGGAATGAACATGGCGCTGTGTACCTGAGAAAATAGGACCTGTTCTTTTTATCTGACCTGATATTTGAAAATTAAATTGTGGAAAAATAAGATTATAATTAGATTAAGACAATAACTAAAACTAAATGTGGCCAAAGAAGCACGGGAGTGAGTTTTTATTTATTCAATTGATAATTTTCCTTTCACAAGATCACTGCCATGAATGTGATGAGGCCCATGTCTCCGCCCACACACCTACACCTTCATGACGGCTGTGTGTAAGATCATCTTTATCATCTTTTAGATAAATATTGATTTAATCACAATATCTGTCCCACAGCCCCCCCCCATGAAGGAGGGTGAGAGAAGGAGGGTCTGAAGTCTGTCTGTGTGACGTCAGGGTGCGGCTACATGTTCCCTCACCATCAACACACTGTTGTTTACTTCAAAACAACCTTGACTCAAGGTCCACTTACTAGTCTTTACTGTTTGTTTTCAGTTGAACCACTCAGCTGTTTAACTCTTCAACACTGTGATCAATGAGTCTGAGGATCAATAACGTATCGATTGGATAATTCATCAGTAACAGACAAGCTTCACTTTCACTTCCTACGTTAGTTTCATTTCTCTGTAAATCAGATGGTGACGTCAACGTGACGTCTGACGACAAATGTTTGTTTTTGTTATTTGATACTTTTTATCAAGATGTCGTCACAACCAGAGGAAGAGACAGGGCTCCTCCTCCTCCTCCTCCTCATCACCATCATCATCATCAACTTCAGTTTCCTTAAGTTTCGTTTCTCTTCACTGCTGCAGAAAGTGTGTATCAGTCCGCAGCGGAGGAAGAGATAAAGTAGTCCCAGAGATAATCAGGTGTTTAATAAGTGTGACCGGTACTTCACCTGTTTACTGTTGTCACTACGGAAGCCTGGAGGAAAACGGAGTCGAGCTCCTGGCAGGTATGAGCGGAGGAAACTAACAGACAGTATCCCTCCGCCGCTGTCATAGACCCGGGTCTGGACTCGGCTCACCTGCCTTTGCCGAACCTGCAGGTTCCGTAGACGAAGAACCTACAGAGGTGCAGCTGTTCGCACACCCCCTCCCCCCCGCACGGCTCCTCCCGCCCGTAGCTCCTGCACAGCCGCAGGGACGTCTGAGCCACCACCGTGCAGTCCTCCGGCCGCCGCCCCGCGTCCCCCGCCGGGCCGCGGACCAGCAGGAAGCGGGAGCACCCCTCCATGATGTGTATGAACTCTTCTTCGGTTATGTCGCAGCGCTGCAGCAGCTTCCGGTGCAGCTGCAGCAGCTGCATGGCGCCTCTGCTGTCGCACAGCAGGCGGGTGGCCTGCAGGATCTCCCGGCTGTACGCAGACATGTCGCCCGGTCCGCGGCCTCCGCTAACTGAGAACCGCCCTGGCTCCACCGGGGAGGACCGACAGGTCCACAACCACACATCCGCTCCGAGACTGTCACAGTAAAAGCACACACCACCGGAAACTCCTCAGTCAGAAACCGAAGTGCTTCCCACCTTCTGGTCCCTGATATTACTGTAACACGTTTACAGCAGGCTGGACGCGGGAAAATATAAAACACAACATATACAGACACAGTGACACGCAATGGACTTGACTATTTACTTCCTGTATACACCTGTACCGCGCTGACAGGTGTCACTGGACACATGAACACACCTTGTTGAGTGGCAGTCAGACCACAGCACAGTACGCCACAGGCCCCAAAACTGCCCCAAAACTGCCCCGGGTCCAGGAGGCAGGTGGTGGGATAAGCCAAACCAGCGGCTGGAGGTAGAGAGGGTCTCTGACCAATTAGAAGGTGGGTGGTTTGATTCCCGGCTCCTCTGGACTGCATGTTGAAGTGTCCTTGGGCAAGACACTGACGGCTGTTCCCTCAGTGTGTGTGTGCGGTATGAGTCTGTGGATGTGGCAGGTACTGTTTGTTTTTGTTTTTTTGAACAATGTCTTTATTGAATTTTCATTTTATTTTACAGCCATTAGTATTATTATACAACATATTACACAACATACACCCCCCACCCCCCCACCCAAAAACACACACTCGTTCTCTCTCTCCCTTGTGTTTAAAACCAAAATCAACATGAAGGATGAGACACAGTCAGACATAAACTTCAACTGTGCCTCTAACAAAGTAAAGATGAGGTGTCCACTGTTCTGATAAGTGTCTCCTCTCGTCTCTATCTTCTATGAATTTATTAAATTGTTTCCAAATCTCCTCGTAAGCCTCTTGTTTTTCAAGGTAAATGTTATTCTCTCCATGGACATACAGTGGCAGGAGCTTTAAAGTCAGTGAGACTAGAAAAGCTCTATATAAGTCCATTTACATTCTCCCACCACCTGCCTCCTGGACCCGGGGCAGTTTTGGGGCAGTTTTGGGGCCTGTGGTGTACTGTGCTGTGGTCTGACTGCCACTCAACAGGGTGTGTGTTTTACATGATGATATGAACTTAGACAGTTATGGAAATAATTCTACGTTCCATTAAAGGTCTTTTCATGGCTCTGAAATGCAAATGGAGTTTTACTGTGTGCAGGCTACAATGGTGAAATGTATAGATAGGCAGAAGGGACTGTAACAGTCAGATCACTGGTCTGATTCCTGTGACGAGGTGTGGCTTCGGAGCACAGATAAATAGGTGTGAGTCCCTGTAGAGGAACCAGAGACCTGGGATCACTTCTCCACATGACGACTGGTGAGTTGATTTCTGAGTTTTGTGCATGTTTTAAACTCTTTACTAGAAGACGAGCTTCACATGTGTTTATTAGTGACACGGCAGCAGTGTGATGCAGGGCACTGTTGACGTCACACTTCTTCATGTGTGTGTAGGTGTTGGAGCTGTTTTACCTGCAGTGATGGGTGGTGACACACTGATCCACGCTCCAGTTTGTCTGCTCCTGTGCTGGATGCTGCTCATGGACCCAGTGAGGGTGAGAACCACAGTCTGACAAAAACATCAAACTTGGTTTTAGTCCAGGGAGTCAAGTTAGGTCTCAGCTCAGCACCAGAAACACTGGTGGCTGAAACCCTGAAACCCAGAAACCCTGAAACCCTGCTTCCTAGAAATGACGTTAATATTTCTAAACTGTTGTGGTCACAACAGTAATCTGGACTGGATAATGTTTCAGGTCAGGGTGGATGTAGGACTGTCAGGACAGAGACCAGTTTCACATCCAGAGACCTGTCTGTGGTTTAGACTAGTGGTTCTCAAAGGGGTTCTTGAGGGGGTTCTTGAGGGGGTTCCTGGGGATCCCTGTCACTATATTTCCATCCATAAGCATCACAGAATGTGACTGTTTTGGTCCTGGGTGTAAACACTGTCTGTGATAAAACTCTTTTACAGCCGAGTCCCCGGATCGACCCCTGGACAGTCGGACTCTCTGCTGCTTGTCATTCCCCGTCTCTGTCCTGTTTCCTGTCAAATGAAAAACACAAGCCAAAAACAACTTTAAATTAATAATAATGATAATTTGTGTCAGTTTAAAGTCCATGATGTGAAAACGTTTGAGAACCACTGGTTCAGTCAACAGCAGCTCTTTGGTCCAGGTTTATAAAGATGGCGGTTCAGGTGTTAAACCAGAACCAGGATCTGTGAGTCTGAACAGAAGCATGAGGTTGGACTGTGAGATCAGATATTTAGGAGGAAAACAAACAGGTTGTGTGTGAATATTTGACTGATGCGTTCAGGATCAATGTGTTTGTGACTTGTATGTACATGAACAGCATTTCCTCCTTATGTTATAGATGTAAGTTGTAGATCACAACACATATAACATCATCTGTCTCTTCTTCAGACTGTAGAACTCGACATGGTTGAAGATGCTGTTGATGACGTACTCTGGCTGCACCGACAAAATGAAGGAAATGCAAGAAATAAAAGAAATATGTAGAAGATTCAAAAGTGTTGGAGTGTTCGAAGAAGACTCCTGACAAAGGAGACGAGGCTCTGACTGAAAATCACATGAAAGCAATCTGTGTTTACACCTCAAACGAGACTTATAAAGAGTTTAATCAGGCAGTTAGGAAAAACAGGTGCATCTATAAAAGCACCTTCCAATACCGTTATTTACATTTCTGGCTCACAACTGCCATACAGACCCTGAATAACAACCATCACTGTCGCACAACTTATAGAAGATGCAGGATGCAATTTACTGGTCAGGTTGGAAATATAATTCGGTTTGGTTCCTTTACCTCCACTTCTCTAAAAACAAACCTGATAACATTTGGTTCAAAGACCTGCTTTAAAATTACAACCTGTTTAGGAGCTTACCTGAAGCATTATTCAATACTTGGACCTGTGGAGGAAGAGGTGCTTATACCCCCCTATGAAACATTCAACATAACGGCAGTATTTAAGGGTAAAGCTAAACCTGAAGATCTGAAGGACTGTGAGGTCATCTTTGTTTTGAAGGATTTTGAAGCTTCCAGTCGTTTAAACTGTGCGCTCGTTAAAGACTCTCCTTAACACCTGTTTGACTTACTGCACACTAGTGTTGTCACACTTCCCACCATCACTTACTTCATACAGTATCACGTGTAGGTGGCTTCTACTTTATTGTTTTGCATTAAAGAACATTTCTCTGTGTGACATATGTGTCAATGTGAAAACAATAAATTTGACATATGGAAAGAATGTGGACTTGTTTCTTTATTGGTCAGCTACCAACAAAAACAGACCCTAACCCTAAGCCACTGGAACAGCAGGGTAACACAGTTGGAAGGTTTATATTGGATGCCAAGGTTTGCTTTACTTTTTACAGCAGTTACAGATCAATGAATCCAAACTCTGCAGACAGATGTGTCCACTGTCTGACAGCCACAACCTGTCACACCTTTAACAGGATCATGTGATCATACCTTCATACCCCGCTTCTGGGAGAACACCTGAAGAAGAAAGTAACAATCAAGCTCAACAAAACTCAAGGGCTTAAACAACAGTATGTGGACACATCACTAAAGGAACTGTCACCTGACAAGCAGGTGAAAATGGATGGAAGTTCACCCTCCCATCCCTTTAGTGGTAGAAGACATATTATCACATGATCCTATTTAATGTGCGACAGGTTGTTCCCACATCAAATATGTTCAAACTAGAATAATACTCAGTAGATCTCACCACTATAGACGTGTCTGATTTCTTAAATTACCATCCAAACATTATTTGTTGAGAGGTGGAAGAAAGTGATGACAACACCTACTAACATCTACTATTTTACTTTTTTATTTTAATTTCATGTTGCACTATTTTTATGAAGCTATAGACTTTAGTAAATCCATTTCAAGCACCAAAACAATTCATCTCCATCAGTAAAGGTTTGTTTTCACATGTTTTTGCTGCCTCGTTATAGAAAGAGCGGAGCTTGTTCTGAGACTTGTGATTTAAAACACTCTTCTGTTATGTTACATGCAAGGACCATTAAAAAGTGAATTTAAGAAATAATGTAGAAATCAAGAAAATGCCCTCAGACCTCACAGCAGTGTTTGTTCGTGGTGTGAGGCTTGCTCATGAAGGGGAGCAGGTCTGCTGAGCTCAAGGCTAGAGGCCATGTGAGTGGGAGGAGTCTGTGGGATGTGGGTGGAGTCAACAATATAGACTCACTAAGATGAGAGACTCTGAGTGGTCTGCGTTATGATCAGCTGATCTGAATGCGCGCTCTGTTTGCAGCACTGACATCTGATGAGGGAAACCACAGAGATCCACCTGACGATCACCTGGACGCTCATCGGGAGATCAAATATTAATCTTCATTATCTCTGAAATAGTAAATAAGTTTTTAACTTTTTGATTTTCATACATTTTTAACCACATTTTATATTTTTTATCATTTTCATTTTTTAGCTTGCTCAGACATATGTTAGCCAAGAAAAGCTTTTTGCATTATTACTTTACATCAGTGGTTCCCAACATTATAATCAACGAAATGTAACTGCACCACAGGAGAACATGGCCGCCATGTAAGGTGTGCTACAGTGATGTAGTGGGAGTGTCCCTCATTGATGACATCATCACATCAGTGACACAAACAGTGTGTCACACTCTGTATCAGTCCACAGTGGAGTGACAGATAAAATAGTCCCAGAGATAAAGATGTTGAATAGAATGCAGGTAGATGACGTTTATCCCTCCGCTGAACAGGTGTGTCCAATCACACAGGTGTGACTGACACAGGTGAGTGATGAGGAGCCTCAGCAGCTCACAGTGATCCTCAGACATGATGCTGTGTGTGACGTGTCTGCTGTCGCTGTGTGTGTTCACACGTCAGACAGGTGAGAACCTTCATCCTCAGGTTTCCTGTTTCCTCTTCCTCATCCTCACCTGTGCTTTGTGTCTGTGCAGCTCAACTGGAACCATCGACCTCCACAGCTGCTGCTGGGACAGGTAAACTCACCAGGTTAAGACACTCCTACCTGGGAACAGTTGAGCCGGTTCAGACTCTGTACTTTGTCTCCAGGAGGAAACGAGACTCTGCAGCAACATGGAACCTTCTCTGGCCTCTTTGGATTCAGTGGTTTGTTCTCTTTACATTCATTTATTTATTAAATCAACAAGTTATTATTCTAAATCTGACTATAAACTATAAAAACTTTAACTTTAAACTTTAAAACGGTTTGTTTTTAAATGTGGTTTGATCAAATGTTTTAACCAGACTCAGTAAAACCTCATGAATCCTGTTCAATGTGAGTATGCATATTATATATTTGATTGTTAAAACTGAAACCAGCAGGACCTGGTTTCTTCTTAATACTGACCTTTTTGATTGAACCCTGTTGACCTCTGTTGACCTCTGTTGGTGTGGTGTCAGACCTGGCCGGGGTTCGGCCCTTCGGTCCGGAGCAGGAGATGGAGTCCAGGATCATTGGGGGTCAGGAGGCCTGGGCTCACTCGTGGCCTTGGCAGGTGTCCGTTTGTTTTGCCTCCATGCCGGCCTGTGGGGGGGCCATCATCAGTCCACTGTGGGTCATCTCTGCTGCTCATTGCTTCAAAAGGTCAGAGGTCATCGACACCAGGATTAAATTTACTGTCACACACACAGCTGATGAGTCATACCTGTCTGCAGGTACAACAGAGCTTCGTTCTGGAAGGTTCTGGCTGGAAAACACGACCTCGATAATCTTCATGAAGCGGGACAACAGGTGAGACGACCTGCAGCTCAGACACAGGTCACACTTGTGGACAGAGTGCCTCATGGAGACGTTTGTTTTATCACAGGAGACAACTGAACCTGTAAAGTCTGACAGTCAGCACAGTAGAGCCCAGTAGAGTCTGAATGATGGTCTGTGGACATTCAGGTTCTCAGAGTCTTAAAACCAGTTCAGGTGCTGTATCAGGTTTTTCTGGCTGTGACGGTTCCTCCTGTTCAGGACATTCAAAGACCTCCTCTTGATGTGGGTCCACATCAGACTATGTTCTGGTCCTGATCAGACTCAACAGACTGAGACAGATCCACCACAGATGATGGACTCAGATGATTGGAGTCTCTTCAGACAGACTGGAGAACATATGTTTACAGAGGAGGACTGTGAAGTCCAGGTCTGATCAGACAGAGAAACCTGGTTCAGGGTCGGTGACTGTTGATTTAAGACGGACTGTGATAATGTGAACCTGTTCTTCAGTTTGTAAAATGAACCACACAAGATTCAGGATATGAACTGGTCCAGATCCTGAACCAGTCAGTGGTACAGGATCAAGTAGCTGTAGAGCGACTTCCCGTTCAGCCGGTCGGAGTCTCTGCGATAGTTGTTGACCTCTGTTGGTTTCTGTTGACCTCTGTTGGTTTCTGTTGACCTCTGACGGTTTCTGTTGACCTTCAGCTGGTCGGAGTCTCGGCGATCGTCAGCCACCGCAGCTACAACACTCGGACTAAAGAGGGCGACATGGCTCTGCTGAGGCTGCAGCGGCCTCTGGTCTTCAACCAGTTCGTCAGACCCATCGACATCTGGATGACTCCGCTACCTCTCTTCAAGAAGTGCACCATCACCGGCTGGGGCTCCACCCAAGAGAGTGAGGACACATTTACTGATCTCTAGAGACACGAGACCTGTTGACTGAATCTGACCCGGCTGGATGTGTCTGTCTCCAGATGGTCCTCGAGTCAACAGGCTGCAGGAGGTGAACGTGACTGTCCTGCCCTCTGAGGTCTGTAACCAGTACTACCTGGGCAGGATCAGGTCCTCCATGTTCTGTGCTGGGAAGGACGAGGGAGGAGTTGACGCCTGTCAGGTAAGACCTGAACATGTCCAGGGTCTGGACACAGTTCAAGACCGTCAAGGTTCAGAATCTGGACTCTGAAGCACTTACAACCAGTCAGAGACCTGAGAGGAGTTTGTCCACATCACAGAATCTGTTTCTGTCTTGTTTCTTTGTCGTCCTCTTCATTGTTCTCTCTCAAGCTGTCTGTTTCTCCTGTCTTCTCTTCATCGCCAATTTGTCTCTTCACCGTCCTCTCGTCTTGTTCTGTCACGGTCTGTTGTTGTCGCACCTTGTCTCATAACTGTCCCGTCTTGTCTCTCTTTTACCCAAGTCTTACCAACTTCTTTGTTCTTCCTGTGTCTCTGTTCATGGTCCTGTCTTCACTCTGGTCTTACTCTTGTCTCTTTGTCTTGTGGTGTCCTGTCTGGACTCGTGTTGTGCTGTTATTGTCCTGGCATCTCTTTATCATCCTGTATTGTCTCTTAACGTCACGTTCTTCCTTTCTGGAGATTTGTTTCATGGTCATTGTCTTTCTTCTGTCCCTTTTTACTGTCCTACCTTGATTCTCATACTGTCTTCTATCTTGGTTGTCCTGTCAGTCTGTGTCTCTTCTCCTGTGATGTTTGTCCTCCCTTTTTTTTTTCCTGGGTTTTAGTCGTTCTGTTGTTGTCTCGTCTTTTGTCTTGCTTGTCTTTGATCTTTTCATTGACGTCGTCTCTGACCTCATCATCCCTCGGTCTCAGGGGGACTCTGGAGGTCCTCTGTCCTGCTTCACCGGCAGCAGGTACGAGTTGGCAGGTGTGGTGAGTTGGGGAGTTGGCTGTGGACGAGCCAGAAAACCAGGAGTGTATACCGACATCCAGCAGCACGCTCAGTGGATGTCTGACATCATGAGTGAGTTCCAGACGATCAACACCTGAGTTCTTACCTGTAGAAGACGTTTCCTCATGTTGTTTGATTTTCAGATGATCAGAACAGGATGTATGAAGATGACATCACAGATGAAGGTAGGTTTAATCTGACACAGATCTGAAAGACTTTATTTATGACACACACTGCTCCTGTATAACTGTATGTTCACCTGGATGACAGAGGACAGGTGTGGGAAGCAGCAGAGCCCCAGCTGTGATCACGCTCCAGGCCTCGCTAGTCTCTCGGTGTCCCAGGACGGTGAGGTGTCTGTAGGGAACGTGACCGAGTCCTGCCCCTTCTTCTGGCCCTGGCAGGTCAGCCTGCAGTCCAGTGGACGCCACTACTGCAGTGGAGTGTTGATCCATCGCCGCTGGGTTGTCGCTGCTAAACACTGTAACATCAGGTAGGATATCAGTGTTCCTGCAACATGCTGCGACATCAGGTCTACCCCCTCTGTTACTGCTCACTCCTGCTTCTCTCTCAGACCTAAAGTGGACGTGGTGGCTCTGGGACTTCATGACCTCCGGTTCTTGCCAGCTCAAACTGTCCTGGTGGACAAAGTCTTCAACCTGCCACAGGATGGCAGCTTCCCGCCAAAGTCTGACCTGTCACTTCTCCGCCTCAGTGTTCCCGCCAGATTCAGTAGGAACATAAACACACACTCCAACATCTCTCTTGAGTATGAGACAGTGCTGCTCCAGGTGTACACTGAGCCACATGTACACAGGTATTTATTTAAACTGTCCGCTCCTCAAATCTCCATCCACATGAAAACACAAACACGCTGTGAGGAGCACGTCAAACCAACAGGGGGCGATGTAACCCTGACCAAAACCATGTTGGCAAATCAGAAGCCTGGAAAAAGGTTCCAGTTGTCAAAGAATGTGAAGAGTTAGTCTCTTCACCCTGTGGCTCCACTCTGACCTAATCAACAAAAGGTCCAAACACACAAAGCTACAGGTAGGTGTGAACATGGCCTCTGTGTCCACTGAGTCAATCTGTCCTCTGACTCTGTCTCCAGGCTCCGATGTGTCTCCGGTTTGTGTCCCTGAAGAGGACGAGGAGCCGGACGACAGCTGGCACTGCTTCACCTCTGGCTGGGGAGCGGCAGCAGGAAGAGGTGAGCTCAGTGTTTCTATATTTACACAGAAACATGAACACATCATTGTTACACTCTGTTCATGTGCTGCCGTCTCTTTTCTCTGTAGCCGACATCGATCCGGACCGACTGCACCACGTCAGACTGACTCTGGTCAATCAGACCAACTGTAGGAGCCTGTGGGGAGGAGGACTCATCAGTGACTCTCACATCTGTTCACATGCTGCCAGCTCCTCTTCCTGCATGGTAACAACACACTCACAATCATGTCATTAGACTGTAAACGGGTTCCACCTGCAGTTAATGCTCAGTGTTTAACCCTCACATAAAACCATCCTCAGCCGTCTGACAGTGTCCTACCTGAGTCCTGCTGCCGTCACAGCTGTGACACATCTCACTGTACGTCCTGTACGTCTCACTGTACGTCACACTGTACGTCCTGTACGTCACACTGTACGTCACACTAAAAGCTGTGTAACAGTGAATCCAGGGGTCAGAAAGGATCAGAAGGTGCTCGTGTGTCATCAGTCAGTTTTTTCTTGGTTGATTTGTCTTATTAAAACGATGTTGTAACTCTGACTGACCTCGTGCGCAGGGCGACGCCGGAGCTCCTCTCATCTGTCAGAAACGTGGCACCTACTTCCTGTCTGGTGTGGTCACATGGGGCAGCCGGCGCTGTGATGCAGACAAACCGGCAATCTTCACCAGAATATCTGACTATGGTTCATGGATCACTGAGGTGACTGAAGACAACTGAACTGGTTCTGTAGAAATAAACTGGTTTGACTGGAAGCTGTTTGTTGTTCTCTTCCTTTAACAAACATTCATTCACATTTACATTTAGTGTCATTAGCTCCAGATGTGGAACCAAAGTGGTGTTTAGTTCAGGGACCAGAACCAAAGGAATCATTGAGTAGAAATTCTGAACGTGCTTCATTACTCACAAAAAAACCTCTTTACTTTTTACAGTGAGTTCATTAGAGTCTAGATTTTATTTGATGGAAAAAAAACACTAGAAACAAAATGGAGCACAAATCATTTAAATCAACATTTTTCACAGTTTTACATGATTCTCCACTAATTGTTTCTGTGTTCAGATAAAACAAAGGTTAAACTGGGTACAAACAGCTGTTAACAGCTGTTACTGCAGAAACTCGGAGCACCTGAACGCATCATCAGTGTTGTTCTGTGAGAGGAAGTGGCTGAAAACATGATGATGAGTCAGTGACTCCTCCTTCACAGGTGATGCAGACAGACACACCTTTGGACCTGGACCAATCAGAGAAGAGAACTGAGTCTGTGATGAAAGAGTCTGGAGCAGATCAGAGGTATGAAACAGTTGTGAGGTTGAGTCCAGCAGTGAGCACCAGCAGGTTCCTCAGCCGTCCTGCAGCAGGTCGTACGATCCTCCGTTCACCACCTGGTGTGTGTCACCCTGAAACAGTCATTCAACATGTCTGTGACTAATCATCAGTCGGTTCAGTCTGTCAACATCGTCACACTCAGAATCTAACTCTGACTCACTATGACGTCACACGTGTTGGACTCTGCAGGTTCAGGTGCTGCTTCGTAAATCGGGTTACAGATGCTGCGACCGCAGTCTGAGGGCGGAGCTTCTTCCTCCCCCTCATCCTCCTGTCAAATAGGTCAAAGGTCAGCAATGAAAGATGTAACTGAAACAGACAGATGACTGTTATTAATGTGATAAACTAACAATGAAAATGTTCAATATAATAAACATCAACAGGCCGGTTCACCTGCAGCACTGACCATCTTTGTTTAATTAGTAATTAATCCTGTAAACACGCAGCACTTTACATCTGCAACTTTCTGTTGTTTGCCTCTTTTTGTCTCTTGAAAAATGATGTAAGAGATCAATTAACACACACACACACACACATACAGACAGACAGACACAGACACACACACACACACACACACACACAGACAGACAAACAGTTATATACAAACAGACACAGACACAGACAGAACAGATACATACACCACACACACACACACAGACACACATAATGTAAATATAAACACAGACAGACAAACAGTCACATACAAACAGACACAGACACAGACAGACAGACACACACACACACACACACACAGACAGAACAGATACATACACCCACACATACACAGACAGACAGGGAGACATACACACACACACACAGACATACACACACACACACACACACACACACACACAGACACACATACAGACAAACAGACAGCCACACACACACACTGACAGACTGACCTTGAAGTAGTGGAACTGGAAGGGTTTGGTGTTGTGGGTGTAGAAGTGGTATCCAACGAAGACGGCTCCCACCACCACAGCGATCAGCAGCACCACGCCCACGCCCATCCCCGCCTTGTGAGCCACGTGCATCTGAAGAGCCAATCAGAGGTCAAACTGGGAAACACTCCTCCTTGTTGTTTATACTGTTCCTATGACAACACTCACCTTTTGGCGTGGGGGCGGGGCTTTCAGGGGTCCCTGAAGAACATGTATAATCCCGTTGGAGGCCAGGATGTCGGAGCTGGTGACGAAGCGGTCGTTGATGTAACGGGACGACTGAGGAGACAACAGAATTCGTTTTTACTTCTGTGTCTCCATGGAGACTCGTACCTGTTAACTTTGAAATCAGCCAATCACAGTCAGCAGATCTGTTTACTGAGCTCCATCTGCACCGCAGCGTCTCCTGACCCCGGAGACAGTCATCTACAGGTGAGAGAGGAGCCTCGCCTCATCTACAGGTGAGGGAGGAGCCTCTCTCACCCTCTAGTGTCCAGAAGTTGTAAAGACTCTGACCAGAGCTGAGGGGTTGAGCAGGTCTGTGACTCCAAGGACGGTCAGACTTCCGACTCTGGTTCTGATCCGGCTGCCGTTCTTCAGCCGGCTGAGAGACAGAGCCTGACCCTCTGACAGGTGGAACTCAATGTCCCGCTGAGACAGAGTCTGCAGGGACATGTGGACAGAGACAGACAGGTGAGGACATGTCAACAAGCGCAGCTAGAGCACCTGTGGTGAGACTCACCTGGTTGCCGGGCAGGCCGTCGTTGTCAGGGACAAACAGAGTGGACTGGACCGTCAGGTTGCTGAGACGCTTCACAAACTTTTTCCCGGACTCGGACGTCTCGGAGTAGTTCCGGATTTGCTGAAGAATCAGAAATAAAGTGAGGTGGTGAAGTGGTGAAGTGGTTACCATGGAGACCTGACCTGGACGAGACCATCTCTGACTCACTGTGAGGAAGTTGGAGAAGGTGGGCGTGGCTCTGAGGACCTGCAGCAGGTTTCCTGTACAGCTGAACCCGTCTCCAACGAAACCGAGTCGACACTCACACTTGACATCTGAAACACACAGCCACCGATCAATACATCAGTCAGGTCTGATCAATACATCAGTGACAGGTCACATAAATAAATTGATGTTGTTCTGATCAGCAGCAGCTCCTCATTAACTTTCTTTACGTCAGTCCTTCTTCTCTCTCCTCCTCCTCTCTCTCTCCTCCTCCTCTCTCCTCTTCTCCCTCCTCCTCCTCTCTCCTCCCTCCTCTCTCCCTCCTCCTCCTCCTCGCTCTCCTCCCTCCTCCTCCTCTCTCTCCTCCTCCTCCTCACCCTTCATCCTGTAGCAGAAGGAGTCCCAGGTCTCGCTCAGGTTCTTGCGGACTCCGTAGTCGACGATGCCGACGTGTCCGAAGCCACAGTTGGGGTTGGAGTAGGTGGTGGGGTACGCCACCCGGGCCTGGTCCAACCAGCCAGCAGCACACATGTTCAGCCCTCCCTGCAGGACGGGGACCAGACCGCAGCTTTAACCACAGCTCTACAGATACTAGAGGGAGTCTTTGGTGTGTTCACTGACCTGCTGAGCGTAGGACAGCTGAGTGTACGTGGCCAGGCCGCCTCCCTCTGCAGTGCAGGCCTGCTGAGCTGCAGTGAAGTTCAGCTTGTACTGACCTCTGTCTGAGCGGAGGTGAAACACACCGAGGGTCGCATCTACACACACACACACACACACACTCTCTTTTATCACACACACACAGGCACACACACACACACACACATATGCACACACACACACACACAAGCACGCACACACACACACACACACACAGGCACACACACAGGCACACACACACACACACACATATGCACACACACACACACACAAGCACGCACACACACACACACACACACACACACACACACACACACACAGAGTTGGTCATGTTCATGAACTTTGTGACCAGTCTATCAATAATCATATCTATAATAATATCTATAATCTATAATCACATGTGAACCCTTGAAGCACTTCCCCTCTCTCTCTCACCTTCAAAGTGCAGGTCTGTACACTGGGCGTCCTGATGACACTGTCCGTTGTCATGGAGACAGCGGCTGACTGGCAGCTGTTTGACCTCACAGGTGAGTCCGTCTCCAACGTAAACGTCTTTACAGGTGCACTTCTTCTTCCCCTGTTCACACAGACACCTGTCAGCTTCCTGTACATGAGACACCTGAGGTGTACACCTGTCAATACCCACAACCCTCCTCACCGGAGCCGTCATGGTGCAGGTGGCGTGTTCGTGGCAGCCGCCGTTGTCTCCGGAGATGCAGGGGTCGATGGGTTGACAGGTGAAGCCGTCTCCATGGTGACCTTTAGGACAGGTGCAGCTCACCTTCTCTCCTTTCTGAGAACATCTGGCTCCTCTAGCACAACCGCCATTCCAGATGTGACACATGTCCACGACTGAGGAGAGACACAGACATCAACTGATGGGACGTCTCATACAAAGACATAAAGATCTGACACGTCCACCACTACAGAGTGAGACAGTCTGAGACACACTGAGACACACTTAGATACAATGACACACTCTGAGACAGACTGAGACACTCTGAGACACACTGAGACACACTTAGATACAATGACACACTCTGAGACAGACTGAGACACACTGAGACACACTGTATTTACCTGAACAGGTGAATCCGTCTCCTTCATAAAATGGCCGACAGACGCAGGTGTTGTTCTCCTGACAGACGGCTTTAGGAGAACAGGATGGAGAACACTGGAACACCTCACCTGGACCAGAGAGAGAGTCAGTCAGCTGCTGTTTCTTTACCTCTACCTGTCCACCTGTCCACCTGTCCTCTCTCTCTGAACATCTAGACCTTCATCACCTCTGACCAGTGAAGCTCACGTGATATGATTGAAAGCTGTGCAGCAGCTACTAAATGGACCCGGTGGTTTTGTCAGTGAAGAGTTTTAACATTTATCCACTAAATGGACACATCAGAGATTCAATCAGCAATCAATAATCATTAGAATTATTTCTTCTTTGAAAAGCAGAGAAACAGAAAACACACATCAGATAATATCGTATATATATATAATGTAAATATAAACTAATATATATTATATATATTGATCTGAAGCTTGTGACACTCACTCTGCTGGATGTCACACCGCTCGCCGCTCCACCCCTCCTCACAGAAACAGGAACCCGTCCCTCGGCGTCCGTCGTCACATGACCCGTGTTCTGAACAGTTACAGGCTGAAACAGGTTCAACACAAACTGTCAGGACCACGAACCGACAGGGTCACATGACAACCAGGAAACTGTTCTGCTCACCTTTACAGGTAGGTCCATAGAACCCGTCACCGCACTGTTCGCAGGCCACACCCCTGAAACCTGCATCACAGGTGCAGGTACCGTTGCCTAGGTGACCGTCGTCACATTTACCATGGGTACTGCAGGGGGAGCCGACTCCACCTGGACACACTGGACAGAGGATTAATACAGGTAAATGAATAATGTCATATCTGTGATGTCACTGTGATCGATTACATGTCAGAACATTTCATCAGCTGTTAGTGAAACAAATCCTAACAATGAAACATTTCTCATGTGGCCTGTACCTGAATGTACAGCCCACAACAGACAAAAAAAATGTTCAAGCTGAGTCTAATAATAATAAAACTCATGATTAAAAACTATGGGAGTCAGTACAAAATATATTAATATATTTTTAATTAAGATTGTAATGTTTCAGGAAAAATCACTACAATAAGTCAAATAATATGAAAAGTAGAAGTTAAAATTCTAACCATCTTTTATAGTATTTTAGTAGTTATAATGTTGACTCTAATTTAAAATGGTCACCTTTAAAGTCTAAATTAATTAAATTAATATAATTATCATAAACAGAGTGATGTGTTAACAAACCAAAATATATCTGTTATCTCTGATTTGGACTTTCTATCCCTTAATTAAGAATAATGAGACGCACAAATGAAATTAGTTCGTTTCATAAAGTCACCAGAAGTTTTTTACCACAAGGGCAGAAATGAGCTTCCATAGTTTTCTTTAATGAAATAGATCTGAATGTTTTATTTGTAGGTGACAGGGCTGTCTCACCCAGACAGTCTCGTCCGTGGTAACCATGGCAACACTTTGGTTGCCAGAAGTGGACGGTGCAGATGCTGCGACAGCCGGTGTTTTTAGTGACGAAAATGGTGGGAAGGTCGCACTTCTGAACCTCCTGAACACAAACGACACAGAGACGTTACACGCAAAGTTCATGAGTCTGTGGTAACAGATGATGAAGATGATGATGACGGTCAGACCTTCTGTTTGGACCCTCTGGGACAGCGAGTAGCTGAGGACGTGCACAGGCCGCAACTCATCTACCAGAGAAAAAGAAAAGAAACAACACTAACTAAAACCAAATCCAGAGCTGCTGGTTCTCGCTTCTTTTATATCTTAAACTTATTATTATATCCAAGTATCAAAGTCTTACAGGCTCTTCAGTTAGCAGCGAGCCAAGTCTCTCCATTTACCAATGCTCCCTGAACGCCTCATATACAGGCTATCAGTAGACGGTATATAATTTACCGATGTTCCCTGAACGCCTCATATACAGGCTATCAGTAGACGGTATATAATTTACCGATGTTCCCTGAACGCCTCACATGCAGACTATCAGTAGACGGTATATAATTTACCAATGTTCCTTGAACGCCTCACATGCAGAGTATCAGTGGACGTGTATAATTTACTGATGTTCCGTGAATGCCTCACATGCATGTTTCAATTAATAGATTGTAGATGAGGCGTGAACACAACAGGGGGCGCTGCAGAGAGGGCAGGAAAGCAGGGTTCAGTAAACAGTCGAGTGAGGATTTACCTCGAGGTCAAAGGTCGTCTGTTCATCACAGCGTCCTCCGAGGCTGGGCGGAGTCAGCAGGCAGTCGATCCCATAGGCGATCCCGCCGTTAAACACGAGGTGTCTCTTAACGACCCGACACTTCCCGTCATTGACGAAGATTTCTCCCTGTTCAAAGACAGTCAGTTAATCAGAGCGTTGTCTCCTCTTCTTCTCTGACGTCTGTTTCTGTTGTACTCACGATGTCGTCCATCCCTCCACAGCTGAAGGAGAGCGGGGAGCCCTGCAGAGTCCGAGCCGAGTCCAGGTGGATCAGGCCTTCAACGTAAATCTGAGTTTAGAGGAAGAAAGTTAAGAATTAATATCAAAACATTCACTCTAAAAAATTATGAAGAAAATCTTTGTTAAACCTATTAAAGATAATATAATTAAGGGAACTGTCTGTTCATCACTGTCAAATCTGCTAAATGAATAAAGTAAATGTCACTTAATTTTCCCTTTTTTCAACATGTTTCACCATCGTGGCCTCTGACGTCTCCGTATGCTGATGATGCAGTTATACCTTCATATAAACCCACTGATGTCAGCACAGGGCTGGATGGTGAATCATCAAATTAAAAAATTATTAACCAGTAAAACCTGCAGCTGATTTGACTGATTGATTCTGCTGCTTCTTCTCTAACCACCTCATTTTAAACTCGTCTGTTTTTAAGTCTTTCATAGTAAATTTGTCGTCGTCTCTTTTCGTGTTTCTGCTCAGGTTGAAATCAAGCGACATGATGAGAGGATATTATATATGTTAAATATATATATGTTATGAGAGTGAACAATATGATTACACAGATGTTATTTCTCCTGTCTGATTGAACATGCAGCTCCCCTGGAGAGATGTGTGTGAAGATGTTTGACTTGTGACTTGATGTTTGATGAGGATCTGATTCTAACTAACTAACTCTCATGTTGTAGAGAAAGTTCTTTAACCAGTTTCCTGTCTTTGTTTTTAGCATCACCTTCTGGGCCTGCAGGATGTGGTACTTCAGGTACTCCACCAGCTGAGCTCGGTTATCCTGGTGGAACAGGAAGTCCTTCTGCTCCTGCGGCAGAGACGCCATGGCGCCGTCTGAGGGCAAGAAGACCGTCACCGGCTGGTAAATCCCATCATTCACCAGGTCCATCACACCTGTGTCCTGAAACACAGGTAACCTGTCAACATGTAACTACAGGGAACAGGTGGAGGGAACAGGGGAGGGAACTCTTCAGAACAAAGCTTGAAGGTCTCACCTGGAGAAGTCTGTAGAAGGTTTTATATCCATGACGTTCAGCTACATCTGTCAGGTTCACCTGGAGGAAACAGGTGTATGAAAGAGTCAGACAAGTTATTGATTAGTGAAAATAAACTGATCATTGAAACAACTAACTGATCCAGTCAGATATGATCCCTGTCTGAAGACACGACTTTCTATAGATCAACACTTTTACATTATCATTGTTTAATCGGAGATAAATGGACAGACGAATGGACAGTCTGTGGTGGACTGACAGGGACGTCTGGATTGTCTTTGTCCAGGTCAGGAGGAAGCAGGACCTCGTCGATTTCATGGAAGATGCCGTTGACGCTGATGTCGTGGCTGTACGTCACATTGGCGTGGTTGATGAAGATGCTGCCCTGAGAATGTAACAGACAAACAGTTTTCATTTATTACTTTATCTCCACCTGTTGTTATCAGGCTTTAATGTGATAGTTCAACAACAGAATGTATCGCTGATCTGATTGGTCACCTGGATGGAGCTGGTGGTCAGGACGAGTCCGGACAGAGATGTCAGGTTTCGGGGTCGACTCAGGTCTGCGGGCAGCAGAGTGTGACACATAACGATGTGGCTGCGCAGGACAGATGCCAACTGTTCTTTATTTTTCTCCGACCTCTTCAATTTTGTCTAAACAGAAATAAACAACAGAAATAATCAATAGAAATAAATAAAAGAAATCAATCTTCAGCTTTGTTTAGCAGAGCAATCGATTGATTTGATCACATGGTGTTTTCCATCATTTCTGATCAAGTATCAAACTGAAAAAATGTGTTTTATACTGTTTCTATCTCACAGTTTCTTCTCTTTTTAAGATCCATGTTGATGAAAATTATAAGTTTTTTATTATTATATCATTTAAGATTTTCTTTCAACTACACTCAGAACTACAAAATAAAAATGCGGTTAGGATTTTATGTGTTGACTTTAATTTAAAGCATCAAGGTTTTTGCTGTGATGCTGGGACACACACTAACACTGGACCATTTAAAGTGTTGACCTGATGGTGGCGCTGGAGGAAAAGTCCAGTTCATCCTGAGGTGAAGATGAATGTGAACATGAACATCTGCTGAGACCCATTAACGTCCACAGAGACACAATGCAGCTGCTGCAGGTTTAGATCAGAAAACACTGATTCTGAATCAGATGACAGTCATCACCTTTGCAGCGTTGTTTTTGTCGGATTTGAAGGCAGCGCTTGTCGGAGCAAAGACGGTGAATGGGCCGCGTCCTTTCAGAGAAATCTCCGCCACCTGAAAGCAGAGTTTTTCCTTGTGTTGATATGTTTCATCTGCAGGGGGCGACAGAAAGAGGCGCCTCAGCACTCACCATCAGAGCCAGGTAGAAGTCTCTCAGCTTCCTGGTCAGGATCTCCTGCAGAGAGTCAGCTGTTAGGTCAAAGAACCTGAACACACCTGGTTCTGTGGTAATGTTTCAGCTGCTCACCTTCCCCACGGTGCCTCTGCAAGTGACGCCGTCTCCCAAGAAGTTGCTAAAGCATGTGCAGGTACGAATACCTGGACCAGTCATGTTACAGCGGGCGAACTGGTGACAGCCTCCATTCTTCTGGAAACATTAGCAGCACACAGTGTTACTGTGTACGACGTCATGTGTGGTTTCCATGGTGATTTAAAGTACCTCACACTGCCCTGTGAGTCTTTGCAGTACTTTAGTGTACACAATGATGTCAACTTCAGGTACTTCAGGAAGATGTGACAGGAAGTAACTGACAACTCCTGATTATGATCTCAGATTAAACTGAATCAAACAAACAACCCACAGTTTCAATTCAAACTCACCTTTTGACACAAGTTGATCATCTGACAGGTCTGTCCGTCACCTGAGTAACCGTCACTGCAGGAACAGGACGTCTGCAGAGCGACAGAGAAGGACACTAAACAACAAACATCATCCAGTAAACAGCTTGTCAGGTGGGCACAGGTGGGTACTGACAGGTACAGGCAGGTACAGGCGGGTACAGGTGGGTACAGGCAGGTATGGGTAGGTACAGATGGATATGGGTAGGTACAGGTGGGTAAAGTTGGGTACTGACAAGTAGAGGTAGGTGTCACATTAAGCATCAGAGAGTAGAATCAGTTTTTACTTTGTTTGGTCCGACATGGACACAGTCTGCGTTGACATGGCAACCTCCGTTTCCCTCCAGACAGGGATTTATCTCTGTGGGACAAACATAAACTCCTGCAGCACTTGAACACATCACACATTCTGTTAGTTTCCCTGACTAGTTCTTTTGACACGTCTGACACCTCTTACACAGACGCCTGAGTGAATTCATTCTTTGATTTTTAATTTTTATATAAATTTCAGTTTTAAATGTAAATTAATTTCAAATTTTACATTTAATGTAAATTAAATTATTTTAATTTTTTTCATTTTCTGTCATTTGTTGGACGAACACAACACCAGGCTCCACCCACATGATACAGGTGAGACCACAGGTGTTCAGAGTTCACCTACCGACACACACGAGTCCGTCTCCAGAGTAACCGCTGTTACACACACAGTCTCTGCGTCCAGGTCGAGTCCGTTTACAGGTGGCGTAAAGACTGCAGCCGCCGTTATCCTCCACACACGGGTCCTTCGCTGCAGACGACATCATCATCATCATCATCATCATCAACATAAAAAGAAGATGAACACACAGCTCACCTCTAACTGGTTCATTTGAACTTTGACTCTGTTTGTTCAGGTGAGCTCAGGTGTGACTGGTTCACCTGTAGCTGTCAGGTCATTGTTCTTACCTTGACAGGAAGTCCCGTTTCCTTCAAACCCTGCAGCACAGAGACACTGAGGGCCGGACGGTCTGATCACACAACTGTCAGAACAGAGAAACGACCTGTGTCAGAGCAACAACATCCTGCAGGGGGCGCTGCAGTTCTGATCACTGACGCAGCAGGTTAAGCACATGAAGAAGAAGGAGTCTTACTTTGCACTGGTGTGACATCTGACTGAGCCGCACAGCTCATCAGCCGTGGACTCAACCTCTGAAAACACAGTTTTAGAGACAAAGTGTGTAAACATGTACATATATACACATATAAATACATGTGCATTATATATATGTACATGTGTAAGATGATTTACATGATGAACAGTGTTATTTAAAAAAAAAAGTTGAACATTTACAAAAATGTGTGAATGAAAGTGAAAAACGTACAAGAATAAAGCAAAGACAAAAGTTATGACTTATGAGAAAACTGCTGTAATTTTGTGTGAATATTTGTAATTTATCTATTACAATACTTGTAATACTGTTCTACCACTGTTAGAATAAAGTTATTAAAAAACTTTATTTAAAAAAGATTTTACAAGAAAGACGTGATCAGAGCTAAACGTGTTGTGACTGAATCTCTAAAATAATCAAGCTTTGAGAGAATATAATGTTATTTTTGAAATATTAAAAATGTAGATTAATTACTTTATTATCAAATTAAAACTTTTTATCAAAACTTTATAAAAACTCTGACGTGTCTCTTCTGTCTTAGATGTTTGTGTCTCTGTGATGGTCTCACTCTCGTCACAGATGACTCCTCTCCAGCCGACGTCACACTCACACGACCCGTCACCTGTGAGTCCGTCACTGCAGCGGCCATTTTTACACCTGCAGCCTGAGGGGGGGGGTTAGTTCACTGGATCACCTTCAACAACAAGCTCGGGTCCTCACCTGTTTGTTTCTTTGTTTGTTTGCCAGCAGGATTAAACAAAAACTACTGAACTGATCTGCACCACACTTGGTGGAGGGATGGGTCCTGGTCCAGAGAAGAGCTCATTATAGACTGGCATTGATCCAGATGATGATGTGGATCTGACAGATGTGTAGGACTGGTACTGTACTGTACTGAGGACTGTTCCAGTTCACTGTATGAGGTATACTCACCCTGGTCACAGTGGATTCCATATTTCCCGCTCTGGCAGGTCTCGCAGGCGGTCCCATTGAACCCTCTGTCACACTGACACACTCCGGTCCCGCCCGTCCCGTCCAGACACACTCCGTTACCGAAGCAGGGCTGACCCTTCGGACCGGGACACGGCTCACAGTGCTCCCCAAAGAACCCTCCACAACACCTGCGCACCTGGAAACAGAGGAGGTCTTTTATTCTGAAGGAACTTCCTGTCTTTGCGTTTGTTTGTGCAGAGGAGACGTACGATGTTCCTCCGGAGGCACGTGGCTCTGCAGCCGATGGTCAGCAGACGCTCCTCCTCAAACATCCGGGTGAACATACACTTCCTGGTCCTCGCTGACTTCTGCAGAGAACAGGTGACACAAACACCATGATGTCATTAACATGCTAATTAGTGTATTACATCATCGAGCAACATTTAGCCACTTTCCCAGCAGCTTTAGCTTCTCTGAGCTACATCCTCATTGACCCCACATGGTCCAGACCTGTACGAGGTTTGGACCTGGACCTGGACTCGTTTTATTATTTCATTAAATTACTTATGTAATATGCTGTAATTATCTCCTGTTGTTGCCACTTGATGATTTATTTAAATGTGTGTTTAACTGTCTTCTGCGTGAACACAGACAGGAAGTGAACGACGACCCCGCCCAGAATCATGAGTGTGTGGGTCAGGTGGTCTGAGGGTCGGAGGTCTTACAGCTGGGACGGTGTCGTTGGGGCAGATTTTGCCCTGTGGGAACAAACAGTCGACACAGGTTCCCTGTGGAGGAGGAGAACAGTGTTAATCAACAGGTGAGTGTGAGTGCAACAGTCTCTCAGGTGACGGAAGACGTTACCATGACGGTCAGGTACGTTGCTTCATCACAGCGGTTCCTGTTGATCTGCAGAACAGCTGACAGGCCGTGAATCACTCCGTCACCACTCAGGATGTTGGAGGAGTTCATCTGAGCATCGTTCACAAACAGCTGAGGAGACAGAGTCACATGATCAGGTCATGTTATCAGATCATCATGTGATCAGGTCTCTGGTGCATCAGGTCATGTGGTCAGGTCTCTGGTGTATCAGGTCATGTGATCAGGTCATGTGATTCAGGTCTCTGGTGTATCAGGTCATGTGATCAGGTCATGTGATTCAGGTCTCTGGTGATCAGGTATTCATGTGATCAGGTCATGTGATCAGGGTCTCTGGGTGTATCAGGTCATGTATCAGGTCCATGTGATCAGGTCTCTGGTGTATCAGGTCATGTGATCAGGTCATGTGATCGGGTCTCTGGTGTATCAGGTCATGTGATCAGGTCATGTCATCAGGTCTCTGGTGTATCAGGTCATGTGATCAGGTCATGTGATCAGGTCTCTGGTGTATCAGGTCATGTGATCAGGTCTCTGGTGTATCAGGTCATGTGATCAGGTCATGTGATCAGGTCATGTGATCAGGTCTCTGGTGTATCAGGTCATGTGATCAGGTCTCTGGTGCATCAGGTCATGTGATCAGGTCATGTGATCAGGTCTCTGGTGCATCAGGTCATGTGATCAGGTCATGTGATCAGGTCTCTGGTGTATCAGGTCATGTGATCAGGTCATGTGATCAGGTCTCTGGTGTATCAGGTGTGATGTGGTTCAGGTCCAGACCTTCCCGTCTCGGGGGAAGAAGCCGAGCTGGAAGGAGAATCCGAGCAGCGTCGGTTTGTAACCTCCAGGCTGCAGGTCGGTCTTCAACAAACGCTCTGATGTCACCACGTGGTAACGAGTCGTATTCACATCCTGTTAACAAAATAAAAGCGCAGAGACTGTAACAGCTGAGGTCTGATGTTTTGTTGACTTCACTCTGCTCTCAAGTCAGACTTGTACCAGTGCCGTGGCGGCCATCTTCTTCAGGTAATCGTTGATGGCAGCGTCTGTTGGGGCGAAGACGGTGAACTCGTTGGCCTGTTCGATCTCGTCTGTCAGGTTGTACTCCTGAACAAAGACACACACACACTTACAACAAACACCACAAATAAATAGAGATAACTAAACGAGCAGAGTGTTTGTGTTCGTACGATCAGATACGATCTGAAGAGCGAGAACTCTGGTCTCAGAGCGAGCGTTGCCAGCAGCCCCCCGCTCAACTTCCTGTCCGGAACCAGAACCTGCAGGTTAAAAGACAGAGTCAGTCGGTCTGTGGTGTCAAAGCATCGTCAGTGTTGTTACCACGGTGACATTTGTACCTTATCGATGACATGGATCAGCCCGTTGGTTGCAGCTAAATCTGAAGTGGTGATGGAGGCTCCGCCCACAGCTGTGAGCTGAGAACAAACACTGAGTCAAACTAAAACTTCATCATCAGAGGATTCATGTCTGGATGTTCTGGTCCTCCAGAATCAAACCTTCTCAGTCAGCATTGCCTCTGTGGACTCACCTCATTGGTTGTTGAAACAGGAAGTGTTGTCTTGAGCAGTGATGTCACCGAGGAAATGGTACTCAGGCTGGATAACGGATACCGACCAGGGATCATGTGATTTCTGTAAACAGATGGCAGATGTTACAGATGTGAACAAACAGCTGGAGGCAGAACAGAGTTTCAGTTCAGACCACTGATGGGTTCAGGTTTAAGATCAGACCAATGACGGGTTCAGGTTTTAGGTTTACAGAACAAACCATGTCAAAAGTCAAACAGCTGTAACCTGACGAGACTCGGCAGGTTTCCCTTCATGGTCCAGAAGCTTTTGTCCTCTGAAGACATTTTTGCAATAGCAGCTGAAGACGGAGCCAGGACAGTGAGGTTCTGGTCCGACAGAGACCAGGTCAGACCAGAGTCCTGACAGAGGATGACACAGAGACAGAAATATAAAGACTCAGAGACAAGACAAAAAAAGATTCAGGTGAGACCAGGTCTTTGTTCTCGGAGTGATACTCACAGTGGTCCAGGTGAGAAACTCGGAGGTGTCGGGCAGACTCATCAGTTCCTGGAATCGTCAGGAAACAGAGTCAGGTTTGGTGGTGAAGGTAGGGCTGAACTTACTTGTCGAAGGTCTGAACCTGGTCGACACTCACCTGATCCACTGAACCAAAACATATGTGACCGTCTCCAGAAAGTCCTTCATCACAGACACAGGTCCACCTGGAGGACAGCAGCCGACAGCTGGCCTGAAGACAGGAACGGCAAAGACACGACACAGTCAGAGACCTGAGGCCTAAGAGGTCAAACATCCACTGTGGTCATGTGATCAAAGATCCCTCAGCCTCAAAGACTCAGATCAGAGACTCAAAAATGCATCTGGTTCAAGAGATCAGAACTCACCAGGAAGTGACAGCCTCCGCTCACAGTGACACACTGGTTCACGGCCTCACAGTCTCGGCCACTCCCCTTGTACCCGGCTTTACAGCTGCAGTCGCTCTGTTGGAATAGACCAGATCTCAGACTGGACTCAGGATCAGGATCCAGTTCTGAAGCTTTAAAGGGTTCAATTTACCGCCCCCATAAAGTCAGAGGTAACGCCTCAGTGGACCTCACCTGTCCCGGTCCCACGTAGATGCAGGTGGCGTTGGGGTGACAGCCTCCTCTGTCAAGACCGTCACAGTTGTTGACTGGCTGACACTCGTCTCCGTCCTCCCTCCATCCGCTTAGACACTGGCAGGAGTGAGTCCCCGGTCCCGTCTTTATACATTTAGCCTGCAGGGGGCGGCAGCGAGTCAGGGATCAGGACTGTGAGGGATCAGGACTGTGAAGGATCAGGACTGTGAGGGATCAGGACTGTGAAGGATCAGGACTGTGAGGGATCAGGACTGTGAAGGATCAGGACTGTGAGGGATCAGGACTGTGAGGGATCAGGACCAAAGAGCTGGACATCAGTGAGGTGACTTACGTTCACACTGCAGCCGCCTCGGCGAGGAGGAGCACAGGGGTCAGACTCCACACAGGTGATACCATCACCTTGGTAACCACGTTTACATACACACCTGAAACGTACACAGCACACACTGAATGAAACAGCACATGGGGGGAGTTCACAAGTAATCAGATTACTGAGTTTCCCATGAGCGCTTCGTCAGATCTGATTCTCCAGGTTGAAGAAATGAGGCTCACTTACTGTTTATAGTTAAAACTGATACAGGTAAACTCACCTGGTCGTCCCTTGGCTGAAGTCACAGTCGGCGTGGGCGTGACAAAACTGAGCCTGAACGCCGCAGGCCGCTGTTTGTCGGTCACAGAACCGACCAGTGAAACCCATCTGACACGAGTCTGGTTTACACCGACCATCTGAGTCTGGACGGTTGTCACACTGTCCATGGATACAGGGACAGGCTGTAGGCACACAGGTGAGGCTACATCATCATGACATCACACCTGCGTGTATGACGTCATCAGGTGAGGGCACTCAGACTTACTTGTGTCACAGTTTGCGCCATATTTGTTGGAGAAGGAGCAGTACTGACAGCGAGAGCCTCTGAAGTTCAAATCACAGATACACGACCCATTTCCTCCAGTCCCCTCCATACACTGTAAAAACAACACTTCAGTTTCCTCCAGTCCCCTCCATACACTGTAAAAACAACACTTCAGTTTCCTCCAGTCTTGATAACGTGTTGAGCATGTTGAAAGTCTGACCTGACCATGTCCTGAGCAGGGAGTCTGGTATCCACCTGGACAGGGAGCGCAGTCTGGACCATAGAATCCTATACAACATGCTGGAGTCTGACCACACACAGGTGCACACAGGTAAACACAGGTGAACACAGGTAAACACAGGTACACACAGGTGCACACAGGTACACACAGGTGAACACAGGTACACACAGGTACACACAAGTACACACAGGTAAACACAGGTACACGCAGGTGAACACAGGTACACGCAGGTGAACACAGGTACACGCAGGTAGACACAGGTAAACACAGGTAAACACAGGTAGACACAGGTAGACACAGGTGAATACAGGTAGATACAGGTAGATACAGGTACACACAGGTACACATAGGTAAACACAGGTAAACACAGGTGAACACAGGTAGACATAGGTAGACACAGGTGAACACAGGTAAACACAGGTAGATACAGGTACACACAGGTAAACACAGGTACAAACAGGCAGACACAGGTAGACACAGCTAAACACAGGTAGACACAGGTGAACATAGGTAGACACAGGTGAACACAGGTAGACATAGGTAGACACAGGTGAACACAGGTAAACACAGGTAGATACAGGTACACACAGGTAAACACAGGTACAAACAGGCAGACACAGGTAGACACAGGTAGACATGTTTCACATGTTTCAACAGTTCTGTGACACCTGGTCAGCTCAGTCTTCTAATGAAGATCATGTGATATGACCAAAATGTCCAGAACAGATTTTAAATGGACCTAATCTGAACAGGTGTTGACGTACTGTTACAGTCACGTTGCAGAGCGGTGAGCAGCCAGTCGCCGGGATACTGACAGCTGGACTGCCAATGGAGAAAGTGTAAACACATCCGAATATGGAGGCGCCCTGATCAGAGAGAGGATCACACACTGAGACACACTTCTCTCAGTCACACAATAAAAACCCTGGAAAACTGAGCAGAGTGAGACGTCTCACCGTGTAGAGTCCAGACGAGCACTGAGACAGTTTCACTTTAGAGCAGGAGACACAGTCGCCCTGGAAAACAAAGATCCTCAAACGTCTTGTCTCAGTAGAACCTGTGTGTGTTGGTGTGTGTCTTCAGGACTTGAACCCTTAGAAAAGAACACGGCGGCATTTGAGTCTCACCCTGATGGTCTTGGTCTTGCTGATGTCACACCTGTGGGGCAGCACAGGTTCGATGGAGGGCGGAGTCAGAACTCCATCCACCACATACAGACGTCCGTTTTTAGCCTCCACAGCCGCCTCCAGCACAGCGGCTCCGTTGACCAGGATCTGACCCTGGGACACAGAACAACAGTCAAAACTCCAGACAACCCTGAACGCAGCACCAGGTACAGATCCAATGTCTGTATGGAGGAAGTAAAGTTAATATTATTAAAAAGGTTCTGCCTGACAGAGACCTGAGACCCACAGAGACCCACAGAGACCCACAGAGACCTGAGACCCACAGAGACCCACAGAGACCTGAGACCCACAGAGACCCACAGAGACCTGAGACCCACACTTACACTCTCTGTCACATTCATCGTCAGAACCTGATTGGCCATCGTCACGATCCTGGGACTGGATACAGCGTTGTAGACCTCCAGCTACAACCAGGACAGAGACTCATCATCAGAGACCAGTGAACATGTTAAACTCTTGAGTCAACTGACAGGTGAACTACAGGTGAACTACAGGTGTGATACAGGTGTACTCACCGCAGTGGATGGGACGATGTGGTTCCTCAGAAGCTCCAGCAGCTTGTTGTGACCCTGAGGGTTCAACATTTAATTTAATAAGTTTAAATGATTCAGGAATTTAAACAGTAAGAAAATCAGCTCTGAATTCTTTTGTTTTCATGAGTAAAAACTCGTCAAGTTTCTTCTGTAGCTGATGAATTTCCTCCTTTTAGGTTCAGGTCTCATGGTGTTTGAGGTTTTACGTCCTGACATTATTATTGATGGTTAAAGTTTCTGAGTTAAACTGTTTTAATTCAGACGTTCATGTGATCTTATTGGTTGTTTCAGATCCTCACTGCTGTTTCAGGTGCGCGTCTCACCTGAGCGCTGCTGAGGAAAGTCAGGTGTCCTGCAGCCATGGCGTCGAAGGCCGAACTGGTCGGAGCGAAGACGGTGATGGGTCCGGGAAGATCCAACACTGAGGCCAGCTCAGTTTTCTGAGGAGAGAGGGAACAGGGCTGAGAGGTTCATCCTCTGAAGAGCAGGAACATGATCAGGACGTTGAACACACTGATGGAGACACAGGATGTGACTCTGCACCGGTTCAGGTGTCATTAATCTACAGGTGTCTACAGGTGTCAGGACTCCTGGTGCAGACCAGGTCCACGACTCTGCAGGAACCTGCTCACCTCTAATAAAGACTTGAACTTGTCAAACTTTCCATAGTCAGAAACGATCTTCATCAGGTTCTCCTGAGGAAAAAAAGACATGATAAACGAATGAATGATTGAATGAATGAATAAATACAATAATGAATGAATGAGTGAATGAATGAATGAGTGAATGAAGGAATTAATTAATAAATACAATAATGAATGAATAAAAGAATGAATGAGTGAGTGAATTAATTAAAGAGTGAGTGAATGAATGCATAAATGAGTGAATAAATACAATAATGAATGAATAAAAGAATGAATGAATGAATGAATGAATGAATGAATAAGTGAATAAATACAATAATAAATTAATGAGTGAATGAATAATTTAATACAATAATGAATGAATAAAAAGGATGAATGAGTGAATGAATGAATTCATGTTTTTCCGGTACCTCAGTATCACTCTCCACGGTGGGAGAGACACTGTCCATCAGCTTATTGATGAGGTGGATCATCCCGTTGGACGCCACAACATCTGATTGGACGATTACTCCTTTCTTCCTGCTGCCATGGATACGGATTTTAGTCTGAGCGTCCTGAGGGAGAGATGAGAGAAACGTAGACTGACGAGCGGCGTGAGGCGTCAGGAGGAGCTGGAGCTCATGTGTCGTTGGTGTATAACTGTCTGACGACATGTGAAGTGTAACCTGTTGATGGCCGTGTGACGCAGACGAGCGGCTGTCACTGTAATTTGTGTCATGTGATCAACGCTGCATCAGAGAGGAAGGTTCATCAGAGGATCATGGTCTGAAGTGGACTCAGTGTTTCCACTCACACTTCCTGCACAGTCAGCACTTCTGCTGTGTGTGTGTGTGTGTGTGTGTGTTTGTGTGTGTGTGTGTGTGTGTGTGTGTGTGTGTGTGTGTGTGTGTGTGTGTGTGTGTGTGTGACAAATGAAAGAACTAATTAATCTGACTCATTAATAAACATGAAGTCTGTGTCTCCCTGTGTGTCAAAGTTGGCTGAAGGTGAAATTTGACCTCTGAGTGAATCCTGAGTTTTAAACCTGAAGCTGAACTGAAATGATCTGATCTTCCTCACTGAGGCCCCTCCCTGTCTCACCCCCTCGGTTGTGTCTGTCTCAGCTGATTTTCCAGTCAGGGTGTAAAACACGTCACTTTTCTTCAGAGAGTCAAAGGGCATCGTCCCGGCAACCAGGTGCATCTTACACAGGTATTTAGCTTTGGACTGGTCTGCGGTCAGAGTCCTCACCTGGTCAACAAACAGGAAACAGACATAAACTGATATGATCCATTACAACTTTCATGCTGTGTTTGACGTTGTGGAGGAAAAATGATCGATCGTTTATCTGATGTGATTCTCACCAAAATTCCTTTGAAGCCTTTATTGATCGGGACGAAGACAGTGAAAGGACCCAGATTCTGCAGAGGCCACGACACAGAACCTGAAACAGACACAGAACGTTCTTTATCGACATGAACTGCTCAGTTCTCGTGTCATGGTGACTGAAACGTCAGCAGGATCTGGACTCAGACAGAAACCATATCACCTGAGAGTCCAGCGGGAACGTAAACCCCTGAGGTTCTTTATCTCAGCTTCTTCTCATTGTCATGACGACTTGGCAACTGTTGTCATGAGTCATCGTCTGAGCAGCAGCTCATAGTTAGGTTTCATTGTTGTTATGACAGCAGAGGAGGAAGTCATGTTACCTGGTATAAAGAGTCAACGAAACACTAGACTTTGACTCCAGTTAACTGTAACCACGTTGCTATTGTTGTAACCATGACAATGAAGGTCGTCTAATCTTAAAGGGGTGTTTATTTTGAGCTAAACCACAGCTGTACAATATATATATATATATATATAGATATATAATATACATATAATATATTTATATATATAATCAATACATAATCTATAATGAAAGTCATACCGAACAGGGAGAGGGCGTTGCTCAGCTGACCGCTCCACAGTCCTCCAGGTTCTGTGTTCAGCTCGTTGAGACGCTGCATGATGTTTCCGTAACAAATTTTACCGTTACCGAGGTAACCCTGGAGGCAGGTACACCTGAGGGACAGAGGGACAGGTGACACACCTCTTCAGCACTGTGACACATGTTGATCGAGAGGTGGAAACAGAGTTAGGACTGACTGGACTCGTCCTGGACCCACGGTGGTACAGTTGGCGTTCTTGTGGCAGGAATCAGATCTACACGAGTCCCTCATGCTGCAGCTGCCGTTAGACAGGTTCTCAAAACCAGGAAGACACTCACAGTGGGACTGAAGACAGCAGAGACACACAGGATTACACTCATGAGCTGGTCCCCCCAGATCCTGATCCTGATTTATTGATTCTATTTATAATTCGATTTTAAGGTTCAATTATTTTGATCTATATGAAGAATTAATTCAACGGATATGACTTATTAGCAGATCCTGATCCTGATGTTGTTCCTGTTCCTGAGCTTGTTCCTGATGTTATTCCTGATCTTGATCCTGATCTTATTTCTGATCTTGATCCTGACATTGTTCTTGATCCTGTTCCTGATGTTACTCCTGATCTTGACCCTGATCTTGTTCCTGTTCCTGATCTTGACCCTGATCTTGTTCCTGATCTTGTTCCTGATCTTGATCTTGTTCCTGATCCTGATCTTGTTCCTGATCTGGTCCCTGATCTTGATCTGGTCCCTGATCCTGACCTTTCCCGGTCCGTCATAGACACATCTGGTGGACTTGGCGGTGCAGCCTCCTTGTTGGGTCTGACATGGATCGATGGCCATGCAGACACGCCCATCCCCGGTGTAACCATCGTGACAGGCACACAGGTGCTGGTTTGGACCCGTGTGGACACAGGAGGCGTGGACATGACAGGACAGCCTGAGACACGGGTTTATGGCTGAGGAGAGAGACGGTTTGGCAAATGAACCAATCAGTGATCAGAACTAAATACAGGTGGTGCCGGTTTCTAGGGAAACTTACATAAACACTTATTTCCTGACTTCTGGTAACCAGGTAAACACTGACACACAAACTGTCCCGTCAGAGCCTCCTCCATACACTGAGAGTTCTGCTGACAGCTGAGGGCAGCACACTCAGGTGACTCTATAACACACAGGTAACAGGTAACACACACACAGGTAACAGTAACAGGTGAGAGGACAACAGAGAACAGGTAGCAGAAATAGAACTGGTACAGGTAACAACAACAGCACAGGTAACTGTATGTATTTATAATATATTTATCTGATGATGACACAGTGAAATGATTATTGATTGATTAATTGATTGATTATCAGAACATCAGATATCACTGATCAGACTGACCTTGGTCACAGTTTGGACCTTTGTATCCAGAGAAACAGGTGCATCTTCCATTACCTGTCAGTCCAGAGTCACACAGACCATGGACACAGGTACACACTGGACCAGGTGTGTGGGACACACACACACACACAAACAAATAAACAAACAAACAAACAAACAAAATAGATAAAGGTGAATATTTGTGTGTGAAATGTGACAACTGATGTTATTAACAGTTAGTTTGAAGTTACCTGAGCTGCAGGTGGGACCATATCGACCAGGTGCACAGTCCTCACATGCAGTTCCTGCAAAACCCACCTAAATCCAATACACCCCCCCCCCCACACACACACACACACACACACACACACACACACACACAGTATAGTGTATACATAGGCTATAAACATAAACATAAACATATATATATATATATATATATATATATATATATATATGTATGTATAAACATACTGTATATATGTGTGTATATTTGTATATCCAGGTGTGTTACCTGACAGCTGCAGGTCCCGTTTCCTCCCAGTCCATCAGAGCAGACTCCTCTCCTGCTACAGGGTCTGTGAGGCTGGTCCGGACACTCTGAAACAAACAGCAGCACAGGAAACAGTCAGCAGAGGAAACTACAGCTCCCTCCATCCTTCCTGCTCTCATCCCTCTCTCAAGTTTCTGTCCCTCTCTTATCTCTGCATGTTATCTCTCTGTTTCCTTCACTCTCAATTCTCCTCTCAGGGAACAAAGACTTCAGACTCACAGCTCATCAGAGACAGTACTGGACCTGGACCACCTGTGGACATGTGTGTTTGTGTGTTGGTGGTCTGAAGTCAGTGTCAGTGTGACCGTCAGCACATTTGTGTCCTGCTGACTGAGAGGAAGGAAGTCCTGGTCCCTGCAGGACGATCTGCATCCTGCAGGACTGAGCTAAAAGCCTAGTGAAGCTGTTTACATGTGAAGCAGCAGCAGCAGGAAATGTAGCGTTAGCATTAGCAGTAAGCTAATGATGTAAATGGTAACACCGGCTGCAGGAAGGCTTTAACATGTGAAGGTACAGTAGTATCATCATCAGTTGTTATTAGAACAGAGGCCCTGCACTGCTGCTGTTGTTCCAGCTGTTGCCATGATGACTGTCTTCACTCGTTCTGGGTCAAAGTTCACAGAGTTTAACTGAATTATAAACTCAGCAGCTCAGCAGATGACCTTCATGTTGCAGTGAATGAACATGAGTGAGTCCTCACCAGCACAGTCTGGACCCCAGTATCCTGGACAGCAGCTCTTCACCTCCACCTCTCTGTAGCACTCGGAGGAGCAGCCGTCGATGGCTAACTTCAGACTGGGGGTCCTGATGTGATACCTGACAACACAACACACACACTGTCCATACAGGGTGGTGGACACACAGACAGCTGGACTCTGGTGGCGGGGGTTCACACTCACTTGCAGGCCTGAGTGGTGGCCCCTGGTGTATGTTTGTATCCTAAGGGACATTGCACATGGAACAGGACGATGCCGCAGGCGCTACAGGCCGTCCGAGTCCTCAGCACCGTGGAGTTAGAGCAGAAGTTCTGACAAACACACAAACGCAACATGAGTCTGAACCCAGTCCGACAGACTAAGAATTATCGATGCTACGTCCACACTACTACATTTTCATTTTAAAACTCATCTCTTCTCTACATTTTCTCCTTTGTCCACACGATTCCGGAGTTTTGGAAACTCTGGGGTTGTGTTTTATTTTAAAGACTCTGGGGTTGTGTTTTATTTTGTACAGACAGAGACTGAGACTAACCACTAACTAACCAACTGCAGAGGAGACAATCTACTTTCTGTTTACACCGGCTTGCACATGCTCAGTGTAGATAAATGGTCATGTGTTTTCAGGTGTGATAGTCTGGACAGAGATCATTTTTGATTTAAAACGCCATTCTTAAAGGAAATTGTAGTGGTGTGAACACAGCCTGAGACCTCAGGTGTGAGTCTGTCACCACGCCAACAGACTCACGTGTTAGTGCAGAATAAATGATGAACACATGAACAGACTGTAAGAAAATCAGATCAGAGAGAAACAGCCTGGGAAACGTCTCCAGACTCTCCAGGCCCAGAAATCCAAACCTTCACACATCATAAAGCCTGTGTGAGTGTAAACAGGAAATGACTGTAATAATGGTTATCAGCTGTATCTGACCCGCCCAGGAAACCCTCAGAAACACTAACACAGGTCCTGGAAAGACCTGGAAAAACCTGGAGTACTTTACTGAGGGTTTCCAGGCGGCATGGTGGCCTGGAAAAGTTTCCAATCATCAACAAAACTGAAGAAAAATTTTTTTTTCTGAAACAATTAAAGATGAAAAAACAGAAAATAACAAAAAGCTGATTTTATCTGAAACTTTGGAGACGATGAAAACATGAACATGAAGGTCCAGAATCTTATTTTCATCCTTTTTATCACTGACTTGTGTCAGACTTCAGTCACAGCTGAACAGTGAAGAAAACATCTTCAGTCATTGAATTTTTTTTTATATCAGGTTGCAACAGGACAAATTCATGAACATATGGGAAAGATGTATTAGGTATGAAGCACCTGGACGTTATCATTTGGTTCATGTCTTTTTTTTCTTTTCCAGCCTTTTTTATAAAAGGTTTGAGTATCAGACAGGTTCACCCCCACTATATTTTTGTTTCAGTTATCTGGATTGGTTTTGTTGCTCTGTTGGATATTTCATATATTAGGTATTTACTTATTGAAATTTTTGTATTTTCTTTTTCCTCTTGTTGGATGTTTATAATTTAATTTACTTCACTGTTCTAAATTGTTTCCATATTAACTATTTTGACTTGATTCATTATTTGTGTTTGTAGCCGAGTCTGACAGAATTCTGACGAATGGATCATGAAGTCATAAAATTAATGTATTCATGTTTGTGACATTAACAGATGAAGTTAAACTTTTGTTTCACCAATCAATTTCTTCTTCTGTCAAACTAAAGTTACTGATCTGACCCATGTGTACATGGTTCCTCAGTTTTCCCTGCTCTGACATGATGGAGAACAGATCACTTCAGATCAGATCAGTTTAGATCAGATCAGATCAGATCAGATCAGCAGTCTGGAGTCTGAGCTCTTAGATTCGGGTTCAGGATTCAAAGTTGGTTTTAAAGGTTTGAAATGAAGCAGTTTGGTTCTCAGAGTCCACAGGATGAAATATCTTTGAATGAATGAATGAATGAATGAATGAATGATGACTGTACCTGTGATGCAGCTGAAGTCATCATCATCATCATGGTCGTCATCATCATCAGAGAGACAACCAGCAGCTTCAACATCTGACAGACCTCCATGTCTCCTGTCCTGGTCTGTCCTGGTCTGGTCTGTCCTGTTCTCTCCCTGTCAGACTCTTTTCAGCGCCCCTCCCCCCTCCTCTATGTGTTTCCTGTAAATCCCGCTCAAAGAGAACTGCTGACTCAGGTGTTTTTTTACTGACAGAACTTTGATAAAACTTTATTTAACCACAGACGAGCTGTGTTGAAACGTTGTTTTATAAATAAAACTGTGTCATATTATCACAGTCCTGTAGCAGAGACCAGACCTGCAGAGACCAGACCTGCAGAGTCCAGACCTGCAGAGACCAGACCTGCAGAGTCCAGACCTGCTGAGTCCGGACCTGCAGAGACCAGACCTGTAGAGTCCGGACCTGTAGAGTCCGGACCTGTAGAGACCAGACCTGCAGAGACCAGACCTGCAGAGTCCAGACCTGCAGAGACCAGACCTGCAGAGTCCAGACCTGTAGAGACCAGACCTGCAGAGTCCAGACCTGTAGAGTCCAGACCTGCTGAGTCCGGACCTGCAGGGACCAGACCTGTAGAGTCCGGACCTGTAGAGTCCAGACCTGTAGAGACCAGACCTGTAGAGTCCAGACCTGCTGAGTCCGGACCTGTAGAGACCAGACCTGTAACAACATAAAAAACTAAACTCAGACAGCTTCAGTCTGCAGTGACTTTCAGTTAAATTCAACACATATGTTTTGACTCTCAATTTAAACTGGTTTTTAAATTAACTCTTGTTTAATCCTGAACAGACAGATGGAGGCTGTAAGATCATACTACAGTTAACTAATGTGTGTGTGTGTGTGTGTGTGTGTGTGTGTGCAGTGAATAGCAGGAAATCCTGGACTGTAAATGAGAATCTGTTGCTCTTTTCTCTTTCCTGAAACTTTCTGCTCTGTCATCACACACTGCTGATAAGACACACACACACACACACACACACACACACACACACACACACACAGACACACACACACACACACAAAAACAAACCACTTTCTGCTGACTGTCAGTGTGAACAGGAGTCGTCTTTGTTTTTTGTTCTAACCTCGTCATAAATCACATGTTCACCTGAAGAACAATCTTTCTTTAAATGTCTACAGTCTGAGACAAACAGATGATCAGAGAGCAGATGTGATGCTGCTGAACATCTTGATAACAGACTGACATCTTCACTGATTCTATTTTGTGTCATTGAACATTTTTCCTCAGGAGGCTCAGACAGACAGACACAGTTAATATCAGTCTGATTAAACTGCTGAATGTGAGGTTTCTATGAGCTCACAGCAGAAATATGTCATGTCTTTAACTTTATAAATCTCAGAAATAAAGATAATTATCCTTGTGGCGTATTCTCTCACAACAGAGTTAAGAGTCAGCTGACATCTGCAGGAACAATATTTTAACTGCTGTTTTAATCATCAGTACATTTACCTCTTTCAATCTGGTCTTTGTAGTCTCTGGGTGTCTTTCCTCCTTCAATCCATCAGGGGGCAGCAGAGTCAGATCAGTACTTTACACAGACCAGAATCACAGATCACAGAGTCTTCCTGGAGGACTTCACATCTGTACACAACAGAGTATCCTGAGGTCTTAGATCCAGATCAAAAAAACTCTCAAAAACATTAATTGAACGAAAGAATGAAAGAGGGGGATATAAATACACTTCATCCTTTTACCACATCACTGACACTTCAGCTCTTTATGTCACTGACACTCACACTCCTTTACAGTATCTTCTTTAACTAAAGCATATACCTAAGTAAAGTACAAGGACCTCAATTACCTTCCACCACTGCTAATACAATCACTGAGCCTTCGCACACATGGATGTTAATACTGTTCAATGTGCCAACGGGTAAAACTCCTGAGTGAACAAAAAGATGGAGTCTGTTATAGAAGCTAATATCAAAAAGGTGACAGACTAACTAAACCACCACAGACACACAGAGACCATTAACATGAAATAATAACCTCTATAATGATGTCAGACGTTTCTCTTCAACAACTAATCCTCCACTGTCTCACTGCTCATGACTGAGCTCCGGGGGGGGCAGAGCAAACAATGGGTGAGTTTTCCAAACTTCTGGTGGGACACGTCACTGTGACGCAGGAAGCTCGCGCTGTGTTTACAGGCTATTGTTACGAGCAACAAAGATGTATCTTTCCTGTGCTAAGAAACGTTAGCATTATTCCCGCTGATAATAAGAAGAAAGGCCGCAGCAAAGAAAAGGCTGTGGGTGTGTCAGAGGTACCTCAGGTACAGAGAGCAGCCTGGGGGGAGGAGCTGGGGGAGGAGCTCCGTTTCCACGGGACCAGGTCTACTGGCGGGATGCCTCGTTCCTATTAGCCGCGCGAGTGTTCGTCACAGCGCGAGCTGCAGCTAAAAACGTTCGTGGAGCGGCGCTAGTCATTGGAAATAATGGATTTCAGAGCACGGTGCTGTTCTATCTGAAAGCCGTATCGGTCCTTACCGCAGCGGTCCGGGATCGAGTCCGACCTTTAGTCGTGGACCTTTGTTCCACAACATCCCGTCTCTCTCACTGTGGCTGTCAGAGTGGAGGCAAAATGTCCCACAATTATTTTTAAAAAACGTTAGCTAAACTGTAACTTAAGGCTAAATTAGAAACTAGCTAACATTAGCATTCATCCATAGATACTTGACACAATCTTATTCAGAAACTCTGAAGGTAAGAAAGTAAAGTGTATTAAAGCTACATAGTTAGCTACTGCTACTACTCTTTAGCTACTGCTACTTGTATCAAAGATCCTCTATACTGTCGCTGCTTGTATTTACCTACAGTGTCTGTGTGACGTAGGGGAGCGGAGACTTGAGGGCGGAGCCACTGATGGAGTGACTCAGCAAACTAGCTGTTCAGGCAATGTCAAGGTTAAGAAATGGTACGGTCCACTTTAGGGGTGTCTGAAATTGTATCAAAAGATTTGATTTGATTTGACCTTTTTTTTTGGGGGGGGGGGGTCAGTGGACAATAATTTAATATCATATTTTATAATCTAATCAGCGACTGTCAGAAACGTTTTCCTACATTTCACTGGTGAAGTAAAAGTAAAATACAGTTTTTTTAATTTACTTACTTTTCTTTGTTCATCTTCAGTTGTTTCATATTCTTCATATTATTACTGAGATGTTTAAAGTGTAGTTAATAACTGCAGCTTTGTCGTGTTCTCGTCTCCGTCAGGTTTTAAGTCTGTCATAAGTGAAAACACTCAAAGTATCTGACGCAGCATCGTCACTTCTCACACATCAGTCTGTTATTCAGACGAGGAGGCGACAGGAGGAAGACTCTGAGAGGAGGTTCCTCATCCTCACCCTCATCCTGTCCTCTCCTTCAGACTGTTGGAGACTAAGTCTTCAAAACATAAACAGCAACCACAGGTGTCAATTATTTCTACTCTTTCTCAGACAAATCTACTTCTTTTAAAAGTTTCTAGGAGTTGGTGCCAAAACTTTTGAACAGAATTTTCAATAAAATGACATCTGATCTCATTAAAGAATTGGTTTTATTTGACTGATTTATTTGTAATAACTTGTGGTACAGTTTTTAATGTTTAAGTTTTATGCAGAGCATCTGTTTCATGCAGGTTTGGGTTTATTTGTCATTAATCTTCATTTCAATTAATATTCTGACCAAAACTGTCTGAATCGGTGGATTGGCTCTTTGTGAAGATGTTTGGTACAAAGAGTTTTTACTTCTGTTTACTTCAGAATATCTGGATGTAACGTCTCAATATGCAAAAATTAAGCATCATTATTTACACATAAGTTATGTTTATTGCCAAAAATAAAATACAAAAACATTTGATTTCATTTTAAAATTAATTTTTCAGTTTTTCTAAAGAACTAAAAGAAGAAAACAAACTCTGTCTTCACTATGTCCGTCAATGTTTACAGGTGAAGGAAAGGTGGGGTGGGCGCTGGAAAGAGAATGAACATTTCAGGAGGTCATCCTCTGCAGCATCACATCAACCAATCACAGCCCGTCCTCTGCTGCACAGGTGATAGGTGTGGAAAGCTTTGTGATTGGTCACAGGGAAATCCAGTAAAATCTGTCCATCGCTGACTCATGGGTTTGTCTCTTCACAGGTAGATGTTTTCATTAACATCTGTGGTTCATACAGGTGAGATGTTTCAGATGAGATCTTGATTCTCAGGTGTGATCTTCGTTCTCAGATGAGATCTTCGTTCTCAGGTGAGATCTTGATTCTCAGGTGTGATCTTGATCTTGTGCCGTTTCCTTTATTTACAGGTGTGCATGTCATTCATGCTCTCACAGCGCCTGCACTGGACGTAGCAGCACCAGACGAACTTGCACTCGCAGCGCTGGACATGTCTCACCACGTGTGTGTTGTATCCTCGGCCGCAGCACAGCAGGTTGCAGCCGTCCGGCCCGGCAGACGTCCGGTTGCAGCGGCGTCCTCTGGTGCCGGCGACACCCCGCCGCCGGTCCTCCAGGCAGTAGTTGGGAGACTTGTTGAAGAAGATGAGCTGGTGTTTGTCGACAGGGAAGAGACGCTGGTCCTTCCTCCTCGGCTTCTTCCTCGAGCGGTCTGACACCTGAACACTGCGCTCGTATCGCTCCTTCAGGTACATGCCCACACGCTCGAACGCCGCCATTGTCCTCCAACACGTCTTCACCGCGCAGGAACCAGAAACGCCGTGACAACGACAGTCTGTGGACATCGTTTTGTCAATCGCCTGAAGGACACAGAACATGACAGAGGTTAAAGAGGTTATAATATAATTATAATGGAAGGACTGAGACTACAGGCACTCGGTATCAGAAAGTGACGAGCCAGTCCAAATTATAGCCCCCCTGTTCCCGGTCTTACCTGCCGTCCAGCCTCTGTGTTGTGCTGGTTCATGGTGACCAGTGTGTACCCTCCTCTACTCGTCGACATGTTTTTGACGCTATTGTCGATGAACTTGCGGCTGAACCAGGTCCCGTACTGGATGTGGTCTGAGCAGCCGCCCCAGTGCCAGCCCTCCTCTGTCGAGCCACTGCCCTGCAGCCGAGCGTCGCAGCCACACTCCGTCATGTTGCCCTGACTGCAGGACCGCGTGACGGCGTGGACCAGCCCCGCCGCCATGACTGCGTAGATAAACGCTGTTTCTTTGGTTCCTATTGGACGAGAGGGAGGGCGGGGTTAGTGTGACATCAAGTCCAGATTAAAGAGGAGGCTCAAAGATCAGAGTAAAGGTGGTAAAATACTTCAGTACACATTGAACACCTGCATGTCCAGAGTTCATCAAGTCCCCAGTCAAGACCAACAACTCCCAGGTGTATTCCAACCACCACTTCAACTTCCTTCAGTAATGAATTGATGTTTTCACTTTATTTTGGCGGTTTAAAAGCTTCATATATCTCTCAGCACTTTACCACTTGTATGGATTTAAACAGGATAAAGACTCAGTGAAGTAGGTTCATGTTTGTCCTCCATCACTAATAGATTTATGACGTCTCACGTGTCTCTAATATCCTGATTTAAAACATGTGATTCACTCAATTTAATCAACATACGTATCATCACATGTCCTGTCTTGACATTTACTGACACATTTAAGTGAAACTGTGGCCACTAAAGATATAAGAGGGAAACTCTCCTGCATTAAGTAGAATCAAAGCTGCTGTAAATCCTTTAATCTAAGTCAGTTTGATCCAATAGGGTCAGGTTAAAGCTTCTTATGATTATATCCTTTATTATAAAAGGTAAAAAAGTGTCATTGAGGTTAATAATGACCAGAGTGTTTTAGAGATGTGTTGATTCAACCAACAGCTGTTCCTGATATTTTGTGTACAAACACGAACCTGTACTCATGAAAACACCAAAGATCCCTCAACTCATCATTAATTTAAAAAGACCAAAATTAATTACTTCAAAAACACCTTTATTAAAAAACGTATCCTTAGTTTTAATGAGTTTTCTGTGTGGATGAAAGATTTTAAAGATCTAAATACACAGAAACATGAGATCCATCACTCATTAAAACCTCCATGATATATTTTAATCCATTAATTTATCCATTAGTTAACCTCTGAATTCACACCTTAAAGTCTTTTAACGGTTCAAATTAAGGAGAACAGAAATATCAATTATTAAATTATCTAGCTGAAAAACCAGAGAATAAGAATTAATTAATTAATTAGCAGCTGAAAATAAAATAAACCTGAATAAACCTTACACTCAGCATTCATGGATTTGTGGGATATGTACAGTTAATGTGTAATTTAAGGGGAAACTATTAAAAACCCTGAAAGTCATTAGTTGATTAAAGCGTTTTAAGAGGTGGATTTAAGTGTTTTAGCTTCATTAAACATGTATTGTGTTATAATGAGCAGCAGGTCTTTATCTCTGCCGCCACCATCAAGACAAACTTCACAGCACTTCTCTCTGGTTTTTATCACCCAGTGTTGTGTACAGTAGTAACCGGCCTCACCGCTCGTTAACTCGGACCCGAACACGGACGGCTCGGTGGTGGTGGAGCAGTTCCACCTCTCGTGTCTGAACTGACTCTGACACTCAGTGATGGCCAGCCGGGCTCCGTCCTGGATGCTGGGCAGCAGGAACGGTTTCTTCCGGCACAGCTCCCGCTGCCTGTGGCTCAGGGGGAGGTTAGCACAGCCCAGCTTCTCCGGCACTCCCTCCGCGGTCACACCCAACCACCTGTGGAGAACACCGGCCGTTACTGCCCCTCTGCTTCCCTGACAGGTGCCGCCCTCACCGGGGAAATCTTGCTTGTTGGAAAGTGAACACACCGAAACAACGACACTTCAGGTAAATTAGAATCAATAAAACCAAGTTTTTACATCCGGCATAAATATAATGAACCTTTCCCGCGTTTTAATGAAAAGTCTGTTTGGCCCATGTTAAGGGATGTTAAACCTGATGATAATCCGAGTTCAAAGGGTAACTAATCTGAGTTAAACCTGATGATAATCTGAGTTACACCTGAGTTAAACCTGATGATAATCTGAGTTAAACCTGATGATAATCTGAGTTACACCTGATGAAAATATATGAGTTAAACCTGAGGATAATATAAATTAAACCTGAGGATAAAAAAAATAAACCTGAGAATAATATAAATTAAACTTTAGGTTAATATAAATTAAACCTGATGATAATCTGATTTAAACCTGAGGTTAATATCAATTAAACCTGAGGATAATCTGAGTTCAACCTGAGGATAATAAGAGTTAAACCTGAGGTTAATATCAATTAAACCTGATGATAATCTGAGTTCAACCTGAGGATAATATAAATTTAACCCGAGGATAATAAGAGTTGAACCTGATAATATGAGGGGGGCTGGAGTAAACGCTGACAGCGAGTTGTTACTATGTGGAACATGTATGAGCAGAATAGCAGAGCGGGTCTTACATTACATTGGTTAAATGTTACGTGTGTGTTGGGGCCTTTAATTAATGAACATTAAAAGTGGAGCTCGTTATTTCAGCTCTTCAGTTTATGTTTAATAAATCTGAGACTTTGAATTGATTCTGTTTCTGGTTATTGATGGAAAATAGTGAGTGAACGACGGGCGAGGTCGAACATGTGCGCCGCATTACAGAGTGGCGTCCGTCGCTCCGGATGATTTAGTGAATTACAGGCTGTTAGCGGCGGTATTTGCCCGGGCAGATAAACGGACAGATTTGTAATGGGACTCTGGTGTTATTAGATCTGGAAAGGTAACTGTGTAAACCGCTTCAGCTCAGATCACATGAACAAACTGAAGCTCATAAATCATAAATCCAGCTGCTGCCGAGGAGCCGCGCCCCGTTCACTGCCTCTTATTTAGACAATCACACTCTCGCTTGATTCGGATCATTAGCCCCTGTTTCTTCTTCTTCTTCTTCTTCTTCTTCTTCTTCTTCTTCTTCTTATTATTATTATTATTATTATTATCATTATTATTATTATTTTACACCATTAGCCTACTAATTGAATCACAGACCGGGTGGATCCAATAAACTTTTGAAACTTTAGGAATCCTCTCTGAAGCGGCATGTGGTTAAATTTACAGTTTTTTAAATGATGTTTGGCTCAGTCCGCGAGGTCGACGCACATTTCATCACTTCATCTGATATCCCGAGAACAAACTGAAAAAGAAACAGTGTTGGGATTTTATTTCCCCTGCTGTTTCTTATTCATTTTATTTAGGCCAAATTAAAAACTGGGCGGAAAACTAAATCATCCGCAGCTGTAAAATACCAAAGGATTTCCCATAAAACACCAGATTTTACACTTGATTCTCGTCGCTCGCTTCCGCCGCCTCTTATACGAAAGGCATTTTATGTAGTTACGTAATTGCGAACTAACCAATATTAAGTTGTTTAAATGAACCGAATTGAAGAGTGGGTCTAACTACTACAGGAGCTTTGCTGGATAATGTCTGAAGTGTTGAGGGATTGAACAGATACACGGAAACGCTTTAAATTCAGTTTTGTTAATGGAAGTTCGTTTAATTAAAACCGGATCCAGCTCAGATCCCACGAACAAACAACCTGTAGATTCAACGACAACCAGAGAATCAGAGGAGTGAAACTCTGTCAGTTCGGTTCAGACTGCTGCTTCCACTGTGAAGAACTACGGAATAGTTGGTTAATAGTTTAGTGAATATACTGTACACCGATGGGAGAATGTGTGGTGAATAATGTCTGTTAGTGTTAGCAGGAGCTGAAGAGCAGGGAACCTTTAAATGACAGTTTTGTTAACGGGATTTAGTTTTTGTGGATCTCACGAGACTAATGCGTAAAACCAATGCGCGTCCGGCCACTGAGATGGATCCATGTCCCGGACAGACTATCAGATAGTCCAGATTTTAAACGGTGTTCAGATCTCTTGCTTCTTTTTGTTTTTGTGGTCAAAGACTAAATGAATCCATTAAAAAAAGTACTGAAGTTACATTAATTGAATATGTTGGATTAAAATTGTGGCCGAATTGAAGGACGAGTGCCGTTGCTCCGGATCATGTATTGAACTGTGTCTGAAACGGTGAGTGCCCGAGCAGACGCGCACAGAAACCTTAAAGTGACGGTTTGTCAAACGGAGTCTGGTCTGTGATCTGAGGCTCGTACTTACATCCAGCTGGCTCTGCAGCACAGCGGACACACGGACACCAGCAGCAGAGTCAGAGTGCACATGTGTCGCACTCCACAGATCCGTGTCTCCATGTCCTCTTCATCTATCTGAGCCGCAGGGCTGCAGGGTGTCCATCAGTCCATCAGTCTCTGTCTCATACTAAGACCCGGTCCAAGAGCACATTCATTAATCCCGGTCTCAGTCCATTAATGACCCTGCGGTGAGGCGGCGGCCCGACTCCCCGCTGTCCCGCTCTGATGAGCCGTTAGAAACTCTCCAGGACTCCGCTCAGCTTCCACACGTTTTTATTCTACGAGAGAAGCAGCAGGAGCGACTGGACCAGTCCGAGGCCCGGAGGATCCTCATTGGACCAGCCGAGGATTCATATTCAGCAGTGACGTCACAGCCCGACTCCAATTGGACGGATGGATCCGAGACAGACAGCACACTGACATCTGATCCGCCATTATTAAAATATGTGTTGACAGGGAGTGATACAGGAGAAAGAGTGTGATCTGTGAACGAAGTCTGAGTTTGATGAGCGCGGGATGGAGGCTGGTGACATGTGACATGTCTGACAGGTTTAACTGAGGAATCAATGAATAATCCACTTCAATGTTTTCCAGAGCTTTCAGCCACATCAGTGGATCCAAGCTCAAGAGTCTCTTATCAGACAGTAAGGTGGACCTGAAGTTAATCAGCTGGAAGAGACAGTCCTTTGATCTGGTCCTCCTTAAATCTGAGTGAGAACTGAAAACTTCACAGAATTCATCAAAAAAACCCAAAAGTCAAACCTTCAGTTTTATGATGACTTTAATAAAATGCGTAAAGTTACAGTTTAAAAAGGTGAAGTAGAAAAGAAATAATAAAAACAGATCCCATGTCTTCACAGTTGGATTATTAATGACAGAATCATAACCTTCATATAAATATTCATAGACTCTAGTTTCCAGCATGTAAACATGTTGAGAGATAAACAATAAACAATAAACATCTGTAGAAAAATATAGAAAATATAAGAGAGGATCAAATATAAGACGTTTCTCATCAGTCTTTGGTTGAAGCTGGAACAGGAATCAGTGAGGTATATAAACACACAGGAGAGGCAGCTCATCAATAATATTACTGTTTGATTAATGATCAGGCCGGTCTGAGGTCCACACAGGAGCAGAACAATAATATTAATCTTTAATTAATGATCAGATATTCACTTCTAATATGAGCACATCAGGAGCCAACAGGTGTACACGAGACTAGTTAAACATCACAAACTAGTTAGTATGCATCAGAACTAGTTATGCACCAGAAACTAGGCGAAGCATCAGAAACTAGTTAGTACACAGTAGAACCCGGGCTACTGTGGTAAAACTAGCCAGTGCTCTTTAGAAACTAGGTGCTGTGGTGAAACTAGGAGGTGCATATGAAGCTAACCTGATTGTGTTGACTAGCAGCAGGTTGTCATTAGAAACAACCTGCTGCTCACTAACTAACGTCGGCGACTAACTTGTCGTTGTTGTGTTGTAAATAGAATAAAGAAAACAAATGTTGACCACACCTCTTTCACATCCAGAAGAGAGAAGTTTTTAAATGTTCATCTTTTTTTTCCTCATTATTACTGCCCCTCTTCCTCTTACACCCCCCCACCCCCACCCCCACTGCCACCCACACACACACACACACACACACACACACACACACACACACACACACACACACACACACACACACACACTTAGGTTCGGGTTTTGGAGCACAGGCGGCTCAACAGGATCTCAGAGTACACCTGGTTAACTGCTCCTCTCACGTGATAGATCCAGGTGTCAGCGGGCCCCGCCTCCTGGTCTGTGTCCTGCACAGCTGATTGGCTGCTGAGTCCAGGTCTGGTGGATCTGGTTTCATTGGTGGTGGATGTGGTGTCGTCTGGAGGCCTGGAGGACCGGAACTTCTCCACCTGTGAGGGAACAAAGAAGAAGCGACAGAGTTCGATTTTATATCTGCACCTGGTTTAGTATTTGTTAAGAAGTAACTCCTCCTCTGATTAGTCCAGGTTCAGGTTCTCAGCAGATGTTTTCAGTCACATGTTTTAATTGCTCATTAGTCGTGTCAGAGATGAGTATGGTCGTTACCTCGTGGAAGTGACAGGCACATCGTCCCTGCAGGAACTCTTTGTATCGACCCATCGTGATGCTAAACGTGTCAATCACTTCGTACCCATGATGCTTTGCTGTGGCGATGATGTTGTTGTTCTCATTGTCCAGATCTTGGATTTCAGTCTGAAAGATCAATGAAAGAACTAGAATCACCTCCTCGTGGTTCTATCCCTCCGCCACTCAGACTAGTTTCCAGATTACATCCCTATTTATCCAGTCATAAAAAAGTAAAAGTACAAAGTGTTTTGTGAGGTCACTGTGACCTTGACATTTGACCTTCAACCACCAAAATCTTATCAGTTCATCCTTAAGGCCCAGTGAATGTTTGTGCTAAATTTGAAGAAGTTCCTTCAAGGTGTTTCTGAGAGATTATGTCAATGAGAATGAGACAGACGGACAACCTGAAAACAAAATGGCTGCTCTGACTGTCGCCAGGTGGAGGAATGAAGACATGATGTCACAATAGAATCATCATCTGTCACAATTACACTGATATTACTTGTGTTATCTTCACTGTGTCTCTGCCCCCCCCCCCCAGGACAGAAGAAGATAGAGGTATGAACAGGAACCTACCAGACTCAGAGACCTGATCCCGTCCACAGGGAGGTGGAAGCCCATCCCCAAAGACTTCACCACCACCAGGATGTTACTGAGAGACTCCCTGAGGAGGAGGAGGAGGAGGAGTCGTCAACACCTGTTGTCATGGTAACCACAGTCTGCACTTTGGATAAGCATCATGAAACTACAGGAGTTCATCATCATCATCACCATCACCATCATCATCATCATCACCATCATCATCATCATCACCATCACCATCATCACCATCATCACCACCATCATCATCATCACCATCATCAACATCATCATCATCATCATCACCATCATCACCACCATCATCATCATCACCATCATCAACATCATCATCATCATCATCACCATCATCATCATCACCATCATCCTCATCATCACCATCATCATCACCATCACCACCATCATCATCATCACCATCATCACCATCATCATCATCATCATCACCATCATCATCCTCATCATCACCATCATCACCATCATCATCATCATCACCATCATCACCATCATCACCATCATCACCATCATCATCATCATCATCATCATCAACATCATCATCATCATCATCACCATCATCATCATCACCATCATCCTCATCATCACCATCATCATCACCATCACCACCATCATCATCATCACCATCATCACCATCATCATCACCATCATCATCCTCATCATCACCATCATCACCATCATCACCATCATCACCATCATCATCATCATCACCATCATCACCATCATCATCACCATCATCATCACTATCATCATCACCATCATCATCATCATCATCACCATCATCATCCTCATCATCACCATCATCACCATCATCATCATCATCACCATCACCATCATCACCGTCATCATCACCATCACCATCATCACCGTCATCACCGTCATCATCATCATCACCATCATCACCATCATCCTCATCACCATCATCACCATCATCATCATCACCATCATCCTCATCACCATCATCACCATCACCATCATCCTCATCACCATCATCCTCATCACCATCATCACCATCATCATCATCACCATCATCCTCATCACCATCATCATCATCATCACCATCATCATCACTATCACTATCACCATCATCCTCATCACCATCATCTTCATCATCATCATCATCATCACCATCATCCTCATCACCATCATCCTCATCACCATCATCATCATCACTATCACCATCATCCTCATCACCATCATCATCATCACCATCATCACCATCATCCTCATCATCATCATCATCATCATCATCATCATCATCATCAATCATCATCATCACCATCATCCTCATCACCATCATCCTCATCATCATCATCATCATCACCATCATCCTCATCACCATCATCATCATCACTATCACCATCATCCTCATCACCATCATCATCATCACCATCATCACCATCATCCTCATCATCATCATCATCATCACCATCATCCTCATCACCATCATCCTCATCACCACCATCATCATCACTATCACCATCATCATCATCACCATCATCCTCATCACCATCATCACCATCATCATCATCACCATCATCCTCATCACCATCATCATCATCATCACCATCATCATCACTATCATCATTATCACAATCATCATCATCACCATCATCATCATCACCATCATCATCATCACCATCATCACCATCATCATCATCATCCTCATCATCCTCATCCTCATCATCATCATCCTCATCATCATCCTCATTAATTAAGGAAATAGAACATTAGCCCGTCTCCTCTCGCCTCTGAACATGTGACCTCATCATCCTGTCTTACCTGTCCAGCACCTCTCTGACTGTCCTCAGGTGATCAGTGTTGAGCCACTGGACTCCTCCCACCACCAGCACCGTCAGGTCAGAGTTCACCAGAGGTCGAGACCTTCAGGGACAGAGGTCGTCAGTAAAGACAGAACATAAGGATCTGTGTGGTACCCCCCCCCCTCCTCACACCCCCCCCCCCCACTTCCTGTCACTGTGGAAGCAACTGCCAGCAGCGCCTGCCTGAACGTTGGCCTCTTTTTCTTCTCCAACCAGAACTGAGGGTAGTACGAGTAGCTGACCAGGCTCTGCCCCTTGTTCAGGTTCCTGTAGACCAGTGTGTTGTGAGCTTTGCCCCAGTCCTCCAGACTCGAGTTGACTCGCTCCATCAGGAAGTACATCATCCCACGATTGGTCGAGTCGCCGATAAACAACACCTGAGGGGGAGGGGCAATGAACAGGTGAGTCACCTCCACCATCAGGACACCTGTCTACATACTGGACCTGGTCTGAAAACAGTTTCACTGTAGGGACCAGGTTCAGGTCTTTCATCAGAGACCTCACCTGTGATCACATGACCTCACCTTCCTGTCCATCATACAGTCCTGCAGCAGGGAACGGTCCACTAAAAGGTGAGAACAGCCGTCTGGCTGCCAGGCAACCTCCCTCCAATCACACGTCCTGTTGTCAGAACAGCTCAGACATGGAACCACCCACCGACCTGAGACAGGTGAGACAGGTGTAAACTCTCAGAGATAATAGATTGAACAGATCTGATACTAGGGACAAGAAGTGACATCAGACCTGGTGCGTGTCCTGAGCTGCAGGTCTGAAGTGGACTCCGATACCTGATGAAGGGCTGAAGACCACAGGACCGACCGGGCCGAACCAACAGACCACAGTCCTGAAACCAGAACACAGAGAACTTGTCATCAGCCTCAGTTCTTCTTCTTCTTCTGTTTGTGTCACAGTCATAGTCTCGTGGTCAGAGGTCAAGGTCAAATAAACTGGACCAGCTCAGAGGCCCTGTGAGAGCCGCCATGTCTGGCCCTGAGTTCAGAGACACCGCCGTCAAACACGCTGTACCAACACACACACACACACACACACACACACACTCCATGACTTCAGAGGACTTTACATTGACTTACATTTATTTCCTGGAGAGTTACTTTAACCTTAACCATAGCTACTAGTTGTGTAACCCTAAACCTCAACCCTAACGAACGTTAACATAAACTAACCTTAACCTAAACTAAATGAAGGTTAACGAAGATTTAACGGGGACTTTGTTTTGTCTCCATAATGTGACTGTGTCCCCACAACATGAGTAATATGTGGAAAACACACGCACGCACGCACGCACGCACGCAAGCACGCACGCACGCACACACACACACACACCCGCGCACGCACACACGCACACATACGCACACACACACACACACACAAACACACCTCTCCCTCTGCTGCAGGTTTCGTGGCGGCGGCGTCACATTCCTCACCACGGCGTCGCAGCTCACAACAAAGTGCGACAAGAAAACTTAACAGGGATTTTCTTGTTCGTACCTGAGCTCAGTGTAAACGTCAAACAGACGAAGGCTGGTCTGAGATCAGCCTCAAACTCCAAACACACCGACACCTTTCATCCTCTGAGCGTCTGAGCCGCTGCCACGTACAACGCTCCGCTTCTACTGAGGTGACCTGCAGTCATCAGGTTCTACCATCCCACGTCCCACAATACATCACACACCAACACACTCGACACGGTGAAAACATCCTGCTGCTGAGTCCAGTTCAGACCAGAGCACACCTGGACCAGGTCTACCAGGACCACCAGAGGAAACAAACTCTCACTTTAAATGTTCATGTTCAGGTTTTTTAGAATCTGTTCTGTATTTATTAAAATGTGGGGAATGAAATATTCTAAGAATAAGAAAGAAAGAAAATAAAAAATCCAACAAAATAAGTAGAAATGAGTTGAAATTAATTGTATGAAAATATAATAAAACTGCTGTTCAGAACTGTTCAGATTTGATCCTCTCTGTGATTAGAACATAAAAGATGATTTTACACAAAGTCTAATAAGTAGGAACCAACAGATTAGAGAAATTTGTTTGAACAGACATAATCCTCTCATGAGATCAAAGAGCTCCACTGATCTCAGACCTGATCTGATCCGACTCTCTGAGTAAACCAGGCCCATAATCCAGATCAACACAGTCATCAGATCATATCTGCTGCTGCTGCTGCCTTTTTGGGAGACGGACTGAGGGACGTCCTCAGAGACCTGAAACCACGAGCAAACCGAGACCAGAAGACGGACCAGAGTCAGAAATCACAGCAACATCACATCAGGTCTGTGGACTGAGGTGTCTCGTCATGTCCTCTGCTCTGAGACTTCCTGTCCAAGGACAGTGTCCATCAGCCTGATGTGTGTCATGTGACTGATTTTAATGAAGCTTTGTGTCGTCTGTCAGGAACATCTGCAGGTTTAAATCAGTTGGAGACACGAGGTCAAAGGTCATAGAGTCTCTGCCAACACATTGTGTTCTGTTTAACTGAGGAATGAAGCTTCACTTTCACAACACGTGTCTCCTCCCTCCTCCTCTCTGTCTGTCTGGGATCTCAGTCAGTCCAGTTGTTGGGGGTGGGGGGGGGTGGGGGGTGCATTCATGTTTGACTGTAACAGCAGGACAACACCTGAGTCTGAAACAGGGCCTGAACACAGACCTGGTTCAAACAGAGACCTGGGAACTGGATTCTGGTTCACTTTTATTGTTCCTGACACAAGGAGAGTCCTGATCTGATCTCAGACCTGCACACAGGATTCTCTCTCTCTCACACACACACACACACACACACACACACACACACACACACACACACACACACACACACACACACACAGGTTTTGTCAGGTGACACAGAGGATGTTCCTGTCAAAATAAAAGCTCATTACCTGAACATTCAGTTTCTTGTCTGACATCACTGACTTCAGCTCTGTGTTCATGCACCTGTCCAGGTGTTGGTCTCAGACAGGTGAGGACAGTGTCACTTCAGATTCAACAGCTCTGTCTGTCAGACAGCAGAGTCTAAATCCTGGTCCAGGTCGTAGTTCAGTGACTCCAGTCTGTTCAGGTTCAGGCCTCACAGCTGTTACACAACAAACCTCCTCAGATGAGGAAGTCCTCCAGCTGGACCTCGGTTTATACAACTAGATTTCACAACTGACGAGAGCCTCTGCAGTGGACCTGAGATCCTGGACCTGGTCCATCTGGATCATCAGCAGAGATCAGATCAGGACTCAGAGGCTCAGGCCGATAGTCCGGGGACCACATTCACACAGCCCGGATCCTGAAAGAGGCATAGAACACTTCCCTCACAAACATCTGGACCATAAAGCCGAACCTGACAGGAGGATGAACACCTGTACAGAGACTCTGAGAGACACAGCCGGACTGGACTGTATGAACGCTGCGGTTTGAAGTGAAGCCCCTGGTCTCTCCTGGTCTCTGATCTGGACTGCTTCACCCAGATATTATTACAGAACAGTGCTTACCATCAACCCAGTTAGAGAACCAGAACCAGAACCAGGACCGGGCTGTAGAATATCAGGTTCAGCTCAGTAGTGAATAAAGTCCCTGAAGTCTGCTAATGCTAGCCACCAGAAGCTAACACACACAGCAGAGCTGGTCTGTGAGGTCTCTCAGGGTCCAGGACTTGGACAGTGTGTAGTTTGTGTGTAGCTGCAGAGTGTCACAGAGACCAGGATGAAGAGCAGATCCTCATCCTCACTGCAGCTTCATTGATACACTGTAAAAACTCTAAACTGTTACTTCACACTACAATGCTGTCATAATAAACACCATTAAGGTCTGATCCTTGATGTGGACTCTGTGTGGTTGTCATGGAACCCACACCCGTTAAACACACACTGTGTTACTATGGAAACATCAGTCACCAAACACTGATCAAATTTTTCACACTTGAAGAACTGAAGTGTTTTTGACGTTTTGGTGCTGATGAATAAACAACGACCACCAGCTGATCGTTGGCAGAAAATAGCTCACACAGAGACACAAGAACCCCACGCTGGTCCTAAGCTTTGGTTCTGGACCAGGGTACAAGGAAACTGCACTGGGTCTCAAAGGGTTTTTAAGGGTTATACAAAGTGTATAAACACTGTTGTTCTGTGGTCTGTTGTTCTGTGGTCTGTTGTTCTGTGGTCTGTTGTACTGTTGTCTGTTGTTCTGGTCTGTTGTTCTGTGATTTGTTGTTCTGATCTGTTGTTCTGTGATCTATTGTTCTGATCTGTTGTTCTAAGTTGTTGTTCTGTGATCTGTTGTTCTGTTGTTTTGTGATCTGTTGTTTGCTGTTCTGATCTGTTGTTCTGTGATCTGTTGTTCTCATCTGTTCTGTGATTTGTTGTTCTGATCTGTTGTTCTGGTCTGTTGTTCTGTGGTTTGCTGTTCTGATCTGTTGTTCTGTGATCTGTTGTTCTGTGATCTGTTGTTCTGGTCTGTTCTGTGATTTGTTGTTCTGATCTTTTGTTCTGTGATCTTTTGTTCTGGTCTGTTGTTCTGGTCTGTTCTGTGATCTGTTGTTCTGGTTTGTTGTTCTGTGATTTGCTGTTCTGATCTTTTGTTCTGTGATCTGTTATTCTGGTCTGTTGTTCTGGTCTGTTCTGTGATCTGTTGTTCTGGTTTGTTGTTCTGTGATTTGCTGTTCTGATCTTTTGTTCTGTGATCTGTTATTCTGGTCTGTTCTGTGATCTGTTGTTCTCATCTGTTCTGTGATTTGTTGTTCTGATCTGTTGTTCTGGTCTGTTCTGTGATCTGTTGTTCTGGTTTGTTGTTCTGTGATTTGCTGTTCTGATCTTTTGTTCTGTGATCTGTTATTCTGGTCTGTTCTGTGATCTGTTGTTCTCATCTGTTCTGTGATTTGTTGTTCTGATCTGTTGTTCTGGTCTGTTCTGTGATCTGTTGTTCTGGTTTGTTGTTCTGTGATTTGCTGTTCTGATCTTTTGTTCTGTGATCTGTTATTCTGGTCTGTTCTGTGATCTGTTGTTCTCATCTGTTCTGTGATTTGTTGTTCTGATCTGTTGTTCTGGTCTGTTCTGTGATCTGTTGTTCTGGTTTGTTGTTCTGTGATTTGCTGTTCTGATCTTTTGTTCTGTGATCTGTTATTCTGGTCTGTTGTTCTGGTCTGTTCTGTGATTTGTTGTTCTGATCTGTTGTTCTGTGATCTATTATTCTGGTCTGTTGTTCTGTGATCTGTTATTCTGGTCTGTTGTTCTGATCTGTTGTTCTGTGATTTGTTGTTCTGTGATCTGTTGTTCTGTGATCTGTTGTTCTGTGATCTGTTGTTCTGATCTGTTGTTCTGTGATCTGTTATTCTGGTCTGTTGTTTTGTGATTTGTTACTCTGGTCTGTTGTTCTGTGATTTGTTACTCTGGTCTGTTGTTCTGTGATCTGTTATTCTGGTCTGTTGTTCTGTGATCTGTTGTTCTGTGATCTGTTATTCTGGTCTGTTGTTCTGTGATCTGTTATTCTGGTCTGTTGTTCTGTGATCTGTTATTCTGGTCTGTTATTCTGGTCTGTTGTTCTGTGATCTGTTATTCTGGTCTGTTATTCTGGTCTGTTGTTCTGTGATTTGTTGTTCTGATCTGTTGTTCTGTGATCTGTTATTCTGGTCTGTTGTTCTGGTCTGTTGTTCTGTGATCTGTTATTCTGGTCTGTTATTCTGGACTGTTGTTCTGTGATTTGTTGTTCTGATCTGTTGTTCTGTGATCTGTTGTTCTGGTCTGATGTTTGTTGGATGAACGGATTTAGACAGATTTAAACCAGGGCACATGAACATGAAGCAGCTAAGCTCAGGACAGAAACCTGTGGACCTGCAGCTGTGACCCACATGACCCGGGGGGGGGTGTCAGTCGGGGGGGTTGGTCAGGGGGGACTGTGAGTGGGTTATCACCTGTGGTTAATGAACACCTGTTGTGTACCTGTCCTCCGCAGACAGCAGCAGCTCTCGTTTTATCTTCACATGACACAGCTTCAAAGAGCAGACCCCACACTGCATCAATAGCCTCTCTGTTCTCCAGGGGCCCGAGCGGGGGCCCACTGACCCCCCAGCGGGACGAGTGAACACCTACTCTCTTCATGTGTCTTGCTCTAATTGAGCCCTACAGGTAGATCAAAGAGGACGGGTGAGGGAGGAGGCTGAGAGAGAAACATGATTTATTTTACCTGAACAGAGATCAGGTCTCTCTCCACTGAGCTGATGAAGCCACCGTCACATAGTCAAAAGCTCTGGAACCAACAAGCTGCTGACGAGTGTCAAAGTTCACCAAGCTGGATTTATTCTGTCTCCAGCGATCGAAGCAGTTTCACTGAAATCCTTTGATTTTGGTTCAACATGTTGTTTACAGTCTCTGATCTGAAGCAGACGAGAGTCCAGACACAGAATCAAGGACAGAAATCTGGACCAGATTTCTTTATGAGACACATGAGACAGGAACTGAAAAATGCAGTGACACGTTTCTGAGAGTCTCTGTCGTCTGCAGTCGAGCAGAGAAAGATTTATTCTGATGTTTGGATTTCAAACACAAACACAGATTCTACTGTGAGAGAATCTGCAGCCAGTCTGGAAAAAACCGGTTCCGACTCTATCCTGGGTCTGGGTCTGTAGACTGGTCTGGGTCTGGGTCTGGGTCTGGGTCTGGGTCAAGAAACTGGTCTTGGTCTGGGCCTGGGTCTGGGTTTGGGTCTGTAGACTGGTCTGGGCCTGGACCTGGGTCTGGGTCTGTAGACTGGTCTTGGTCCGGACCTGGGTCTGGGTCTGGGCCTGGGCCTGGGTCTGGGTCTGGGTCTGTAGACTGATCTGGGTCTGGGTCTGGTGAGTCGTCTCCATGTTTTTTATCTCGTCATGATGACATCACATCCTCCCCACAGCCCAGCAGCCAATAGGAAAGCAGCTGACCTACCTGCACGAAGCTGCACATCACATGATCTCCAAACATGGGCAGACTAGGTCGGTTCTCGCGGTACATGTGGACTGTGTAGATCGTCATGATGATGGGCTGCGGCTCGGCGTCGTCCGTCACCAGGATGCTGATCCTGCTGTCGCCGAGGCCGACTGGGTAGTTTGCCATCCTGTGGACAAGAAACTTCAATCATCTGTGAGGGGGGACCAGGGGTCGGGGGTCAGGTCCTGATCTCACCTGGGTCCTCGGTGCTCGTCCAGGTGGACCCGGCAGACTGAGCTGACGGGCTCTGGCCGAATTCGAACCGTCACCGTGTCAAAGGTCACCTCAGCACGGTACTCCTTCACCCACGGGCTGAAGGGGGGAGTCAGGGTGAGGGGGGGGTCGGTGTAGATCTGTCTGAGGCGGGGGTCCACACAGGGACCTGACCCACACAGAGAAATCAACCAATCATAGGGCTGGATGGCAGGTACAGGGTGTATGACAGTCTGACATGATGCAGGAATAACTGCTGTTGTCACGGATACTGTGTCACACAGATGAAGCCAGTGTCTCACCTTTATCTGCGGCTCCGCCCTGTGACGAGTACACCGCTGACTCCTGATTGGTCAAAGCTCCCGTCCCATCACTTCTGTCAGAAACATGAGGTTTGTTAGTTTCTTCACAATATCAGGTTTACTTCCTGTTTGTAGAATGACTCACAGACTGCTGGAGCAATGAATCATGGGATGTTGTTCTGTTCTGAACATTTCATAAATTAAGCACTGTTACAGATGTTGCTCTCCAGATGTGACAGAAGCAGCTGGCTTGGGTTTCTCCTCATCATCCTCACCTGAAGCTGGAGTTCCTCTGGAGCTCGTAGTAACGGCTGATCCTGATTAGGAGGTCAGAGACGCTCAGAGAGGAGGAGGAGGAGGAGGAGGAGCAGGAGGAGCAGGAGGAGGAGGGGCTGGGATACAGCTGCAGAGAAACAATAAATAGCATCAGACCAGGTGACTTCAGCTCCTCTCCAGGTGTAGTTCAAAACATTTGTATGAGTTTCAGGGATGTGCTGAGTTTTAAGGGGGTGGGGGCGTGATGGTGCAGCAGCTCCACCTTCAGGTGCTGAGGTATATTTGTTGTGTCAGTGCAGATACACTGACAACATCACACTGATTATATATGACCTCACAGTATGATCATAATATATATGATAATAATATACAATAATAACACATAATAATATATATTAATAATATATATATGTGACGTGTGTCTCACCAGCTGAAAAGCTGAAGACGTCGTCATCTGTCGCTGAAACTGAAGCAGAAGAAGAAACTCGTCCTCTGACAGACACCGACTGTTTGTTCCTCTGCAGCCGCCGTACTGAAGACAGAGACATTATTAATACATCCTGGACACACATCGTACAGTATCTGCATCATGACAGAAAAGACTCACCTGTCCCCCCTCCGTCTCTGGCTCTGAGGACAGGTGTGGGTGTGTTGCCAGCAGGAAGTGCAGTGTGTCCTCCAGGATCAGGTCTTTGGTGATCTGTCTGTCAAACGTGTCTTTACTCAGAGAGACAAATGTTACATCAGTGTCCACCTGGAGACAAAGAGACAAACGTTACATCAGTGTCCACCTGGAGACAGCGAGTCAAACATTAAACTTGGAGACAGAGATCAGTCTGCAGAGGAGCTGCTGACCAATCAGAGAGCAGCTGAAGACACAGTGACCTCTGGTGGAGGACAGACGGCAGGACACGGAGAGGAGGTGACGTCTCAGATCGGTCAGTCCGGTTCCAGAGGGGTCGGGTCTACAGTGTCTACAAGCTGAAAACAGACAGGAGCAGTCTGTCTCTTACCTGGACTGTAACAGGTGTGATGGAGCTGCTGAACAGCAGAGTGAAGGTGAGCAGCTGGTAACACAACACACACCTGAAACACACAACGCCAATCAATAATCAATCAATAAAATAACCAAATACAACAGCATCCTCCCCTGCTGCAGATGACAGCAAGTTTTTTACCTGTTGACTGTTTCTGTCTTCTCATTGGTTGACGCTGCCGCCTGCAGCACTTCACCTATGACCTGCTTCATCTGCCCCAAAGCCTGCTGGGAGTTAGTTGGTCCCAGCTGTTGCAGCAGGAAGTCCCTGAGCTGAGGGAGAGGGGTCACACCAGCAGGGGGCAGCAACACACAGGAAGAGCTTCGTTAAAGGAACAGTAGCACTCAAAATATTCAATACAGACACACACAGATGTTTGGTTTATACAGAGGTCAGAGGTAGAACATCTGTAAAATCTGTCTGTCTATTTCCTGGTAAATCAACTAATAAAGAAATACATTAATTAGTTCTTTATTAAATAAGACAAATTAAAGTAAAATAAAGCTCAGTTTGATGCGTCATGTCCATTAAAGTCTCCAGGGCTTTTATTTTGAAGGGCCTGCTTTAAAACAGGTCCATAAAATGATTTACAGGTGTTTCACCTTCATGGGTCGTCCCCTCGGATCCTGATTGGTTGACACCACGCTGATGTCATGCAGGAAGGATGTCAGCGGTCTGACTGAAGTCACCAGGATGTAAACATTCACCATGGTAACCAGACCAGGTGGTGGGGCTCGGGCAGGTGAGCGCCTGCCAGAGAGAAGGTGAACACAGATGTACAGAGTGCGTGTCATTATTCTGACAGGTGAGTTGATAACTTACCTGTCCTGAGGAATCTGCAGCTTCTGACTGGTCGATCCACAGGAGTATGGCTTCATGGGTAAATCTGATCGTGAGAGGAGGAGACAAAAACACAGACAGGTAAATATCAACACACCTGAGGTTTGAAAATGAAGTTTTCAGGAGCCTGAAACCTGCACACTCACCTGTCGGGTGTGACCGAGTGAAGAGGTGACAGAGACCACCACCTGCATCAGAGAAGGCCTCCATCAGCCCAGGAATAAGGTTAACCTGAGGAGGTGGAGACACAGGTGAGCTCAGACAGGACACTCAGTGATTGGCTGTAACACAGAGGTGAACAGGTGAGTCTCACCTTCTGATGATACTGCAGGTGAGAGAAGGAGACTCTCCTCAGACAGCTCCGCTCTGAACTACTGAGGCACAGCAACAGGCTCCACCCACTCACACCTGTTACCATGGAGACACAGACAGGAGTTCAGTGACCTGGATCCTGTAGAACACCTTTGGAGCATGGTGAAACAGGAGAAGAAGGAGCAGCTGACGGAGTGTCGCAGTCACATACAGCTGTTGTACAGCTGCTGGGAACAGAGGAAAGTTTCAACATCTGGAGGATCATGACATGAAGAACTGAGGGACCGGCCAGTGTGAGTGAGCTGTTCCCAATAAAGTGATCACTGGGTGGAGTTTAGAAGTGAAGACGATGAAACAGACTCAAACACTAAAGACTAAAAACCTTGTGGAACAGGAAACTGAGCTGAGAGCGGAAACAGGAAGCGTCTGTCCAAACAAACAGTCTGACGTGGACCAGCAGAGAGGACTCCAGGGCCCACAGGAAACTGGTCTGGTTCCTGTTCTGGTCTCAGTGTTTTCAGGCACAAAGAGTTTAAACCTGGTCCTGGTTCTAATGGAAAACAAATAACAACACACAGTGACCTCTGACCCTGATGAGGCTCCTCATGTGTTTCTGCAGCGACAGAGTTTAAGTCCTGATCCTCCTCTGGTCCTCACAGGGTTCTAGGACCCGGTCTCTGAGACCCCCCCCCATACTCACCCTGGTTTGTTCTGAGGACGCTGCTGGTCTCAGCGTATCTGGACATGTGGACCTCGTAGCCTATCTGCTGCAGGACCTGCTGGTACAGCTGGACCTCGGTGTCAGAGGCCAGATGTTGACCTGTCAGAACCACGGCCCGACGACGCCAGGGGGGTTTCCGAGACCACACCTGGACCTGCAGTGAGAGGAACAGAAGCATTCAGTCCCCTGTCTGAAACCACTGAGTCTGCAGCTGGACTACAGTCCCAGCTGTGGTCCGGGACAGAGACCAAGTCCAGGACTTGTTCAACCTAGCTTAGCCCAAAGACTGGAAGCAGAAGCTCAGGCTCCAGACCAGAACCAGGACAGACCAGGACCAGGACAGACCAGGACAGAACAGGACAGACCAGAACCAGGACACCAGAACACCAGAACACCAGAGCAGATCAGAACCAGGACAGACTGGTCTCTGTGATTCTAACCCTCACACTCTGTCCTGATTGAGGTGCCGCAGCTCAGGTCAAGAGGGTTCATCCTCCAAGGACCACGAGTCCTGCAGACTGGGTCCTCTCAGACAGACTGGGTCCTCTCAGAGTCCAGACCTGATGGACTGATGGAGGAGGAGTCTCTCAGCTCCCTGTCCACAGACAGACTCACTAATGAGGTCTCATACCACAGACTGATGAAGCGAGGCACCATAACACACACTGGTCACATGACACGTCTGAGGCGTCGGTCAGCTGATCTGCAGAACCAGACACTAAGGACAAACTGTCCTGAGTCAGAAGAGACACACAGATTGATGAGGTAAACCAGGTACAGGTGTGTCTAGCCCCTCCCCCTACCTGAGAGTGTGAAAACAGAGGACATTCAAAAGGTGAACAGCCTCATGACACCAGCACCAGGATCACTGAGGTCAGACAGCGACAGACTGAACTCCAGTCCCAGACCAGATCCTGCAGATCCAACATTTGTTCTGGATCAAAGAGCAGCAGAAAACCAGCTGTAACAACACCTGTCACCTGTCTGAGCTGCTGTCAGTCACACAGCAGGAGGGAACACCTGTATGATGATGTCAGACACCACGGAGCCTCTGAGTGACAGGAACAGCTGACGTCGTTTATCAGACACAAGCTTTCTGTGAGAATAAAAGAATCTGAACTACGGATTAAAACCTACTGTGGATCAATCAGATGATAATTTCACTGATTAATCGATTAACTGTTTGATCTGTAAAATACCAAAGAGAAGTGAACACACCACACTGTGATGTCATCACGTCTGGTTCTAAAACACCAAGACCTCGAGCATTAGGTCAGGTCATAGACAGTCAGAACCTTAAGAACCTTCAGAACTTTACGAATATTGAGAACCCTTCAGGACCTTCAGAACCTTAAGAACCCTTCAGGACCTTCAGGACCTTAAGAACCCTTCAGGACCTTAAGAACCCTTCAAGACCCTTCAGAACCTTCAGGACCTTCAGAACCCTTCAGGGCATTCATGACCTTCAGAACCCTTCAGGACCTTCAGAACCCTTCAAGACCCTTCAGGTCTTTCAGGACCTTCAGAACTTTCAGAACCCTTCAGGACCTTAAGAACCCTTCAAGACCCTTCAGAACCTTCAGGACCTTCAGAATCCTTCAGGGCATTCAGGACCTTCAGAAACTTCAGAACCCTTCAGGACCTTAAGAACCCTTCAAGATCCTTCAGCTCTTTCAGCACCTTAAGAACCTCAGAACCTTAAGAACCCTTCAGGACCTTAGGAACCCTTCAGGACCTTCAGAACTTTCAGAACCCTTCAGGACCTTAAGAACCCTTCAAGATCCTTCAGAACCTTCAGGACCTTCAGAACCTTAAGAACCTCAGAACCTTAAGAACCCTTCAGGACCTTAAGAACCCTTCAAGACCCTTCAGAACCTTCAGAACCCTTCAGGACCTTAAGAACCCTTCAGGGCATTGAGGACCTTCAGAACCTTCAGAACCCTTCAGGACCTTCAGAACTTTCATACCCCTTCAGGATCTTAAGAGCCCTTGAAGAATCTTCAGAACCCTTCAGGACCTTCAGAACCTTCAGGACAATGGTGGACCTGTTCCCAGAACAGGCTGCAGGTTTCCTGAGTCTGGCTGGAGGAGTGGAGGGAACCAGGGAGGTGAACAGCTGATGTCGGACAGCTGACTGTGAACAGACTGAAACAGACTATAAATAAAATCTACTGCTGTTTAAGAAAACCAGTGGACTCTGTGTCAGAGGAGGAGACAGGACTGTGGAGACAGTGTCTGAACCTCTGTCAGGATCCAGAACCAACAGTCCAGTTCTTCATGTCACTTCACTCCTGCACACGGTCAGTTTGGTTAACCTTTGAGTATTTGAGATGTCACTCATTTGTTTTGTCTCAGGGAACTGAAAATAAAAGGTTTTGAGGCTCTGACGAGACAAGACACGTGGGCCGGTCCAGACCCGGTCCTGGATCTCATGCAGTACAGCCAGTCTAGGTTCAATATGTGGACGTCTAACCAAGACCACTTTGTTCCTGTGTGGACCTCAAGGACTCAGGTCCCGTATAAACAGAACAGGGTGCAGCTCTGCAGTGAGCTGAGGTGAAGTCACATCCAGACCAACACAGGAAGGAGAACCTGACATGTTCTGATGAGGTTATTCATGTTTACAATCAACATGTCTGTCTCTGATGATTGATCTTTGTTTTCACCTACAGAGCTGATCTCTGTTAAACGACGTCTGATTTTACTTCAGCTTCTGTGGGAACAACCTTCAGGCCTCAAACAGGACGTTTCCTAAAATGTTGATCTGCTCCTGTAAAGATGAAACTGTGACAGAGTGAAGTCAGAGACGTTTTACTGCTGCAATAAAACCTCACAAAACCTGATAGATTCACAGCCTGACAGCCTGAGTGTGTGTGTGTGTGTGTGTAGGATTAACACTGCGTCTGTCTGTCAGCTGCCAGTTTACACTCAGTTATCTGTCAGGAACTGGATCCTCAGCTGATTAATGACACACAAATATTTGTATCAGGGACACCGAGGACCACAACACACTTAAAATACCCAGTTCACACAGTGACTGGATACTCTGAATGTCTCAAACGGATTGGTCTATACAGCTGTCAATCATCCTGGAGTAAAATAAAACCCTGGTGCACACGGCCATTGATCCCCTCACAATCTAAAAATACAGCAACAATGAGCCAGAAGGAGCCTCGGCCCAGCTGACTGAGACTCCATGAGAAAACCTGTCCATGTTCAAAGAATAACATTCTGTAAAACGAGCTTGTCAGTTTAGTATATTTATAATCCATCAAACAGCAGCATTGATACAATTATTTTATAAATTATTTTAGTTAATTAGTTACTGTTGTCTGTGAAACATCTGAAAAAACAATCTGAAAATGCTCCAGTTTTAAAAGGAGTTTGGCAGGAGTCGTTTTCTGGATGGATGGATCATATTTACTCCACAGTCCTGGATGGATCTTTTAAAGTCTGAAAAACTAACAGCTAATGTTAAGATGACAAATGATTTTTAATTTGGTGATAGTATTGATAAGAGTCACTTAAAAGTTTGTTAAATGTGGGTGTTTTATTGAAACTCACATTTTCCAAGAATTGTATTTATGAATGAATGTATTTTCTTTATGGGAGGCTTTTTGCTTTGTCTTTTCAAAGTATTTTCTGATAAACAAACAATAATTCATAAAACTCTGAGTGAAGTTTGTCAGTACGAGTTTCCAACTCGTTTAATCTTAAAATTCTCATTTTGAATGAAGTTTGGCGTGTCAGTACTTTGACAGTATTTCCTCCAGGTGTATGAATGTGTTGTTAAATAAAAAACTGCCATAAAGTGTCTTTTGTCTGATTATATTGATGCAGAATTTCAGAAAGTCTGAAGAAGAATTACCTCCTGTTGTGAAGCCAGAGGAATTTTGATAATAAACAAATATTTCTTCACAAACCTCTGAGATTGATTTAAAAAGCCTGAGCTCAAGGTGAGGCTTTCTACCACAGACTCACGGTCTTCCTCAGTGGCTCATCACATGTTGTTGAAAGCTTCGGAAATCTACTCTCAACATGAGATCATGAGTTACTTTAAAATCAGGGATGAACTCCACCAATAACACACACACACACACACACACACACACACACACACACACACACACACACACACACACACACACACACACACACACACACACACACACGGGGAGCAGGTTAAGCTCACCTGAGTCTCTCTCTGTAAAGTCTCCAGGGTGGAAATGAACTTCCTGGTCTCCATCATCATGAATTCATCCGTAGACTTCCTGCTGCGAACATCAGTGGCGGGACGCTGCGGTCCGGACCGGAGCCGGTTCCGGGCCAGCATCAGGGTCTGGTAGAAGAGACACACCGCGACCCCGAGCAGCAGCAGCAGCGGGCCGGAGCAGGGCCGGCGGCGGAGCAGCATCCGGGCGGCTGAAGCCAGGAGACACCGCATGAGGAGAGAGCTTCACTTCACACTGCCCAGGGTTTCACTGTGCACCATCATCATCCTCATCATCTTCATCACCTCAGCCCTCTGCTGACTTCAGGAGTTGGGACCGTTTACATGACTGTCAGAGAAACAGTTAAAGGAGTCTGTCATTAAAATAAAATACCGTCTGTTGGATTCTATTTATCCCGAATTCACTGATGGAGCCACGAGAGTCTGGAAATGTATGATCTGAATATATAAACCCAGATAACTTCAATCTATAATCAATCAAACTTTAAATCGGCCTGATTCTGAACGGGACTCTGTGTGCGCAGCCGGACGGACACGCGCATCTTCTGTCTGTGGTCATGTGCGTTTACAGCCTCATGACTCTTCAGAGGTTCTTCAGTTCTCCATGGTCCCTCAAACACACCACACTTCTGTCTTCTTTATCCTGTCTGTGCACAAGAACCCGCGGTCCAGTCAGCTGATCAAGACTCAGTAAGACCAGGATCACACCGGGACCAAACCACAAAGTCCCGTTAAACTGTTAAACCGTCAGTCTGAGCTACAGTCGCGCGCGTTCCGTTAAAAGTCGACGTTAGAAGTGGAGGAAAAACACGGAGTTTGGTGACGTCACAGAGACGTTAAAAACAACCGGAGTCTGGCAGCAGGACATCTGGTTTGAGTTAAATCCAACAGGAGAAGAAAAGAGAAGCCACGGTCATGTTTCCAGTCCGTCCTCCTCCGGATGGACCTGGACCCGGACCCGGACCCTTCACTTCTTCTGTGGTTTTGTTTTTCTGAACAGAATCAACAAGAAGTTCTGAGTTTTTCTCTTCAGAGTTCAGTCAGTTATAAAAACTCTGTAGGTCAGAACCTCCTCGCCCTCCTCCCCCCTCTTCACCCTCCTCCTCCTCCCTCCTGCTGAAACACTCTGAAGGCTGGGTTATTTCTGGAACACACACACTCACACAGTGTGTGTGTGTGTGTGTGTGTGTGTGTGTGTTTTGCCTATAAACAAACTTTAAAATGTGCGTGTTGTGGGTGGAGTCTGGCTCGGCCTCCATCACGAATGTTATTGGCTGAATGAGACTAAAAGAGTTTAACTAAACAACCTCAAGTTTCATTTATGAGCCTTTTTCGGAGCTTTCCAGCCTGTGACATGGTCTTCATTAGCAACAGTTTATGTAATTACATCCGGTCACAGCTCTGCTGCAGTTTTTCTTTTAAGTTTGAAAAATCTTGGAAGCTCGTTTTCACGTTTTTTCCTTTAAATCATCCAAATAAAGAAGTTGCGTTCACTGACACATTCAGGTTCATAAACATTTTGAAAACCTGGAACCGTGGGATTTATGTCAGTTTACCTTTACTGGATCAGTAATCCAAACACTCATCACCGCAGCTCTGACTGCAACAAAGATTTTAACCGGTTTCCCCGGGTCACATTTATACATGTACTTCTGTACATTTAAGACTTTTAAAGAGCGGTGAGATATGAAACCTGCTTCATCATTAAACTGAGACAGTACTACAGAAAACAGCAGGAATACATATAGTCAAGCCTGAAATTATTCATACCCCTGGCAAATTTTGACTTAAAGTTACTTTTATTCAACCAGCAAGGTTTTTCAATCATTGTGTAAAAATATATTTCTCAGCTTTTATTTACATTTGAACAAAAAGTGGCATGTCCAAAATTATTCATACCCTTTGCAAACTGTCACAGTCTATGGGAAAATCCAAAGTTCTATACATTCCAAATAGTCCAAGCTGTTCTAAAGCATCTTAATTACCCTGATTCATTGGGAACAGCTGTTTTAATCAACTTAACAGGTGAAAAACAGCAGCTCTCTGCAGTTGGTTTGTGGACAGTCATGGCTGAGACAAAGGAGCTCACTGAAGACCTGCGGCTGCACATTGTGGCTGCTCACAAGTCAGGAAAGGGCTATAAGGCCATATCTAAATGTTTTCAAGTTCCAGTGGCTACAGTGCAAAGTATTATTAAAAAATACAAGACGTTCCGCACTGTGGAAAATCTCAGAGGACGTGGTCAGAAGCCAAAAGTGACACCTGTGCTGGCCAGGAGGATAGTGAGGGAGGTGAAGAAGAATCCAAGGTTCACCACCAAGGCCATCCTAGTGAATCTGGGCTCTGCTGGTGGCAACGTCTCACGGCAGACAGTCCAACGGACACTGCACACTGCTGGGTTCCACGGACGCAGACCAAGGAGGACGCCACTTCTCCAGATAAGGCACACAAAAGCCCGCTTGGCCTTTGCAAATCATCATCTGGACAAAGAAGAAGACTTCTGGTCTTCTGTTTTATGGTCAGATGAAACAAAAATTGAATTGTTTGGCCACAATGATGGATCCTTCATTTGGCGTAGAAAAGGAGAAGCCTTCAACCCTAAGAACACCATCCCACTGTCAAACATGGTGGTGGGAACCTAATGCTTTGGGGGTGTTTTTCAGCCAATGCACCAGGGAACCTGATCACAGTAAACGGCACCATGAAAAAAGAGCAATCCATCAAGATTGTCAACAACATCAGGCAGTCTGCAGAGAAACTTGGCCTTGGGCACCAGTGGACATTTCAGCACGACAACGACCCAAAACACACAGCAAGAGTGGTGAAGAAGTGGTTAGTTTTGCAGTGGCCCAGCCAGAGTCCTGACTTGAAGCCAATTGAGAATCTGTGGAGGGAGATAAAGATTAGGGTGAAGGCAAGGAGACCCTCCAACCTGAAAGAGTTGGAGCTCATCGCTGAAGATGAATGGGCAAAAATACCAGTGGAGACATGCAAAAAGCTGGTCAGCAATTATAGGAAGCGTTTGATCGCTGTAATAGCCAATAAAGGCTTTTCTATTGATTATTGAGAAGGGTATGAATAATTTTGGACATGCCACTTTTTGTTCAAATGTAAATAAAAGCTGAGATTTTTTTTTATACAATGATTCCTCTTGTACATCGTCTTATCTTCTGGGAGAAGCCTGTGTCATTTACGGTAAAAAAAAACCTTGCTGGTTGAATAAAAGTAACTTTAAGACAATTTGCCAGGGGTATGAATAATTTCAGGCTTGACTATACATAGATATAAACCATATATTAACCAAACCTTTCAGTTCATCCCACCAGAGTTTAAGAATAATTCTTAATGATATAATTAATAAACCTAAAGAGACCTGGACTGAAACAACAGAAAATGGAAGAATTCAACTATTAAAATGTGTGTCTGCTCTCAGCTCATGGTCTTCCTCCTGACAGACCCGTCAGCCTCACCAGACAACAGTAAACTGTATAAACCCCCTGAGGCTCTGATCACTTCCTGTCCACAGACCAGAGCCCCCTGCTGGTCACATGTGGCTGCTGCACTGATCAGGACTGTTTCACTGTCCATCTCAACCTAAAGACTGAAACCTGTTCAAACTGGTTTAGATCCTCAGGGACCTGAACCAGGTCTGAACTGAACTCGTGATAATTAATTGTTCAGTTATTTTCAGCCGGTGTTCGATGCTACTGTAAATCTGAACCTCTGGGTTTCTGTCAGTCGGACCTGAAGACGTCACCTCGGACCACACACCACATTTTGTTCTTCCTTTCTGATTTAGAATCAAAAATAAAACTGTGTAAATTCAGTTTTTGGTTTCAAACAAAATGATAAAAGGAATCAACAAAACAAAAACAGCATTTCTGACTAGTTTTTAGTTTTAAAACAGATTTTTTCCTTTTTAATTTCAGATGAATTACAGATTATCTGACGACACTGAGACGGTGGCATACTCACTTCCATCCCTCATTAATGCACTAGCTGTCTGAACTCAAGGTGCTACTAGCTTTCAACCACAGGCTCATGGTCTTCCTCAGTGGATAATGACATGTCAAGCTTTTTGTTTGGCACCTCGAATCAAACAGATAAAATCATTGATCAATTAAATGATCAGCAGATTCATTGATGAAAAAGACGAGTCATAAAGTGATTTTGTTGTTCAGGAGGAAAAATATGAAAACAGTTTTAATCACAGACTTACCAAAACATCTGGAGCTTTATTGGGCTTTTTTTTTTTTTTTAAACATCCCTGGAAACAAACACACCGTCAGCGCAGACACAGACACACACACAGACACACACACAGCGGCTTTTAAACATCCCTCGCAACAACCCCCCCGTCCGCGCAGACACAGACACACGCACAGACACACACACACACGCAGACACACACACACACGCAGACACACACACACGCAGACACACACACACACGCAGACACACACACACGCAGACACACACACACACGCAGACACACACACACGCAGACACACACACACACGCAGACACACACACACGCAGACACACACACACACGCAGACACACACACACGCAGACACACACACACACGCAGACACACACACACGCAGACACACACACACACGCAGACACACACACACGCAGACACACACACACACGCAGACACACACACACGCAGACACACACACACACGCAGACACACACACACGCAGACACACACACACACGCAGACACACACACACGCAGACACACACACACACGCAGACACACACACACGCACGCACGCACACACACACACGCGCACACACACACGCAGACACAGACACACGCAGACAGACACACACACGCAGACGTGCACGCACGCACACACACAGGTTTCAGCTTTGTTCTGTACATTCTGGAAACTTGTTGACAGAGGTCAGAGATCAGCTGTTTCTCTGCTTCAGTTTTTATCTTGTTAAAAGTCTCAGTCGGGCTTCTGTAGTTGTAGTCCAGAAGTTCGTTCATTTGTAGTTCTTGTTTTTGGGAAGAGGAGCAGAGCCACATGAAAAAAAAAATCAGCTCCAAGATTAAAGAGAAAATCTGGACTTTAAAGACAGAGAGAAAAAAGAAATGTGTGTTTATAAAGTCAGAATTTAAGAACGTCCTCATCAAGAGAAACTAGTCAGACTTTCACAATAAAATTCTAAATCAAGACTAGATCCAGACTTTATAAATTCTGATTTAAAGTTTATTACTTTAAATCAGAATTTATAAAGTCTGGATTTGTGTTTTCAGATCAGTGAAAAAATCTGATAAAATAAAGTCAGGATTATCAAATAAAATTGGGATTATCAAAATCTGAGATATCAGTCAGAAAAAAGTCAAAATTAGTTTAAATAAAGTCAGACTTATTTTAGTCAGAATAACAAAAGCCTGACTTGTGTTATTATTTTAATGACTAAATATGATCAAAAAGGATGACAAAAAATTTAAATAATCCATTATTAATCTTGACATTTAAATAAGAATTCAGTGAAAAAAATGAAACATCAACAAACAAAAAACTTAACTTTAAAAACGTTAAATTATGAGATTAAGATATAATTCTTCATTAACTCCGATGATGTGACTTTTCCAGATGTTCCACAGATGAAACTCAGAGCTGATCTGCTTTTCATAGCAGACTAAAGTCTCCTCCTCCTCCAGTCAGACTATTTTTAAATCCATGACCTGACCCTGACAGGTTGACCTCTGACCTCTCTCCTGACCAGGTGAGCTGTGTGTGTGTGGTCTACATCAGTCAGCTGACATAACGGACAAACTTCAACTGTCCCATTAAAAAAACGTAATCCTGCACAGAACATCAGATTCTGTTTTAGTTCAAGTTTCTTCTTCGTTTGTCAGGTGAAGATCAGAACGTGTCTGTCATCGTCGTCGTCATCGTCATCATCAGATTTTAAATTCAAGTCAACTCCGACTGTAAATCACATGGAAACTGCAGGTTTCACTTGTTTTCATCAGGTTCAATACGAGGTCGAGTTTGTTGATATTTTCAGAGTTTGAGTTTTTAGTGTCGATCTGAGCGAAGCTTCAGACTGTCAATGAACTAACGATGAAACAAAAACATCCGAGTCATGAGATTAACCTCAACACTGAAACACAGAATTTACATTTTCAGACTTCTGACTTTAACTGATCAAATAAATCAGGATGAATAAAGTTAGACTTAATAAAGACAGATTTAAAGTCTAAATGTTGAGATTTAAATCTTAATTCTGAGAATAAAGACGGATCCATGACTGTAGTTTTTCAGGCTTCATGTGTTTTGAGGGATGATTTTTGATTTTAATCTCAGAACTCAGAAGATTTTTCTTCCTGTGGCTTTGATCCGTTTCTGTTGGCACTAAGTTTTTAATCTGTCAGCTGCTGAGTGTGTGAGCAGCCCATTGACCTCTGTCTTTCTGCAGTGTGTTGGTTGATGTGTTTTACGAGGACGATCTGGAGGTTAAAATCCAACATGGCGGACGCACAGTGATGAGTCTATTTGTGGCGGCTGCCTCTTCTCTTCATGGCGGCCGTACACTGAGGACAGTACCACTTCCCCTTCGGAGCCTCCGTCAGCCCGACGCAGCCGTAGTGGAACCACTCGATTGGACACTGAGGAGGGAAGATCACAGATCAATACACAGACTAGACTAATCAATCGATCAGAAAAAAAACATATGAATTCACTCTAAACCAACCAGATGTTTTGGTCCTGTAAACAAAAGTTGAGACAATCAAACAAACTAATGACTGTTAATCAGTTAATAGAAAATTCAACAACTTTATCAACCAACTCATTTTTTATTTGGTCGTCAAGAAAAATACATTTTCTGGTTCTAGTTTCTCAAATAAACAAAATGTAACTTGTAACTAAAAATTAAAACTCTGAAGTTTGTGTTGAACAAAAACTTTAACTCTGAGAAATGTGACATCACTGTAGGTTTACCAAAAATACATAAACAACTTCTAAACTAAGTTATCAATAAACATCATTATGCTCTAATCACTGGGTCATATATTCACACAAACTGAGAACATGATACTCACATCTGTATTATCACAGCCGACCATCTCTCCATAAGAAACCTGGGAAACAGTTTCAGTTGTTAAAATCATCATCAAACTAATCAGACACTGAATCCACACAAACTGTCTTTTAACTTCTTGAAACTGACACTGTCACCTGTGACCAGGTGTATGGATGGATAAAAGGGGGCGGAGTTTAAATGTATGTTCCAGTTCTTTTATACCAAAGAAACTGATTTGAGATTTCTCAGCAGCTTCTCTTCTTCAACTGCTTTTATACACAAGGAGCTGGGGACTGAACCAAGAGAGAAAAGAGGGGAGTTCTCACAGAGCTGTCATTTATGTTGACAGGTGAAGAGACAGAGGCATCACCTGCTTCAAATATGTGAAATTGTTCGTGTGTGTGTGTGTGTGTGTGTGTGTGTGTGTGTGTGTACCTGGTTACAGATGCAGTATCGGGGCTCGTTGGGGTCGTAGGTCCAGTCCACCTGGCTGTTGGCCTCAGCCTCAGGTAGCGCTGAGGCCTGCTGGGAAAGCTCCTGAGCCAACGCTGATGATGAGGAGCATGATGACAGTGAGGAAGAGGAGGACGATGAAGATGACTGATGGTTGGAAGACTTGATGCTGCTCCTGGAAACAAAAGAAGATTAGATCAGTGATTTAAACATCTACAGACACAGACCAGCTCAACATGTTTAATACATGTAGTCCGTCACTGCTCATTATTTTTATACATCATTATTATTATTACTGTTAAACTCTGTCACACATTTATAAAAACAGTGTTAGTTGAACATCTGTATCACATGCTGAAGACAGTACAGGAGGATGGAGGTCTTACTTGGACTTGCGCCCCCTGGAGTCGGAGGCAGTGGTGGGGGTGAAGGTCTGAGTGAGGGTGGAGGCCAGAGCAGAGGAGGAGTATCCAGTGTTGTCCCGGGACAGAGAGAACTCTCTGCCCAGCTGGAAGTCGTTGTTCTTGATGGCCTCGTAACTCGCCTTCAGACTGGACGTCCTCCTGCCCTCCTTCATCTGAACACACAACAATCATCACAAAGAACAACAGAGTTACACCTCTCTTCAGCTGTTAGGATCTTTACATTAACTTCAATGTTAACCAGCTCTTCAGCACGTTAGTATGACATTAGGACAGTCTGTGCATGAATGACTTCCTGTATCTGGTGGAATAAACAAACAGGATCAAACAAACACCTGAAACATCAAAGTGCTTCAAAGTCATAAAAACAGTGTTGCCAGCTTTTGTCCACTGTCATATAAAAGTGTTGGACAGTTGGACTCGACACTGAAGTGAAAGCCTTAGGACAGCGACCAGAATAACCTGAGAGCTGAGTGTGTTTCTGACCTGTGCTGTGGCCTGTACAGCCTGAGCAGCTGCCATGGTGATGGCCCCGGCTCCGGCCCCGGGCCCCGCAGGTAGAGAGCTCAGGTTGTAGGAGGCCAGAGGCTGAGAGGAGTTCACACTGTACACGTTGTTGGTGGACGAGGAAGTGCTGTTGGTACGGCAGCCTGCAGGGGGCAGACAGTCAGACAGACAGTTGACAAATACACAGGGGGAGGAGAGTCTGTTAAGGTGAAGCGTCTGTGCCGTTACCTGGTGTGTTCTCCTTGGAGGCGTCTGATGTGAGTGTGGACAGCAGAGCTTCAGATTTGAACTTCTTCTCTGGAACATGTTCTGTAGTGTGGTGAGTCGGAGCGCTGTACTTCCTCTCTGTGACAACAAAGACGACAACGTGTTTAAAAACAGACTCTCCTCAGAAGTGTTGTTGCCAAGACAACAACTCACACTGACACAACAACTATGAGAGTTAAAAAAAACCTGATGATTATATATTTATTATTCCATAAACAGACTTCAACAGTTTAAAGGTCGATAAGTGTTTATCAGAGAATCCTGACTCAGATCTGTAGTGTGTAGTGAGCTCTGTGGTGACAAACTGTAACTGAGACCATGTTTATAAAGAAATTCAAACATCTCTAATATTCTTCTCTTATTCTTTACTGTTAATGATCCAAACACATAAAGTAACAGGTCAGAGGTCTGCTGTGAAGTCAGATGCAGGACTGTCCCCTGAACTGTCTCAACCTTCTGCAAAATGAAAACTTTAAAATACTGTAAAAACCAGCGAGGCACTGATCTGACTTTTCCTCTGATACTGATCCCTTTATCAATTATGTCTTCTTTCCAAATGTAAACTAGTAAACTTCACTGAGTCAAACTGATGATGCTGTGTAGCTAACAGCTGTGAATGTAAAATTTATTTTAAAATTGACACTGACGATGAAACTGTATTTGATGTCTGTATCAACTGGCTGATCAATAAAGTATTGGTTCTGACACTGATCAGCTGGTACTTACTCTCAGCTGTGGTGTGAGAGTGGACATGATGGTTGTTGACGGGCTGAGACGGACTGTCCATCTCTAAAGATCCTGAAGAGAGAAAAAAAAAACATCCTTGTCTTCATGTTTGTCAGAAAAGATTAAGAACAATGAAGAATAAGAAACATCAGGAAGTGAATGTCACTGTGTTCACAGGTGATTTGAAAACCTGTCGGTCTGAGTGACTTACGTCTCTCCAGGATCTCGGTGATGCCGGCGTTGTCGGCCTCCAGCTCCATCTTAAACTTGGCCAGTTCCTGGTCCAGTTTCCGCAGGTGACGGTCCACCTGGAGAGAGATGAATGAATAATTAAAAACACTCATCAGGACAGAGAGAGAACATGTCCTTCAGCTTTTTAAAGGCTCATTTTGTTAAACCAGTGAATTAATTCTGACTCCATCACCCCCACCCCACCCCCCACCCCCCTTCTTTAACTACCTGTAACTCACCAGGTCATAAATCTGATTGGCCAGCTGGACTTTCTCATCTGCATCTTCCAGAGCTTTGTAATAATCCTGAAACGGAGTTTAAACAAATCAACCACATACTTATTTAAACAGTTTCTAACCCTTATTAAAAAAAAACTATTTTTCAAGAAATCTGAACATCATAATATGACAGAACAAATACTGAGCTACTGGATGTCTTAGTCATGTTATGGACTGAAATGTTTTTTTTCGTGCAGGTCTCATTTAAAGAAAAAAACACAATAAAAAGAGCAATAATTCATCAGCTTCTTGTTTTCCCTGAATCTTAATATATTCAGTCAATGTTTATTAATTTATTGTACATAGTATTATTGTAAATACCAATAATCCACTAAATCAACTGTAACACATCAGCTTCTCAGAAACTACAGGTCAGACACCAGCTGCGGAACCAGAGCTCAGCCATCAGGAGGAAGACGACCTACATTTGTCACTATGATCATCTTGTGTTTCCTCTTGAACATATTTGGTGAAATGAGAAACAGTGAACTCTGGTTTCAGAAGTTTTCTGACCTTTTTAATGACCTCCATCTGCTCTTCTCTCCACTCAGGTTTGTTCTTCTTCGCGTTGACGAAGAACTCGATCACTTTCTGCTCCAGCTGATCTGTGGCATCTGTAACAGGACGAGGACAGAAAAAAAGACTTAACATAGAAACTGTCGCACAGACTTCAGAAAACAAAAATCAGCTACTTATGCAAGCACAGAACCAGGGGGTAACTTCTTTTTAGGAAACTATTTTATGCTCTATATTCAGCGGCTTGTCAAAACTCACTTTGTTACCTGTTTATTATAGACTCAGGTCAGCTGATCCTCACCAACTACATAACATCATTGATGATATTGCATGTCATGATATGATATTATAATTAAAAAGAGTATACATTTTCACAAGTCTTCATATTTAAACAACAAAAATAAATCGTAACTACAGGATAAATAAATAAATCCACTATCACACCTTGTTACTGCATGTTTTTTTTGTTTGCTCTCATTTGATTTTTCTGTTTCTTCTGGTTTTACCTGTATAATGTGATGTGATATCATATTGTCATGTTTTCACTGCCTTCTGTTTACATGTCCTACTCTGCATGCTGTTGCCTTACTCCCTCCCAGCTTTGTCACCTAATTTAATTTCGTTTTATTGTCGTTTTACTTGCTGATTAAACATTTAATAAAAATGACAACAGCTGACAATTACAGTGACACTGTCCCTGAAAATAAATGAGTAAATAAATCTACATTTCTTTATTTTACAACGACTTTAAAATTTAAAAGGTCTGGGTTAAAATGTAACTAAAATGTTTGCATGACAATAAAGCTGGCTGTTATAGAGCAGGTGTAACACTGATGTAAACAGCTGTTAATCAGTCAATAAACGCAGGTTCAGGCGGTTAGCTCTTGATAGCCGGCTGCTGCTAACTCGTGTGCTAACTAAACAGACTCTAAGGTTAAATTATGTTGTAATGTGCCTGAATGAAACGCTGTGTGTGTGTTAAACGTGTCTGTCCTCGGTGTGTTACCGGCTGTGTGACTGCCGTTGCCGGCGGGCTGTACGTACTCTGAACCTGCAGGTCCATCTCCCTCATTTCCGTAAACCTGTCGCGGAGATCCATGGGTAGCTGCTCGATCACTGCCAGAATAAGAAGACGCCGTTACTTGCTAGCACGGCTAGGCTAACGGCCGGAACCGCACAGGCCGGCAAATAACACACATTTAACGCACAAAACACCCCAACAATAACCCCATCGCTTTGTTGCAGTCCCATACTCACTCTCGAGGTAATCCTCCAGGTACAGCATGGCGGCAAATTTGAAGTTTTACACGTTTTATGGAGCAATTTTCCTCTTTCAATATGGCGCCGTCAGTCGCTGTCTCTCTCAGAAAAAAATACCCCGACAATCTGAGGTCAGTGAGCGTGACGCAACCGGCTGCCTGTGTTCTGATTGGTTGAAACATACGCGGGCGTTGATTTGCGTCTTCAGAACAGACGCATCATGGGAATTGGAGTTCAAACCGTATCCAGATTATTTCTCTTGTTTAAAATCCCCCCAAATCAAACCCAGATTATTTTATTTAGATTATTTATACATTATATTGCAAATCCACATATTTTTTATAACATCAAACAAACAAGATTTGCCATGAAAAATATTTAGAAAAATTCGATATTTAAAGGTTTATTTGGCACATACACATGAAATACAGTGTGACGTGCTCCTGAGGTTCTGCCTAAAGACTACCGTGAAAAAGGACCAGAGGACAAAAATATAAAAGACAAAAAAACATTGGCTATATTTGGATATTCACGTTCAAATAGATCTTAAACTATACAAACTCTGTTGTTATGTTTATTTAAACCTGTATTTAATTTATTCAGTTATTTAATTGCAAGCTGATGAAATTTATCAAAAAGTTATGAAATGTCTCAATTTTATGAAGTTTATTTCTATTATTTTCATTGTGTACATTCACAAAACAAACTGACTGTTCCCAGATAAACTGTATTTTCTCCCTGAAAGCGTCATACCAACAGTGACACTTTTGCATCATTTTAAAACGATCTATTATATAATTTTTGTTTGGTTTTTTTTTAAAGGAGCCATTTTAGTGACAATGACATGTGCGTCAGAACATCTGATAAACCCTCTGATGTGAAAAAACCCTGTGGCTCTTTAATGACACTTACAGCTGGTTTGGAAACATCGTCAGATTCCTCAGACTCTTTTATCCAGAGGAATGAAAAATATTCTGTCTGCTGCAACTTAACTGTGGACCTATACCACCTGGTACTCAACACGCTCCTGTATGACATCATCAGGTAAAGTGGGCCGACAAATGAAATGCACCTTAACAAACATAAGGGATTTAAGTAAACATAAATTAGACACATCTGCAAACATATATTTTAATAAAACCATCTTATAGAAAGATAGATAGATAGATAGATAGATAGATAGATAGGTGTCCATAGACTTTTGGCCATATAGTCAGTCTGTCTATACTACATACTTTATAACAAACATATTTGGACACAAAGCGGTAGACAACAGTAATTTTGTCAACATACTTATGGTCAGAAGTATGTGGACAGAGCTATACTTTAGACTATATGGCCAGAAGTATGTGGACGTAAATGGCTGTGAGGTAATACTTTGAGTCCACATACTTTTGGCAATATAGTCTAAAGTATAGCTCTGTCCTAATCTAATCTAATGGTTTGTGTCAGGATTGTTTTGGCCATATATTCAATTTATCTATTAGTTTGTGTCCACATAGTTTTGGCCATGTTGTCAATCTGTCTATATCGCATACTTTATACCAGAAATATGTGGACACAAAGTGGTAGACATATAGAAGTTTTGTCCATATACCTATGGCCAGAAGTATGTGGACATGAACTACACTATAGACAGACTATATGGCCAAAAGTAAGTGAACATGAACAGCTGTGATGTAGTGGTGTTATATTCCTCCTGTTGGGGCCCGTGCTGCCAGCAGAGGCCTCCACGTGTCTGCAGCTTCATCCTCCCCAACACAGCAGCAGTGTGTCGGCCTGCTGACCCGGCGGCTCTGCGGCTGGAGGCGGACACATTCCTCTGTCCTCCCCCAGGACCCGGGCGGGGGAGGCAGGGAGGGAGCGGCTGCTGCTGCTGCTGCTGCTGCTGCACGCATTTATTTAGTGAGGAAGAAGACGGGACGGGACAGGACCACCCCCTCCACACTGCTCCGGGCTCCGGCTACAGCTGCAGCAGCTCCCCGGACTTGAGCTCCACAGGTCGCGTCGGAGGTTTACCGCAGACCGCTGGATGTTCGTTGTTCTGTGGTTTTGTTTTTGTGTTGTTCAGCTGAGTTTGAGTTTGAAGCTTTTGGATGAGAACGAACATAAACCGCGGGTTTTTGTGTGTGAACCAGTGAAGTGGTCTGAACCTGATCCAGGATCTGGTCTCTGTGCTGTCCCGCTAAGTGAGTGATGATTGATTTGGAAATGTCAGCGCCGCCGCTGCGCGCAGCTCCGCGCACTCCATCATCCCGGCGGGGCTGAGGAAAGTGAGAAACCACCTGTTGTGAAAGTTTCCTGGAGCTTGTCACGGATCAACCCGAGCTGCTAAAACAAGACGCCGAGAGCCGAGAGGGAGTCGTGGCCGCGGAATGCCGCTTTTATGTCCGGAGGTTTCTGAGAAGAGGCTCCCGTCTAATGAGCGATAATTCCCGCAGACCTCTCCCCGGGCTCCGTGTTGTGTTTGCAGTGAGCATGTTGCCATGGTGCCCCGGGCTCAGATGAACAGGACGGCGGAGCTGCGGTCGGGATGGCTCGGGAGGACGCGGTGAGGTGTCTGCGATGTCTGCTGTACGCGCTCAACCTGCTGTTCTGGGTGAGGAAGTCCGAGCTGCACCACAGGACCTGGGTCTACATAGACCCGAGGCCGGCTTCACCCACACACACCGGCTTCACCCAACCACACCGGCTTCACACACACACACACCAGCTTCACCCACACACACCGGCTTCACCCACACACACCAGCTTCACCCACACACACCGGCTTCACACACACGCTGCAGTCACCACATGTTCATCATAGAAAAATGAAATATTTACACAGACACGTGATCAAACAACCTGACGTGTCATTCTACACATGAACTCATGAACAGGCTCAAGTGGTTTTGTGACATGTACATGTGAAACAGGAAGTAGCCCACATATGATCTTAGTCTCTGACATAAAGCACACAGTTTAGACAAAATGATCACTTCAGCTGATTTTTAAAAAACATATTTATCACATGTTGAGAAGTATTTGTGTGAAATGTGATACATGCACATGATTTCACAAATAATATCACATGAGAAACAGCATGAATTCACATTTTATTCAGTCTAACAAATGAAACAGTGATTTATACTTTCAGCTGTCATTGTGTGATCAATTCATGATATCAAGACCTGTTTTTTGTGATGTGCTGATAATGGGTTCAAACCGTGGACCACAGCAGAGTCACAGCTTCATTATGTAAACAGAACTTTTTGCTATGCGCTGCAAATAAAAGTAAAACTCAAGTTTGTCATGTTCAGATAAATGACCTGAACTAAGAGCTGCAAGTCAGTCCGCTCTCTCTGTGGTTCAACATCTCTCTCACTTTGATGAGGCTGCAGTGAAAGTTAAAGTTAACACAGAAAGTAATGTTAAAGTTTAAAGTGAAAGTTTAATGTTAAAGTTTAAAGTTTAAATTTTAAAGTTTAAAGTTAAAGTTTACAGTGAAGTTTAAAGTCTTTAAAGTGAAAGTTGAGGTTTAAAGAAAGTAGGCCACCGTCTGTCTGTGAGAACATGTTTCACATACCGAGATGTTATTTGCAGGCAGCAGAAACTGATCCGTGTGTGTTTATTTCTGTGTGTGTTTATTTGTGTGTGTGTGTCCAGCTGATGTCAGCATGTGTGCTGGGAGTGGCAGCCTGGATCAGAGACTCCCTGAACACCGTCCTGACCCTGACAGCCCACACCAGGTGAGTCCACACAGAGAGGCAGAGCTCAGTTGACACAGTCAGACCGGAGGGAAGTGACGACACCTGATCTCTGAGAGAGAAAGGACATTTACTCAGATACTGAACTTCTGTGGTGATGAGGCGTCTATAACACTTCAGGATTTTCATGCTCCTTTATACTTGACGACAGATAAAGAGAAATTATTCAGTCCTTCAAGTCTTTTCTTTAATAAAGGTAAAGAAAGAAGTTTACTTCACTTCTATTTTTCACATCCGTTCAATAACAACCTCCACTCTGTTTGAGGCAACTGAACCTTCAGTTTTCAGAATTATTCTTGTGCTGTTTTAAACACGACCACCAGGCGGTGCTAATGGAAGACATTTTCAAATAACACTGATAATGTTTCACATCAAATTCACTTTGTTTCATTGTTGTTGCTCCAGTTCTGATTATTCAAATTCCGAATCTTGAAATGATTCAGTCTGATTTTATTTTTATAAATATATTCAAATATGTTCAAACAAACCAAAGGTCATCTTTAGTGGATTTTGACTCAGAAATCAAACGACCACAAACTGCGACTGTTGATTCCTACGATCAAATATATACAACATGTTGGTCATGTGACTGGTTCTCTTACATACTTCACAAAGGGAGAGATCACATGATCACATGTGCCCAGGACCCTGTATGACCCCCCCTGTATGAACCCCCTGCTGGGGAGTCAGACTGTGTCTCTCTGAGCAGCGGGACGTCAGTGAAGAGTCTTGACTGTGTCTCTGCAGGTTGGAGGAAGCGGCCGTCCTCACGTATTCTCCAGCTGTCCATCCCGTCATCATCGCCGTCTGCTGCTTCCTCATCATCGTGGCCATGGTGGGATACTGCGGCACGCTCAAATGTAACCTGCTGCTGCTGTCCTGGGTACGTCCTCAACACACCTCACCTCCAGACTAACTTCATTTACCCAGAATTCACTGCACCTAAGTCAGGCTTAAGATAGTTAAGAACTAAACTGTTTCTGCAGCAGATGAATTCAGACTCAGTCTGTCTGAAGTCTGCCTGTTAAAGTCTGTCTCTGTGAAACCAGCTCCTGGTCTGATCTGATCTGATCTGATCTGGTTTGGTTTGGTCTGGTCTGGTCTGGTCTGGTCTGGTCTGGTCTGGTCTGGTCTTGTCCGGTCCGGTCCGGTCTGGTCTGGTCTGGTCTGGTCTTGTCCGGTCCAGTCCGGTCTGGTCTTGTCCGGTCTGGTTTGGTTTGGTCCGGTCTGGTCCGGTCCGGTCTGGTTTGGTTTGGTCCGGTCCCTCTGACTGATACATGATCGTCAGGTGATCAGAGTTACAGTAACTAAAACTGTGGAAATATAAAGTAACATTAATGTAAATAATGACAACAGACCCTCATCACTGGACGTCAGTGGTTACCTGGTTACCTGGTTACCTGGTTACCTGTTGTTTGTGGACTCGCCTGGAAAGTTGCACCTGCTGACCCCTCCTCAGTAAACACACCTCCCCCATAAGATCAGATCAGAACAGAGGTCAGTCTGTCTGCCTGTTGAAGGGGTCTGGTCTGTGAGCCACATCACCTGTCTGCTGTCAGTGGGCGGGGCCAGGTGTCAGGTGTCTCCATTGTCCCTCAGAGGAGATAAGATTGTCCCCTCAGTCTGTCCCTGAAAGATGAGACGAGCAGCTGAGGTTTGATGAATGGGCTCCCAGAGAGGATGATGGGAAACCAGCAGAGACAGGAAGTGCCCCCACCCTCCCTCAGTCACCCTGAGACACCTGGGAGATCAGATCACAATAGAAACAAGCTCCGCCTCTTCCTGTTGTTTGTGAAGCAGCTGCTGAGTCACAGCGTGAAGCTCAGAACACTGAGTTTATTAATTATATTATTATATATTATCATATATATTAACATTTACAGTCAGGACACACTGCAGTATGTCTAACTCTCCCTCCGTGTGTGTGTGTGTGTGTGTGTGTGTGTGTGTGTGTGTGTGTGTGTCAGTACTTCGGCAGTCTCCTGGTGATCTTCTGTGTGGAGCTGGCGAGCGCTGTGTGGACGTACGACGAGGTGAGAAACAGAAACATCAGAGTTTAAATCAGCTGTGAATGAAACAGTTCGGTTCAGACACAACAGATTAATGATCAATTATCAATTATTATTGATTAATATTTAATTATTACTGCAGCTTATTTATATTCTGATAACATCAAGACTTTAGTAACTGAAATTCTCTGTTTGATCTGAAAGTATCATGATGACATCACAACTTTACTCTAGAGATATTGTGGTTGCCACAGCAACATGTTTCATATTGAAATGATTCAAATGAATAAAATGACGACTTTACTTTTCTGTCATCATCACCTTTTCTTTTCTCATAAATTATTATAAAAAATATCATTATCATTATTATTATTATTATTATTATTATTATTATTATTATATAACATATATTATTAATATCAAAACATCTCTCACTGGGCGAGTCTCTGTGGTAGCTTTCCCTTTCATAAAGTTTGGCTGCTCTGTGATTGGCCGTCTGACAGACCAATCAGAGGAGAGTCTGTGAGCAGCTGCAGAGCTCAGTTATAAACAACAGACTCCAATAATAAACAGACATGTGAGACTCATCCAGACTAGGTCCTGTTTCACTGAGTTTCACTGAGCAACAGACACACAACAACAACAACAACAACAACTAGACAACTAGACAACAACAACTACAAATAGACAACTAGACGACAACAACAACAACAACAACAACTAGACAACTAGACAACAACAAAAACAAAAGTGTTCACTACTACAACTCAACAACAACAACAACAACAACTAGACAACTAGACAACAACAACAACACCAACAACTAGACAACTAGACAACAACAACTACAACAACAACCACTAGACAACTGACTCTGCTACACGACTGACCAGATACTGATGAACAGTAACTCAGTGATCGATTCAATTTCTTTTAGAGGCACGACGATGAAAAGATGAAACAATAACAAACTTTACTTATATTTGTGTGTGTGTGTGTGTGTGTGTGTGTGTGTTCAGTCATTAGTGCAACGCTCTGATATGATCAGCCTGAAGTCCCGGATGCCAAACTACGGCCTGCAGCGTTACCAGTGGCTCACACACACCTGGAACAGCTTCCAGACAGAGGTGACACACACACACACCCACACACACAGACACACACACACATCCTGCAGTCATGTGACCTGGGGTGTGTTTACCTGTGGACAGTTTAAATGCTGCGGGGTGATCTACTTCACTGATTGGCTGGAGATGACAGAGATGGAGTGGCCACCTGACTCCTGCTGCTCCAATCAGTATCCAGGCTGCGCTCGCCACGCCCACTACCACGATCTGAGTGACCTCCACCAAGAGGTGAGACACACCCACTCTCATTGGATGACAAACACCACGTACTCAGGTGTTTTCATTTAATCAGAGACGTTTGTAAAGAGTCTGAAACTGAGCGCTTTTAGTCTGTCTCTTTAAAAAGCCTCTGATATAAATCTGTGTTTCACCTCGTTAACATTCACATGAGGTTTTTATGTAATACAGAAATATTTTCTCTCTCTCTCTCTCTCTCTCTCTCTCTCTCTCTCTCTCTCTCTCTCTCTCTCAGGGCTGTGGTCCAAAGATCTACAGTTTCATTCGTGGGACGAAGCAGCTGCAGGTGTTGCGTTTCCTGGGTGTGTCCATCGGCGTGGCTCAGATCTTGGCAATGGCGCTCACCCTCACGCTGCTCTGGGCTCTTTATTATGGACGTCAGTCTCCGGAGCCGGACTCCACGATGCAGCCACCGCCCCCGGACGACTCCACCCCCCTCACAGTGACTCATGGACCCTCAGCTGAAGCCTCAGGCTGCAGCCGCTCTCATAAAAACTGCACTAACTCACCTGCTGCCTCCAAATTTCATCAGCACCAGTTTGAGATGGAGCGTCTGTCGTAGCCGAGGCCGAGTGGCGTGCGACTGTTTGAGGACTGAAGAAGAACAAACCTGGTTCAGTCATGGGTCTGTCCATTGTTTCACTCAGGTGTAAAAACATCTCCAGCTTCATGTCTGAGATATAATCAATGTACAGAAACACAAACAGGAAGTTTGATCAAGAAAAGGTAATGAATCAAATAGTTTGTCATTTAGGAGCCCTGAGGAACATCACATGATCACATGATCACATGACCAACCACCAACCACAGCTGGAGTTATGATGACATCACATTTAACAAAGTGACAGCTGCTGAGCTGCTTCAAGGAGCATTACATTTATTCATCTGGACAAAGTGGTTCATTTCCAGTCATCAGATTTTTATTCTTCAGATTTCAGGCGTGCCCCTGGTGAAAACAGAGTTTGTATCACTGAGAGAAACGATGACCAGAGTCTGAATAAACTGATGTTTGAATGAACCGAGTCCAGGTCTGAAGGAAACGCCAGGAACACGTCAGCGGGACAAAGAGAAGAGGTTCTGAACCCGAACTCTGCAGAAACAGGACGGACTGCGGTTCTTTGTTTGTGGTTCTTTGTGGTTCTTCACTGGACGAGACGAAAAAAACTGAAGGAAAAAACCTGTTTGAGAAAAGGGGAATTTTTACCACTGAAGAGACAGAAACATCCTGACGTTGACTTGAGTCAGGAGGAGGTTGTCGGTGCGAGTCTGAGGCGTCACTGGAAGACAGACTGTTCATCAGAGTTTTATTGTATATGACAAACATGGAGTTGAATATTTAATTTGTCTCAGTTATTGGAGCGTTTGATCATTTTCTCACTGGAATACAAACTGAACATTAAAGCAGGACGACACTGAGCTATGGAGGCTTGATTTAGTCACCGGCCTGCAGACGAGCCGGGTGGAGTTAACTCTCTGAGGGGCAGTTTGTCAAACAGCAGCTGTGAATGAATAAATGATTATTCACTGACAACCTTCAATAAATAATTAATACAGAGATGATCAATAACATGTCAGTAAACACTTCACTGTGTCGATGATCATGTGATGTCATCATATGATGACTCCCTCTGTCACTCTGAGAATTCAGTCAGGTAATAAATGTTCAGAGAGTTTGGACCAGATGAAAAATTCAAACTTGTTCAGGTTTGAATTTTCACATCTGGATTTAAACAACAAAATAAAAAATGAAAATTACCTTCTGGAAGTTTCATAGAAGAAAAACAAACATCATGAATCCAGGTCCATGGTTATCAGCTGATCCACACACTCAGTAGTCCCTTTATTAGGTACACCTGTACAGTCTAATACAGCTGCTCATGTTAGTTAGATCACATTAGACTGACAGCTGTTTCTATTGTTATGTCCATGTTTCCATACATGAGGGTCAGAATATTAGGAACACCTCTGAATATACAGAAGTCCAGTTTAGAGACAGACTGTTCATCTGTTCCTAATAAAGTGAACAGAGAGAATATTACATGTTTGTATTAAGAAGTCATGATACTGAAACAGTCTCTACAGGGAGCTGATGATCACATGATGGAGAAATATGAAGCTGCAGAAGAAGCAAAACCTGACAGAAGCTAGGACTGAAAAACACCAAACATGTCACCTACAACTCCAGTCCTGCTGCAGCTGTTAGACACACACACACACACACACACACACACACACGGTGTCAGCTGTTCAGTGTGAAAAGCTCTTAACATCCAGCATGTCTGAAATGTTCCCTCCTCCACCACTGCACAGTATCAACAGTTCATTTCTCTCAGTGTCTCAGCTGCTGCGTCACTTTACAGCAGGTCCTCAGAGACAGGAAGTGACATCACACCCTCCAAGCTCTGGTCCATGAGTAAGTTCACCCACTGGTTCTTACAACTAACTAACCCAGTAACTAACTAACTTTAATATCGTCCCTCCTGGTGGTTGGTGATTAGCCTCCACCTGTAAATATCACAGTGACAGAATGTGAGAGTATTCTGGTCATTTTAAACCGTTCTGAATAAAGCTAATCACATAGGGAACAGATGGGGTCTGTGAACTAGTCTGTGAACTAGTCTGTGAACTAGTCTCTGGTCTAGTCTGTGAACTAGTCTGTGGTCCAGTCTCTGGTCTAGTCTGTGAACTAGTCTGTGGTCTAGTCTGTGAACTAGTCTGTGAACTAGTCTGTGAACTAGTCTGTGGTCTAGTCTGTGAAATAGTCTCTGGTCCAGTCTCTGGTCTAGTCTCTGGTCTAGTCTTTGAGAGCCCCTGGTTTGGAGCGTCTGTGCTGAATGAAACAAGAAGCCAGTTTTACCAGGACAAAGTTTTTATTCTATTTACTCAGACACTGCACCGGACTAAAACCATGAAGCTTCTCTTTTAATATTATCCTCAGTAATTCATATTCTTATCATTATAACACAAGCTGTAAGAAACCAAAGTCATAAAGACCAGAACCACCCTCAAAGTGTTTTTACGGGTACGTCTTTATCTCCTCCTCCATGAAGGCATGCATCAGAACTGAACACAGACGTGACGGCTTCTCATCAAAATGATCCAAAACAGAAGAAATGATTCACAACACCAAAGAACAACAGCACATGTGCATTAGCAACAGCAATCATAATAATCCTCATTTCTTTCTTTTACAACCAAACATTAAGATGCTCAAAAATATTTTTCTGTAGCCCACCCCACCCGACAGGGTCTCTTTACAAAACATAGAGAAGAATCAAAAAGAAGTCAGTTGCATATGTGTCATTACTGTGGAGCAGTGGTGGGGGTGGGGTAGGGGGTTAGGTTAAGGGTCGGACATTTGCATCTTCAATCCAAAACTTCAAATTTGGGCACTTAAAAAAAAAACAGCAGCTGTGACTGATGAAACATCAGCTGTTAAAACTGTTTTAATATAACTGCATAATTTCCAAAAACATTCAGGTGACAACACGTCATCGTCTAAACGTGACCAGAAACGTCCACGAGGTTCAGATCATTGAAATCCATCAGACAATGAACAGAGTCAGAAGAAAGACGTTTTCATAGTGAAGAAAACAAACTTTGTCTTTGTATCAAAATGGATTAAAGTTCATCTTCACATGTTTCTGTTCACTGTGACATGAGTTTGGCTGTTTGGGGCAGATACAGAAATAATATCCAGCAGATTTAAATCTACACATTTTTACCAAAAGTACAAATATTCAGTGTTTTACGTTTGTCAGTTGACAATAAAATTCTTCACTTAAATTACTGAATATTTTCTGTCAATAGCCAGATGACCGAACTACACAGTGAAAAACAGTCAGTAAATAATGTGAATTTAATGTAACAGATATGTAAAAAATGATAAAAAGGCAACATGCAAAAAGATAAGAACATTACATTTTGGGACTTAATGGGCTCCTAAAATATTTATATATTCACTTTACCTCTGAGAGGGTTGGGGTTAACGCTTTGCATAAAGTCTGGAAGCAGGAGGAAACAGCTAGCCTGGCTCTGTGTAAAGGTATAATACACTAAGAACAATAAAGCTGATGATTAATCTGCACAAACAGAATCTGGGAAAACAACAGCGTCAGGTTTTAGGAATCATCTACTGAAAATATCTATTAATGAAAAATTGCTAAGCTAACGTTAGGCTAATCACAACCTTATTATATCAATCTGAACATCTCAGCCTGAGAAACAGTGAATGAATTAATTTAACATTACTACAGTTGAATGTAGCTCAGATTAGTGAGAGGGGATCTATTCTGGCTCTTAGAGCTTCTTCATCATTCACAGTTTAAGAAATCCTCATTTATGTTCAGCTGCAGCTCCCCAGTTGAGCCTGAATCAGCTAAAATTAGCTTGAGCTTCATTAAAACGTCATAAAGTAATTATATTAATGATGAGTATTTGTTATGGTCATAATGACAAACTGCTGGTAAGTCACCTCTGATAAAGATGAAGACATCAGATATCATAGTTTAATCCTGCTGAAACAGTTTGACGTTTAGCAGATGAGTCAATAATATGAAGCTAACATTAGCTAAGACATCAGATATCATAGTTTAATCCTGCTGCTGTCAGTCTGATCTTTAACAGCTAAGCTGACGTTAGCTAACGTTAACTAACCTTCAGCAGCTGAGCTAATGATACGTAGCTCACATTAGCTAAAACAACAGACATCAGATATCATGATTCAATCCTGTTGAAGCTGTCAGTTTAACCTTTAACAGATGAGCTAACGATATGTAGCTAACTGAACGATTCTGACTACGATTTATTATGCTAATGTTAGCTAACATTAGCTAATGTTAGCAAACATTCAAAGATCCTGTTCTTAACATGTTAATGTGATGTAACAGGGATTCTGACTATAATTTATGATGCTAATGTTAGTTGTCGATCAATATGATCAGTACTCTGCTGTGTAGCTACAGTGTGCTGTGCTGGAGAATTAAATGTAAACTCAGACTCTTCTGCTGCTCAGAAAGACAGTCCTTACTAACTAATACTAATACTAAACACTAGTTTAGATAGTTAAACTTGACTAACTCACTCACAGCTGATCAAATCTAAAAAACAGAAGCTGCTAACACTGAGCTCCTGCTCCTCTTACAGTGCACAGCTGTGATGGGACATGCTATGGTTTAATAGTCATTATCATATGTATTTATATAGTGGCTGCAGTGTCAGTGAAGTATTCTCCTGAAACCTTCTGTCAACAAAGAAACAACATTAGGCAACATGTGCGTTAAATAAACCAGCGAGCAAGACGACGAAGGTCAATAAACAGCTTCAGTACAAAGAGAGAAAGTTTTCTTATCACAAATTGACATCAAGGTTTTTCATGATGGCGGTTCAGATTCAGGTGTGTTCACGTTTCTGTACAGCAGAGAGGAAGGCAGTCAGCTCCGACTGAAATGTCAGGTAGAAAACTAATATATACAGTCAGGACCTGAACGCAGCAGGAGTCACACGTCCCATCAGATCAGCATGCAGGGAAAAACACAGCCGGTCCATGCACTCACACACAGATACTGAACATGCCGAAGGGTTTCCTGGTGTCATCGGTCCACATCAGTCCACATCGTTCCACAATGAACCACAAATACAAAACCTCTAAACCTCTAATCAGCTGATCAAAGGAAACATCATCAGTTCAGGAAAAACGTTTGTTCACCATGTCACGTAGACCTAATCCAGAACTCAGGACATCATGGTCTGAGAAAATCACTTTAAGACCTCGACTCTCCTCAGTCTCTCAGATTCAGATTTATACAAATAAAAAGTCAAATTTAAATAATAAATGAAGTTATGAACAAACAAAAATAAACTGTATCAATAAATATGAAAAATAAATAATGAAAAATAAAAAGTAAACAGAAATAAAATAAGAAGAATACAACTTAAATAAAATAATCACATTTGCAATAAAATTAAGTAAATAAATTTAAAAAAAAAAATAAGATAGTCCGAATCCTTTCAAAACACATATTTTAAATGTTCATATTATATTCAGTTCACTTTAGTTCAGTCATATTTTCCACTTTGATGACTTAAAAATAATTAAAAATTAAATGTATAATTCTATAATAATACAATCCACGCCAGTGCCAGTTTATTAGGAACACTTCATTAGAGTCGTTGATTCACTGATGATCACTGGAGGATGTAGTTTGTGCTGCTGTTGAACCGTATTGTGTTTGTGTTGTTGTACATATTTAGTCCGTCCCATTCAAATCAATGAGAGTAGACTAAACAACAGACTGACCTCTTTGTATATTGTTTGTAATACAGCAGCACAAACGGCACCTGTTCCTAATAAACTGACTCTGAGTGCGTGTGACCTCGTCCTTCACACAACGTCACAGACATAGTTTTAATCTTGGATTTAAATGTTGTTTTGGCCCCGAAGAAACATGTGATCATCCAGACTGAACATCTGTGACCATGACAATCCATCTGAAGATCCGACCTGCTGCTGGACGGGTTCAGTTCATCATCCTAGTTTCCCCTCGGGCTGAAGGAACATGACGAGTTTCAAACATGAAAATGTTCATGTGAATCACCATCAGGTGACGAACGGATTGTCGAGGCCACAAAGTGAAATCTGGACATTTCAGTCACAGCAGCTCACACAGTGTATCAGGAAAAATCTGAACAACATTCACGTCAGTCAGGTTTAAAGTCTAAAAAACAGAATCTCATTTATTAATAAATGAGACATGTGAACCACGAGTGCTGCAATATAAGCTCTGGACCATTTAATACTCACTGACTTTGTTTTATTCCACCTCTAAAACCAATTTACAGCCACATGTGAGGTCCTGTATTTAACATACTCTTCATGAAACACCTGAAGGACTGAAACACCCGAGTGACTGACACACCTGTGAAATGCTCTGCATGAGAAGACGCTCCCCACTGACTGGATCAGGGCAAACATATCATAATATAATGTATTATATTATATATTATTATATATATTATATCCTGTTTATTTCACACAGGTAGAAATAGAAAGTGAGAGGTTTCAGGAACAAATAGCTCTGGAAGACTTTTAGTCCAACTCCTTCACCAGATAAAAAAACCACAGACACCAAGGACTTAAAGGTACTATATGTATGTTTTTTCCATTGCTACATACCTAACGTTAGCATTAGCAGCTGTTTCCTCACCAGTCTAGGAGAAACATTGTGAGTTTAGCATCAAACTTAATTCCTTTACTCATCAACATCTGTCTCCAGAGGTGGAAACAAACACAGTTGTTAACTCTTGTCTCTGTCACGTCTTTTCTGCTACTGATGAAGATGAAGAATTAGCTGAGTATCCTCTTCCACCATCATCACCACCATGTTCAGCGGCAGAGAAAACTTACATATAGCCCCTTGAACAACATGTCATTTTATGTGATGACAAAGTTGTAAGTTTGTCTTTGACCAGAACATGTTATAGCAGAGGTAACCAGGCTACAGCCAACTAAACCCAGCTAACTCTTAGCTGGTTAGCTAACGAGATTAACATATCAATCAAACAGTTTTGGACTTGTTGCTTTCTTCACTTTTGCTAAAGCTAGGCTAACAGTTTCCATCTGCTTTCCCTCAGTGTTTGTGCTATGCTAGGCTAAACTGACTAAGGTGACATGGTGAACAGTGTGGTTCCTAAAACGTCAAACGTCTCCTTTAAACTCATTCAGAATAAATAAATCTACGTTGGCTTCAGCTTCTTTGTTCTAAGACATAAAATGTGACACAGGATTTAAAAACAGCGACGATTTGAATGTGTCTCGTTAAAGACGAGTTATCAGCTGAAGTGCTGCCGCCTTCTCCTCTCTGATGTTTCTCTGCTGGAGTAAAAATCTTCATAAAAGAAAACGCTGAAAACTTCCCAGGTGAGTTAGCTTAGCGTGTTCGGATTCATGTTTCCTGCCACCAGGGGAAACAATCAGATCTAACCCGTCACTTCAAACAAGGACACACGATTCAGCTGCCACCCCCCGCTGCCTGAGTCTGTGTTGGTGATGGGGTCGTCGACCTCCGAGGGTGGGGGTGATTGTTGTTATCTAGAGCGCTGACACCCGGACGATGTTGGTCTGGGAGTAGTTGGAGCTGGCAGATTCATCACCTTCGGGCGTGGTGCCGGGTGGCGTGGGCATGCTGATGACGGCGGCAGTGATGTACGGCTGGTCACAGTTCAGAGGAACCGTCTCCTCGAATTTGGCGTTCAGACTGGAACGACTGGAACGACTAGAGGGGAAGAAGAAGCAGTAATGTAGTGATGAGTGAGACATGAGTCAGTGTAACGTGTCTCTGTGAGTTGTTTTTACCTATAGCTGGTGGACATAAAGACTCTGAGACACTGAGACTCTGAGATTCTGAGACTCTGAGACACTGAGACACTGAGACACTGAGACACTGAGACACCGGATACTGACCCAGGACCATGTGACTCACCAGGTCCAGGCTCAGTGATCAGCTATATGGTCTGTTACTTTTCGCATACATCCATTGTATCAGTGAGTATTAAACTGTCCTCGGATGGACAGCTTCATAAGTGATGATATGAACTGAGTCGGGGGCTGGAGGAGGATCTCACAGAGGAGCCTCTTTCCCAGCTGTCCATGTTTAGGAGAACGTTCCCAGAGCTCTCAGACCTCCCACAGCTGGACATATTCTGGATTCCTGCTCCCTTACTCTACATGGGAATACACTGTCACATGATCTCTGGTCCCAAGTGTTTATATACAGTGTGTGTGTGTGTGTGTGTGTGTGTGTGTGTGTGTGTGTGTGTGTGTGTGTGTGTGTGTGTGTGTGTGTGTGGCTCGTACCGTCAGTGTTTATAACCTCATTCAGTGTATTTATAAGTTCAGTTACATCAAATGTCTGCTTCTCAGTTCTTCTATAAAAGGAACATTTGTTTTTTCAAACCCCTTCTTTTAAAAATCACATTCAGATTTAACATTAAACTTCAGTAAAGAAGCTTCTGGGAGAAAAAACAGAAGGCCATTATAGTTTCCTGCCCTGCTCTCTGATTGGCTGTCAGCTGTCTGTCTTCATTCTAAGTGAAAGCTCAGGCTTTAGTAAACTGCGGGTAAACATAGTAACAGGACTGATGTTTCCCACTGCTTTACCACTAAATTACTCAAAGTCCTCAAGCGTCATTAATACTGTCTCAACAACTTCTAAGGACGTATGCTACTTCTATGGGGACTAAAACCTGAACAGGGACTTCTAAAACCTCCTCAAGAACCTCTGAAACCCCAACACCTGCTCAAGGATGACTGGATAGATAACCTGCAGCTCCTCAAGTTCCTCTAAAACCTCATTAAGCACTGTCTTAGAACCTCATCAAGGTCATCTAATATCTCCCTAAGGGCTTTTGCAACGTCATCAAGAACCTCTGGAACCTCTGGACCACCTCAGACCTCCTTATGCATCTCCAGAACCTTCTCAGTTCCCTCTAATATTTCCTTAAGGACCTCTGCAGCCTCCTTAGTGACCCCTGAATCCTCTTTAAGACCTCTTAACCCCTCACAAGGAACTCTAAAACCTGAAGACTCATAGTACTTCCTCTATGAATCTTGTAACTTACTTCAAAACCTCCGTAAAGATTTGCTGTCTCGACAAGTTCAACTAAAACCTTTTTAATGACCTTTCCAAACTCCCCAGTGACATCTTGAACCTCCCGAGACCTCAACAACCTTCTCAGTGAACTCTGAAACCTCCTTAAATATCTTTTGAATCTTCTCAGGGATCCCGAGAAACATTGACCTCAATAAGTGTCCTACCTGTTGGTGAGTGGCCTCTCCCTGATCTGGATGGTACTCAGCTCCTGGATACTGCCCTGCATACCCACAGATATGTTGGAGTTCGGGACATTGAAGGTCTTCCTCTTCCTGCGGGAGCAGCAGGAGCTGAAGCCATGAGATGAGGAGGAGGCAATGGAGGAAGAACGAGAAACCTGCTTCACCAGAGTCACCTCCCTGCAGCTCGCCTCGTACATCTTCTCGTCCACAAACTCGTGGTTCTGAGGATCATGAGCGAGACATTACAGGATGGCAAGAGGTTTTAAGTCAGTGTGTGTGTGTGTGTGTGTGTGAGCTCACCGTGGTCTTCTCCAGACAGTGCAGGAGGTGATGATGATGCACCTCAAAGTTAGGGTTGGTATTACACACCAGCGCCTGTCCTGCTTCCTTGGACGCCTTCAGGGCACAAACAGAAATCACATGACCAAATAATGAGTCTACTATTGGACAGAACCACAGAACAAAGTGGGGCCACTCCACTGTGACACATCTGGATAGGGCTAACGTTCTGCTAATACTGTTGAAAGAACATTTAGAGCGGTCCATTTTTTTTTTTACCCACAATACCCTCCTGTTTCAGATTTAGTCAGAAAATTGGAGGTTGCTCACTGGTTCAAACTCAGGCCACCGACAGCAGCCGTGCAGCAGCTTCTGAATGTGTTTGTGTTTCTGCTTGTTTATTTGTTCTGACTCCAGCCTCATTTGATCCAAGACAGCCACCGTACCCACGTTGATGCTCTGGGGTTCAGACCGAATGTGACGCAGGTGGATAGACAGAGGGACTGAGGACTCTGGGATCACGGGGTAAAGAGCTCAGGTACTGACACACATCACACCTGAAATTCCTAAAGTCAGTCGTGGATGTTACTCCTGTGGACCCTGAAGGAAGTCCTGACCCATACTCCTGTGAACACACCACACTCCCACAGACCCCAAAGGAGCTCCCAAACCTTACTCCTATTCAGAAAGCTTTAATCCTGAGGATCCTCTTAAGGACTATAATAATACTGAAAGCGACACACCTCCAACCTGGGAACGCTAAAAGAGGTGACATGTCTTAAAGTGCTTAAAGTATGTCACGAAGTTCACTTTCGGAAACCCTGAAGAAAGAAATGAATCTTACTCCTGTCGGCCTTTGTAGGGACTGTAAAGGGGAAACTTACTCATGGGGACTGCCCTCTTCCTACTGGTTTGCAGTCCTGGGGCCACCAGTAGTAAACCCTGACTGCTAGTCTGAACTAACACTTGTCCCAGACCTCTCTGTACTCCCCTCAGATGACTCTGAGTAAGACATATCTTAATTGTTCCTATAAAGGTAAGAGTTCATCGAGCACCACCGCCCTCCATCTGTCACGTCTGCGTCGCATTGACTCTGCTCCCCTGCATGCCGCCAGGCTGGCTGATTAACATGCAGCTCAGCCCAATCTCATTCCTCCACACAGTGATGAAATCCAAGACGCGTAGTGATGATGTAATGAGCAGTCAGTCGGCAGCCGAGCTACACGGGAGGGCCAATCACAATGCACGAGTCCAACCAAAACACAGAAGAAGAAGAAACAAAGACAGAGCAGAGAGGAAGACAGGAGCTGAGAGGTGGAGGTGTGTTTGTAGACAATGCTGTTTCCTGTTGGTGAGATGAGACCCTCAGGTCATGCACAGGTGGGTTAGTGGGATGGATTAAGGTTGAAGGGGTTAATACATGAATTCTGTCTTCATGTGCAAACAAATGAACGAAAGAAGAAATGATGGTGAAAGTGAGAGAGTGATGCAGCCACAGACAGAGAGTAAAGTGATGGAGACAGTTCAACAGTAACAGTTTCCTGTTTGTTAGTGACATTAACTCCAGAATCTCCATCACATTGAAAACCAAACAAACACAGTCAGCCTACCTCAGACCCTCCCCCCAGGATCAGTGTGTTTACCTGTGTGTGCAGAGGCAACCTTTCCCTGATCTAACTCCTCGATGGTTAAGGTTTGGTTTGGTTTAAAAACAAAACTAGTTGGTTATGATTAGGGAACGATGGTTTAAATACAACCACTTTGTTTTGATTCAGTTGGTGGAAAACGAGAAGCAGCTGCCTCCAGTATTAAAGTCAAACACCTTGATGATGCAGGTCTGCAGGTGTTTTCATTTTAAAACTCTTGTGCTACATTTTTTCCTCCCGTCCACACGCAGTTCTCCAACCCTGAAATTGAAACTTTTTGAAACTCTGCTGGACCCGTTTTATTCTGAAAACTCTGGGGCTGCGTTTTATTTTGACAACTCTGGGGTTGTGTTTTATTCTGAAAACTCTGGGGCTGTGTTTTCTTTTGAAGACTCTAGGGTTGTGTTTTACTTTGAAAAAACTCTGGGGTTGTGTTTTATTTTGAAAAACCTGTCTGGACGGAGATCGATTTAGTTTGAAAACACTGGTTTAAAATGAAAATGTAGAAGTGTGGACACATCCTGGAGGAACTCAGGAACTGGTGTGACTGGTGTCTATAGAACTGGTATTGCAGCGCTGAGAGTCTTTTTCCACACTAAAGCAGATGTTCAATTAATGTCACATATATATCAAATGATGAAAATGATTCCTTTGGTTTTGGTTTTGAGAACACGTCATATATTCAAGTGTTTTAAGTAAAGCTGTCCCTGTTGAACAGACAGAGACAAACAGAGACAGAGAGACACCTGTGAATGAAGACAGAGGACACAGCTGCATGAGGAGGTAAACAGCCAATCAGCATTCAGCATCCAGCATGCAGCAGCCTGCAGTGTTAGCTCACGGCTCGACAAGAGAAAGAAAAGATGGAGGAAAGAGGAAATCAAAGGATGAAGAACATCAGCACCACCCGATGACAAGCGCAGGTCAGAAGTTACCTCCTGATCCGGGTCAACCAGCAGCCGGCTGCATTTGTACTGCAAATAAGCTTTAGCTCCTTCGCTCTTCACTGCACAGATTCTAGCAAGCCTGGTTTTCTGTGTGTGAACACATACACATGTCCATTTAGCCTGTATGTGTGTGTGTGTGTGTGTGTGTGAAAGCTGAGCAAAGCAGCAGAGTGTTTATGAAGCAGCACGATGGAGAACAGAAACACTCAGAGGACAGACTCGATCTTCAGATGTCTGACTGGAGGAAACGAGAAACTTAAACGTTACAGATGTGTTTCATTAACAGATCGATCATACACAGCTGCTGAAGTGCTGAGAAATTAATTAGTCAAATCTTCTGCCAACAAGATGAGAAGTCGCACAAAAAGGATTAAAACAATAACAAAAACCAACTCGTGTGAACAAGATGATGTCTGTGTGTAATAATAATTTAACAGAAGAAGAACCTGTTCTTAAAGGACGATGATTTATGTGAATAAGATGGAGCACATATATGGATCTGGTGTAAACTGGACAATAATAAGATCATGACTTTTAACATTAACAAGATAATCCCCCCCCCCCCCCCCCTCTCTGTGGGGGGGTGAAGCCCTGGACTCAGCTTCCTCTCTGTCCTCCTGTGGATTACACAGAAGCCCAGAGTCTAAATGAAGTTTGTTTCTCTTCCTGATGAATCAGCTGATGAATCAGTAACTGAACCTGAGCTGCTCAGTGAAGCTCGTTAACGTCAGACTCACTTCCTGTCCGACAGACTGTGGTCCAACAGCAGCACCTCCGAGGATGGAGGCCGCAAAAACAAGTGACACATGAAGAAGACATTTTCAAAATGGAGGAACCCCTTATAACACATTATCATTACATTAAGCTGTTGACACAGAGCTGCCCTCTAGTGGATGAACTGTTTAACACCAGAGCTTCTGTAAAGGCCTCATTGAGGAGGAGGAGGAGGAGCAGAGAGTTACATTATTTAAAATGGATGAATCTATCTTTATCAGTAAAGGTTCGACTCTGTTCTCTCACAGCCTCCTCACACACACACTCACACACACTTTAACACACACACACTCACACACACTTCAGTCTGTCAGTTGACACACCGTGAACACAGGAAGTGACCTGGTTCCTCATGGTCACACTGTCAACATGTACCCCCCTCAGACTCCCCCTCACTCACTGATGATCAGTGTGTGTGTATCAGTGTGTTCAGAGTGTGTGTATCAGTGTGTGTATCAGCGTGTTCAGAGTGTGTGTATCAGTGTGTTCAGAGTGTGTGTATCAGAGTGTGTGTATCAGTGTGTTCAGAGTGTGTGTTCAGAGTGTGTGTATCAGTGTGTGTATCAGTGTGTTCAGAGTGTGTGTTCAGAGTGTGTGTTGAAAGTGTGTGTTCAGAGTGTGTGTTCAGAGTGTGTGTATCAGTGTGTGTATCAGTGTGTTCAGAGTGTGTGTTCAGAGTGTGTGTTGAAAGTGTGTGTTCAGAGTGTGTGTTCAGAGTGTGTGTATCAGAGTGTGTATCAGTGTGTGTATCAGTGTGTTCAGAGTGTGTGTTCAGAGTGTGTGTATCAGTGTGTGTGTATCAGTGTGTGTATCAGTGTGTTCAGAGTGTGTGTTCAGAGTGTGTGTTCAGAGTGTGTGTGGACCTTCTGTGCCCTCCTCTTCTCCGCTCTCTGGCTCTGGTGGTAGATGCGGCTGAAGTTGGAGACGATGACGGGGACAGGCAGAGCGATGACCAACACTCCACTGAGAGAACAAATGGAGCCAAAGATCTTTCCCATGATCGTCTTTGGAACCATGTCTCCATATCTGGGGGGGGGGGGGGGGGGGGGGCAGAGAGAGAGAGAGAGAGGGAGAGGTTCACTGTCTGTAGACCTGGATCATCATCATCAATCTGCGAGAGCAATCGAGTCACATGATCCACCAAGCATCAGCAGTTCAGAATCAGAAGCTGCAGTTCCTCTAACGACCACTAGAGTCTGGCTCCAACAGTGAGTCAGTCCCCATAGACTCCCATGTTAAAATGTTCAACTTTACAGCAGAAATAAACATGTTTACAGCCTGGTACAAAAACTGTTTTGGTCTCTAGAGAGAGACAGTGAGAGAGAGAGACGGAGAGACAGAGAGACAGAGAGACAGAGAGAGACTGTGAGAGAGAGAGAGACAGAGAGAGAGAGAGAGACAGACAGAGACAGAGAGAGAGAGACTGAGAGAGAGAGAGACAGTGGGAAAGAGAGATGGAGAGACAGAGAGACAGAGAGAGACTGTGAGAGAGAGAGAGACAGAGAGAGAGAGAGAGACAGAGAGAGAGACCGAGTCACACAGAGACATGTTTACAGAGTCATCAGACTCTTTCTCCTGTACACACCTCACTACAACTCTACACTTCCCTTTACGTTTCTGTTCCTGTGTAAGAAGCTCCTTCGTGTTCAGGAAGCTTCTCCCTCCACACGGAGCCAATCAGATGATGAGCTGTCCAGATGATGAGCCGTGAATCCAGATGTTTATTTCTGAGTCATGAGTTCCAGCTGCTGACACAAACTCCATGTTCAAACTAAATGCAGCGTTCGGTTTGAGAGTGTCAGCAGAAATAGGAGCTGACGCAGCGTTTGTGTTTCCTGACTGGAGCTGAACTTCAGTCAGTGTCCACATGGTGGAGCCAGAGATCTGCAGCTGCTCTCCACCCCCATCATCATCATCATCATCATCATCATCATCATCATCATCATCATCATCATCACTTCTTCTTCTACTGTTCTGACTGTGGCTGCAGAGAGAACACATTCAGGGAGTGAGAGTGACATTAAATAAAACTGAGCAGCGTCTCTGGAGACTGGAGCTCCTCTCTGCCCTGCTTCCCCCTCCCTCCCCCTTTAAAAAGGCGCCTCATTCATTATTATGGGACAGGCTGATATTCTATCTGATGCCGGGCCGGCGTTCCCAGCATGCTCAGCGCTCAGATGTTTAGATAGAGGCTCAGTTTGTCTCTGAAGGTTTCTGTCTTCATCAGGTCAAATTAAACCCTGATGGAGCAGCTGCACTAAACTTTATTTAAACACCGATGACAAACACACAGAATAATGTGATACACACACACACACACACACACACACACACACACACACACACACACAGTCTGTGTGATTTAACTTTAAATTATTCTGAGAGAATTTGTTTAAAACCTGATGAACTGAAGCTATCTGTGTGTATGTGTGTGTGTGTGTGTGTGTGTGTGTGTGTGTGTCTTTGAGCTCAGGTAAAGTTTGTGTCAGTGACTGATCACTTTGTCTCCTCCTGAAAACCTTCAAACCTCCAGACACAGTGTCTCCCCTGCAGCCAATCACAGGCTGTGACCTTGTGTGTGTGTGTGTGTGTGTGTCACAATACCACTACCAAGCATACAAAATTAGAAACACGCTCAGAGTACAGGTGTGTGTGCTGTTGTGTTAAAGTCATGTGACTGTGTCCTTCATCAAGGAGGGAGTGTGTTTCTGTGTGTGTGTGTTTACTTTTTGTGACTTTACCTGCAACACACACACACACACACACACACACACACACAGGTGTGTTGAAGTATTTATAAGGACCTTTTAATCAATCATTCATCCTCATTGTCATTGGTACACACACGTGTGAAGTGACGACCCCCCCTACAGGCTGCAGTGCTCATTACAGTCACGTCCTTTACTCTCAGTTTAGTTTGTGGTTTGTGGTTTATGGGTTTATGATCTACGTGGACTGGAGGTTGGTGGTTGGTAGTTTCACTTTATATTAAAGTTCAGTTGACACAGAGCTGAGGGCTGAAGACAGACTCGGAGGTTAAACAGCCGATGATGGATTTATGTGATGCGTTCAGGGAAATGGCAGAAATGCTCCGTCAGAGCCTCCATCTTTAATTTAGAGGGAATTCATCTGATAAATTGGGAGTGGAAAAGTAAAGTGTCTGCTCCATCGTTCATCTTCTGCAGCAGCAGCAGCTCCTCTCACAGACGAGCATCACTCCACAGTCTGAGAAACTGACATGCAGCTTTCATAAAACTAAGGATTTTCACTGTCTTCCTCCCACACTCTCTTCTTCTGTGGTTTTATTCAGTTCATCCCTCAGTAATCCAGAGATCTGAGTGGATTTCCTCTGGCCCTTCAGAGTAAGAGCCCCATAATCTCTTCACAAGGTCCACAGAGCGGATCTGAGGTCTGAGTGAAAGCTGCTCCAGCTCAGACGGTTTGTCAAAGATCCTGGACCTGGTCCAGTTCTACAGAGACTCTCAGCTCAGACATCAAACAGCCTGATGCTGATTGGCTGAACAACAGCTTTAATGGTTCAGAGTCCAGTTCAAACACCCTCATTCAAACACCCTCATCCTACAAAGACCACAATGCAAAGCAGCGACTGCTTCCATGTCTCAGGTGACTCCATTCACTGTAGTTACACCAGTAACTAACCAGGTGACATCAGAGTCCACAGATGTTCAATACCTGAGTCTCCTCACCTCTCCGAACCATCTGCAACCAAGTCCAGATCAACCTGACTCATCTTCTCTTGGAGAACCTCGATCCTAACCTTCACAGATAGTTTTATTATTGTTAATATTATTACTATTGTTGTTATTAAAGATTATTATTATTATCTAATTCAGTTGATGAATTTTTAATTTCCATGTCTTGGTGTAAATCCAGATGTTTACAGTCAGTTTGCTGCAGAGAAGGTGAACTTGTCTTTCCTCAGAATCACCTTCATCATCAGGTGATCGCTGCGTTCAATGACACACACACACACACACACACACACACACACACACACCTCACAGAGATGTGTGTGTGTGTGATGCAGCCATCAGCAGTTTCCTCCTCCACAGACACAAGTTTTACATTCAGTAAACTGACGGTGCTGGTCCAACATCACGTCACTGACGGTCCAGTGGACTGTATCAGAAGCTGTTGATCCACAGAATAGAGTGATAGTGACCAGATGCCTCCTAGCCAACAGAGGGGGCTAGCTGTTAACTATAGCAGCATCAGAAGTCAAGCTAAAATCATCAAAGTACAGTTATCCAATCAAATTTTTCTTTTGTTGTCCCTACGCAGAGGAAAGGTCAGCTGGGTCACTCATCGGTCAGGAGTTCATAACCAGGTAGTAAAATGACAAAAACAAACACACCCAAGCCCCCGAGCCGGAACTTGAAAAGATGTTTTTTATGTTGGTAGAAGTGAAGAAGAAGTTGGACGGCACACGACAATATTTACAACCTCTTATGAGAAACGCTTTTCATTCTTTTGATCTGTGGACTCTTACAAACTAAAGGAATAGAAATAATTGAGGACTAGAAGGACAATATGACTTCATGGCTGCTTCAAAGGTACGGAGTCATCATTTATCAGTACGACTCCACAGTGTTACAGAGCAACAACAGAGAGAGAATATAAATGAACATGAACACACCTCACAGACTCAGAGACACACACACGCATAAAAATGATAAAGAGAAATAGTTTCACTGCTTCCCTCCGACATCTCAGTTAATGAGCTTCTGTAATGATGGTTTGTACAGCAGCTAACATCATGATCATTAAGACCACACACACACACACACACACACACACACAGACATGAGGCCATGAGTTGAAACAAAACAGTGATTTTACAGGTCAACAACAAACAACCAACCAGGTGTGAAACACAGCGTGTGTGTGTGTGTGTGTGTGTGTGTGTGAGTGAGTGTGTGTGTGTGTACATACACACACACACACACTGCAGAGACCATTAACTTCCTGGTTGTTGACAACATGTTTAACGTTTCATAAAGTGAAATCATGTTGCGTTCGCTGCATCTGAATCATTTATACCTCGATCAGACCTCGAACGCCTCGCCTGCTGCTCCATTAACGCACACACACACACACATACATACACACACACACACACACACACACAAATACACATGCTATTCAGAAACGTATGAGAGTAAAATGCTTCCTGCTTAATGAGAAGCTGCATTCATTATAGATTAGAACAGTGTGTGTGTGTGTGTGTGTGTGTGATGGAGTCCACTCTGACAACACTAAGGTTATCAGCAGGTTATATTCATAATTAACAGCATCTGGTTCTTCACTGCACTAACAGTTAACAGGCTACAGACCAGGACCAGGATCTCATGTGACCTGAGCTCAGACTCTCAGGGTGAATCTGTGTATTTTTAGCTGTAAGCTGTTAACAAATGAAACCACTGATCCTCAGTTGTAGCTGAACAGAGTGTCAGTGAACGCCTCCTCAGAGAGCGCTGCCTATAAATAACCTGCTATAATAAATGAGCACTGTTGAATGTGAGTGGGGTCTGTGCTGAACCAGGATCTGCTGCTCCTCTGAGATCCTGGACTCTCTGTAGTGAAGATCCTCAGGCTCAGTGATGAACAAGAGAGACAGATGAGCCTGAATATCAACACAAAGACTGTTTCATACACTGACCCCTCCTCCTCTTCCTCCCTCTCTTCCTCTTTCCTCTGATGGAAGATAAAATAAATCCTCGCTCAGCTGAGAGAAGCTCAAGGAAACGATCAGACCTTCAGCGGATTCATGCAGACCCAGATAACTCCAGTTTAACAGTAGAAGAAGAAAGAGGCGACGGACAGACTTGAGTTTAACAGTAGAAGAAGAAAGAGAGGCGTGTGTGTGTGTGTTAATGTTCTGTATGTTACACAGCAGGAGGTTTGTGTTCGAGGCTGCAGCTGAAAAATCACCAACATTCATAAACAAATTGGAAATTGATGATGATGGTGTGTGTGTGTGTGTGTGTGTGTGTGTGTGTGTGTGT